GCATGCACGGTTATTTGCGCGGTACACTCAGTATCGATACAGCCAAAAATTTCTCTATTGGTGGTGCAATACCAAACTCAGCATTCTACATAGCCGATGAACTTGGTCAAGGCATGCAGTGGTCAAAATCAATTCCGATCAAAATTATCTATCGTAGAGACGAAGATTTACCAAAAAATCGAATAACACTCGACATACACGTTTCACCGCCAATGAGTGAAATCGTATATTGGTTTGAACGAGTAAGTATCAACATGTATGGTGAAGCGCTGATAAAAACAATCGCTTATGCAATAAATGCCAGCAGTGACACTATATTATCGACATATTGTAATGGTGAACATGGGATCGAACAAGCTGAAGTAGCAACTATAGATGGTTCAGGGTTATCACCAGAAAATCGTATAACAACACGAGCAATTGCACGTGTTTTGTATAATGTGAGAAAACGTGCACCGTGGTTTGCATCCTTCGAGCAAGCACTACCAATCATCAATAATATTCGAATGAAAAGCGGATACATTCATAATGCTCTATCATACGCTGGCTATCTTAACAACCAAGTCTTCTCTATTATTACCAACAATTTCAATGGACAAAGAAATAGCATGCGCCAAAAATTATTTGACTTGTTAGATACACTTAACTAACTGACAATTGTTCTTATAAATAAAACTTTTATGTATACATATTTTATGGATTCCAACTCATTCTGAATAGTAGACTAAGAAGCAGAGCGGAAAGTTTTGCTTATTCTACCCGATCTATCGATACGAACCGAATTCTTTAGTCATTTCGAGAATAGTCGTAATGAGTCCTGCTGATTTCAAAATATTGACAAATACGACACTTCTGTATATATGGCTTTTACTTAGGCAAATAAAGAATCTTGATAAGAGACTACAGAGATGCACAATATTTTTATTCACTTATTTCTTTCGTTACATTCGGCGATGGGATCGAGGTTGAAAGTAAGTTAAAATTCAGGCAGCCATAAATCTATCACAAAACTTTTTATCAGAGACAATGTCTTACTGTTCTAATTACTTTATCGATTATTAAATCTCAAACGAATGCGATTGAAAATGCAAAATTCACTGCAGCCTGGGACAATTTCACAAAAGACCCTCAGTTGTTACATGCAGCTTATTCAATTACAATTTTTGACAATGCGACTGGAAATATCACCTTCTCGTTCAATAGAGATTTGGGACTTTCACCTGCTTCAACGATGAAAACGGTAACAGGTGCTGTTGCCCTACATTATCTAGGCACAGATTATCGCTACAAAACTATATTACAATATTCTGGCAATATCAATTCGTTTGGCATTCTCAATGGTTATATCTATATTGTCGGTTAGTATGCGGCCATCCGTTATTGGAAACGGTGCTTTTTCTAAGCATGTATGTATGTGTGTGTGTGTGTATAGGAAGTGGTGATCCAAGTTTAGGAAGTTGGCGTTGGAATGAGACGAAAGGCGAAGTGATAATGGAACGCTGGTTGAAAGCGATTAGAAGTCGAGGGATCAAAGAATGTCGAGGTGTTGTTGTAGATCTGAGTGCATGGCCAGATCAAACACAAACAGTACCAGATGGATATCCGTGGGGAGGTCTAGGGTAAAACCCAATATTGATTGAAATCATAACCTATTGTTAGTTTGATTTGATTTCTATTAGCAATTACTATGCAACGGGTAGTAGTGCATTGAACTGGCGCGAAAATCAATTTCGTATAATTCTGTCTCCTGGCGCTTCTGTGGGCGATCCTGTTACACTTGTTGGTTTTGAAAATTTACCTCCGTCAGTAACATTTACAAATGAATTGGTGACTGGTTCACCGGGCACTGGTGATCTTGCCGATGTTTATTTAGGTTCTGATTGTACTCATGGTTATCTACGCGGATCTTTAGGCATTGATTCACCACAAAACTTCTCTATTGGTGGTGCAGTACCCAATTCAGCATTGTTTGTGGCCGATGAGCTTCGTCAGAGAATGCAATGGTCAAAATCGATGCCAATCAAAGTCGTCTATCGTAATGATGAAGATCTACCCAAACTTCGAATGACATTGGACATGTACGAATCGCCACCGATGAGTGAAATTGTTTATTGGTTTGAGCAAATAAGCATCAATATGTATGGTGAAGTGTTGATAAAAACAGTTGCCAAGAAGCTAAATTCGAGTATAAATCGTGTCTTATCGACATACTGTACGAGTGAACATGGTATTGAACAAACAGCAGTGGCGACAAGAGATGGTTCCGGTTTGTCACCTCAAAACCGGATAACAACATGGGCTATCGTACGGGTTCTACATAATATTCGCGAACGAGCACCATGGTTTCCATCATTTGAACGTGCATTACCAATCATAAATGGCATTCGAATGAAGAGCGGTTTTATCAGTAACGTTCTTTCCTATTCTGGTTATATTCACAGCCAAGTCTTTTCAATTATAATAAATAACTACAACGGTGCGACAAGTGTTATGCGACAAAAAATATGGAATCTACTCAACACTTTGAAATAGAGCTACTTGAAAGAGACAAAAAAGAAGTCGGACAAAGCAATATTGACAAATGCAAAGTAAAAATATCCGAGAAAAGACAGCAAACGTCTTATTCCGATTTGCGTTTTAAAATAAAAAATACAATAAAATTCATTGCTGAAAAACTTCGTCAATTTGATAAATAATCTAGGTTACCTCGATTTCAACTATTATACTCAACAACGTGAAAGTCCATCTCGCCATTGATCGTACGTTTGTCAATCAAGAAGATTTATTTTCATTCCATTGATTCTATTCGATAAAAATTGATTTCCTTCTATTTCATAATACAAACTTTTCAAACACAATTATTCTATGCGACATTTATGTCATACCCTTATTCTTTCTTTTACTTCTTTTCTTTTTCTTGTTTCTCTATTGACAACAAAAGACGCTCGAAGAAAGAATGAGGAAACAAAAAAAAAAGGCTCTTGCATATATATATGAGTGAGTATTGATGCATGTGAGCGTATACTGAACAACACACGGTGGTGTAGCAAATAAGTTTTTAAACCTTTCCTATTCAATAACATGGCATTTTCAATCAAGAAACGTGTCAAATCAAAATTAAGTGTAAAAATATTTTTATTCTCACGATTGATAGTAAAGTATCAATGCTTTAGATCTCGACCGTGAGTGACGATGATGGTAATACTTTAGGCGAAGTTCTTCATCACTCGACGAAAACTAACAAGCCCAAGAAAAATACGAAGAAGGAGAATAATCTCGTATCATCAGGTCACACTGCGACACGTGAAAACGAATATTTGTCAGGTACACGATCGTTATCAGTTGATCATCATGTAATTTATCGAAATGAATGTCCATGTGAAACACATTATGATAAACAATTAATAGAACAAGATTATGGTTTAACTGTGGACAAGTTGTTTGATTTAATATTTGGAACGAATGAATTCGTTCGAACGTATCGACAATCTCAAAACATATTTGGTTCGTTTATTAATTAACGATATATTCTCTTAACTTGCTTGATTAGATGATACAGCAACTGAATGGACTCTCAATCCAGAAACAAAATGTCGCGAACGAACATTGAACTTCAAAATACCTTATGATTCGACATTAGTAGGAAAAAGCACTATTACAACACGCGAGAAACAGGTGAAATGCGATGGAGAAAGAAGCCATTGTTGATTTTGAATACTAAAAAATTCGTTTTGTATTCTAGACGGTAGTTCAGGAAGTTGTTGGTTTTCATTATATAGTTGAAGCAGAAGTATTCAATCAGGGTGTGAAATTCAGCGATACATTTTCGCTACGTATGCGTTATTGTCTTGTGCAAACATCGGCGACAAAAACACATCTATGTGTCACAGCGCAAACTCGATTTTGTAAACCAGTGAATGGTTTCATAAAACGTTTGTATTTCTTCTCTCAGCATCATTTATAGTTCATGTTTTTCGATTAGAATTAATCGAGAAAAATACATATTCGACATCAATAGAATGTTTCAAAGATTTAAGTATGCTTATTTGCACCCGAGGCGTTGTGAATCACTGAAAGTATTCATTTCTAGATAACCGTTTGAATCTAATTACTGATTTCCCGATGAGTAGATGATCTACTGCTTTTTCATTCCCGTGAATATGCGTTTTTTTTTTCTGTAGAAAAACGACGTTTGAGTCGCAGTGAACTTTCGCTGAGTATTCCGATAACATCCAGTGAACACATTCGGCGAATGAGTCGCCATGATGCATTATCATTTGTATCATTACAACAAACAATTAGCGATGACACGAGAAGTATGTTCCATAGACTATCGTCATCCTCTATTCTTGATTTCTGTAGGGCTTGAAGTTTTACCATCGTCAACGCCACCGTATTATTCAAATATAATCATGTTTTTTTTCATTCTCTTGTACGAGTATATCGAATAGATTAGTTTCACAGTGTAACGAATTCCTTCGTTTTCTTAGAGCTGGTTGTCTGTTGTTTATTCATTTGTTTTTATATCTTAAACTCAAGAATATGGATGTTCTCGTGGATCATTTATCAAATTTAGTTAAAATGTAAGTTTAAGTCATACTCTAATTCTGTATCCATGCGGTTTTTGTCTCGTCTTGCAGATCGTCTTCAATATCAGCAGGAAAACAATGAACATAACGGATGCTTGTTACTATTTTCTCGATTGCCTTTTCGTTGATTTCCTCCTGTTAATAAAAAGTAACTGAACTAAAACTTGTACACATTTTCCCGAGTTCATTTGCAATAACAATGTAAAAAATACGAATTCGAGATGATATGCAACGATTGTTACAGAAAAAAAAGTATTTCGAAAGTGAAAATATTCATACCGCGCTTTTGTGTCATTTTTTCTCGATTCATTGATCCTCGTCTGATCATGTTCACTGGTGTTCACATTGGTAATTAGTATTATATCTCTTGATTCTGGGATTATGAGCATGTAATGTATAGCAGCGACCAAGATGGCTCCTCGTAATCAACAAAATGAAATTGTCGATGTGCAAGTGGATGATAAAATAGCACAGGATTTAGCGAATCTGGGCGTGATTGTGCCGCGTACAAAACCGACGATTGCGGTTGAAAATCGATCAGAAAAACATCAGCGTAAAGTTCTAGCACAAGAGCGAAGACAAGAACGACTCGTCGAACAACGAAAGATGGTTGTGAATATGGAAGGTCTGATGGAAAAAGTAAACAGAATCGTTTCGATTGCATTGAAAATAAGCGATTTGCTTTGAATGAATATTGAGATTATTGATGAGACACCGTTATCGAGAAAAGATGCAGAGAATTTACGAGAAAAAGTTAACAAAATTCTTACAAAAGTAAACAAGGCGTCAGAAACACCTAGTTTAACGTCGATTCGCCCATCTGTCAGTGAGGATATACCGTCGGCATCGTCGTCTCAATTGAAATTGAATGTAAGTACCCATTTTAAATCAAGAAATTATCCATTTAGAGGTCATAAATATTGCTAATTTAGTCTAACGCAACCTCTTCACAATCAATTAATCAAGGAGCTTTCCTTCTATGGAAGAATAAAAACTTCAATAATAACCATCAATAGCACACTGTTTTTCAATAGATTCAATTAGAATAACAAAACAAGAATTCTGGCGACTATCTCTTGAAATAACGACATAGTTTCATAATGGCATAGACAATTCATTCAGCTAACCAACCAAGTACCAGAAAAATGCTACACGTTTGCAGTGTAAGGGCGCTTTTAAGCTTGTTAATATATCTGAAGTCGATTATACCGAGTATACGTTCGTGTTCATCAGTAGATAAAGTTTATCTACCAACTGTACTCAAAATAATTGCATATGAGCATTTACTAACATGATATTTATCTGCAAATTATGGTCGTCATTGAGTGAAAGTAAATTAGAAATGGTATATATATATAGACGATAATTGTTAAGATAAACATGTAATTCGCCCTGTAGTTCTGAAATAATTTTCCTTTGATCAGTTCATGATTTTCTCAGATTTAAACCTTAAGGAAAAAACTGTATGGATGACGTTCAACTTCGCACATTCCTAGCGTTAATAATGCACGCGAATAACACGGCATTTTAGAGATCGTCAACATTCAATAAATAAAGGAAACTTATTCAACAATATCTATAAATAAGTGATTATTAATAATCCATTATTGAATAAATTCTTTATTATATCAAGAATACGCTTCATCTATTGCTAATCATACATCTGGTGAAAGATTTATTATATTAGGCTTGTGACATAAAAGAAGCAATTGATTTGATCTGTTGTTGAAAAGCTCTTTAATACAAAAGATGTCAAATTTCGTTGATGATTGACTGACGCGATCATAAGTTCTCGTTATTCATTACAAATCAAAGAATAGCACACTCAATTCGATCTATATAATCCAATCTACAAGATAAATTTCACTTCAATTGTCTTCATCTAGGAAAGACAACGAGGGCTCCTTTTTTTGATAATAAAAATTTAATAAATATCAGATTATCAAAACCATTACAGCAGCAGAATCACAAGCATAGTGTTGCTTCTAGTTACTAATCGAATCGACTAGTACCGCTTTCTACTAATAATGCCGTATGAACTGCTATCAGATTGTAAGACAACCGGCATTTGACTGGAGAACGTTTCACATACCGAAGGTAAGTTGCATTGTTCTCCGCACTCTCTTTTTGTCGGTATACGACAGATTGACATCTGAAAAGAGCCAAACACTACATATATACGTCAAGATCAGTCTGCTCTAAATTTTTCATAAAAATGGAGTTTTATCTGGAGAAAGACTCGAATCGTTCATTGAAATCAAATAATATAATTTATGATAGTTTCCTTTTTCGAATAGTTTGACTAGATCAAACGATAAAGAGTTACTGATTCATCGACGCATCATAATTTCGTCAAAATAGAGTGTCTCTATTCCTCTCGAGAAATGCGAGCACGATATGAGAAAGAAATATATGAAAGAATGATTGATTGATTAATTGGAAAAAAAAGTTCCCTTTCGTTCAAATCAGATCTTTATTCATTTTGTACTCGCTGAAAGTATGAGAAGCAACGAGGTCGCGTCAGGGTCTTTTCGTTCGAGACGATAATTTATTTCATGAGTAGACATTATTTTGTTCTAATCTGAGTAATTTTCCTGCTAATGTTCATCCTCTATGCAAACAAAAGAAAAGACGACTGAAAAAAACTGCAGAAATAAAACTTTCTCTTTTCCGTTTTTGCTTTTCTCTCTCTCTCTCTTTCTCTGATATACTCAGAGAACATCATGCCTATCGCACCAATAACTATGATTTATGATCAAGAAAAGGTATATTGCCCATAGATTAAATTCATTTGGCGATCTTCAGTTATAATGACGGCAACATTGACGACTATGTATACAACCACAAAAATCGATCCTTTAGTGTTCCCGTATGATATCTTCGTTAGCAATGATCTTGTCATTGGTGATAATACAACATTCAAATCATTGTATGAATTTACATCGTAAGTATATCGAGAATTGTCAAAGTGTGAGCAATCGTAGGCGAGACGTCTCTCTATGTATCTTCGGCGTGCAGACGGATGTGGATATTTGAATTCCGTAATTAGTATTCAACTCAATACATTCGGTATTGCCGATGAATATATGTCACTAGAGTCTAGACATCAGTTCTCATGTGCATATCCTTATTCTACTAAGTACTATTGTGATAGTACTCACAAGAGAAAACGACCGGATAGTAGGCGAATGTTTATCCGGTAGTATAGTTAACATGAAAGTTTAAAATCGACGGAATAGTGTAAATAGTATAAAATTGAAGCAGAGAGAGAGAGAGCGTTAATTTTTTATTAGTCGTAGTTCATTTATGACGCAGCATTCTAACACAAAAGCGGGCTATCTCCACTAGACAAAAATCTAAAAATAAACTTGATAATGATTGCCTATGTCGCAGGAAACATTTAACACAAATTTCTTTGCTAGAAAAGTCAAATTTTCTATTTCATGACCTATGTAAAAAAATTAATTACTTTGTCGATATACACCTGCTTTTAAACCACGTCTCAATTATACATAGTTTTCTCCGAAATCATATACTTGTAAAAATAAACTCCATTAGTACACCACATGTCTTGCAATTTCATTTGAATTTCTTAGATACATCGACAAAGGATTGAACACAACTTTCATCGACGTTTACATGGCTGACGTGTCCACTGGTCATACGGCGTTTTTGGCGGTGGCGATGTTTACTCTCTCATTAGTGACTGTTCTGGGAAACGCTATTGTGATTTATGCACTACGCACAAATCGCCACTTACGAACGGTAATAGACTTGATGTTTTCATATGAAGATCTCGAAAGATCTTTAATTAAAATTTTTCAATTTGTTTTGATTACTAACAGTCTCCTTATTCATCTCGATGAATTAGTTGACATGCACTCTGGAGCAAAAGGGGTAAAAGGCAAAAGATCAAAAGAATAAAAAATTTTGAAAATCATTAAAGCGAAAAGTGAGGGTGTCCTCATGAATAGGTTTTACTGAAAGAATATCTAATATACTTTGCCTTAAATTATAGAGCGCTTTTTGTAGAAGAAAACCGACTAGTTAATTAGCAATTAAACGTAGCAGTGTTAATAAATACGTTAAGTTCTACTAATAACAAATATGAGCTTGCTTATTTCATCAGTGCACGACATCCGTAGTCTACGTTTATATGAATAGTACGATCGTATACACCCGGTTCCGACAATTACCAATAGAGTACCTACGAACTAAATGATTTCGAAGAAAAACCAATAAAAAATTTGGAGAAAAATTTTATTATATATCAGTTAAATCCCAAAAATTCTTAGTAGATTTTTTTGATTTGTAGTTAAAAGAAATTAAAAACAGATTCCTCAGAAAAGAAGCTGATTATGAATTATCAGCAAATTGTATTCAGCAACGAAAATACTCGTAAATGGGAGCAAGAAAACATTCAACGCCCAAAATGACTCCTCAGGTGTCTGTCTTATATTATTTGCAGTTCAGAAGCTTCTAAACGAGCTGTGTTTTACATTCGTAGCAATACGTGTAATCTTTGGTATTCTTCCTCCCGTGGATAACACGCGAGGCCTAATGTGAGACGTAGAGCGATTAGTGTCTGTTATTTTTCTATTCAGTTTATTAAACATCCCATATATCACAAAAACGATTAGTGTTATGAGGTGCGTGTCACGTCATATCAACTTTAAGAAAGATGGAAGAATGACTGTTGAGGACTAATTCAATCAGACATTGATACAAAAAAAAACACATTTGAGAAGGGACAAAGAGAAAATCAACGGAAAATAGCCATAAATAACATTGAGCTCAAGTCGTCGAATTGAACGTACGCTATTGTATATTCGGCATGATGGAAAAAGAAAACTGATTAATAGATGCACGCAAAGGAAATAATATTGGCAACGACATTGTCTCAATAATTTCTATTCGGTGTGCTCGTCTTCGTTCATGACCTTTGAAAAATCTTGTGAGCTAAGGAGGTTATAATTTGAACTTTCCTTTGAAATTGACTGAATAATCATACATAATCGATTCCTTTCATCTTGAGTATTTGTTTTCCAAAACCGTTTGTTCGAACTGAATTACGCCAATGATTTGCTCGTTGTATTATTACAATAGTTTGCATGCTTAATAGGAGGAGAAAAGCACAATTTTGAGGTTTTACAGTAGATATCGTCGTTGTTGTTTTTCATTGAGAACAAGTTCTTTGTTTGTCAATACTTTCTCTTCTTTTCTCAAACGCATCTTCCTCTTGCTGAACGAACAAGATAAAATTCCGTTCTCTCTCTTTCAGTTCCTTGTTCCTTTCCATTCTCCTTCGCTTTGTCTTTCTCATTCTTCTCCTTCTTTTAACAATGTTGGCACGCAAACAACGGTGTCATCCATTTGCTACATATCCTATTCAATGAACAATATGAAATTACATAAATTAAATCGCTTTGTTTATCCATAAAAACATGAGTGATATCATCGAAGTAGTCTCCCCTGAGGATCAACATCTCTATCAACAGCAAGAGCAACAGGACACATTTCCTGATGTTGTTACCGATGCCTTCTCATTGACAATTGGAAACATGATCGAAATTCATTTGATTAATGTTTCCGACAGATCGTCAAACGAGAGCGGCAATGATTTTCTACAGCATTTTCCATTGACTCCTTTACCCTACACAATTATATTTGGTCTTATCTGCGCATTTCTGTGTTTTTTGACAATATCTGGAAATTTAATCGTGCTCAGTAGTTTTCGACGAATGCGAACAGTAAGTGTCAAATAAGAGTAGAATCGATTTCCACAGAGAACTGTAATGCACAGTTCGATGTCAATACATTCGTATACACATAGCAAATATCGGCACGTCAAGACAAAAGATTGATTTATGAATAGTAGATCATTTAATAATTAAATTAGCATACATATCGACTACATTAAATCATTTCTAGTTCGAGTTTTTTCAGTAGAAAGGGATGTGAAGAGAAGCGAACGTTGCCGATATATTTATAATCATAGTGAGATCAAAGTTAATGCAGAATTTCAATGATAAAGGTGTCAGACGATCATAGAAAATGCTGTATACTTTTTTGTATCTAGGTCGGCAATTTATTCATACTAAGTCTCGCCACAGCCGATCTGATCGTCGGTTGTTTTGTTATGCCAATAGCTGGTATATATGCAATTATGGAAAAATGGAATATGGGTAAGCTTTTGTATTCTACGAGGATAAATGTATAAAAAGAAGAAAAAAAAACATCAGAAAAGGAATAATTACATGTATTGTTCTGCAGACAAGCAAAAAATTCAAAGGAAAAGAGATCAATTATTAATACTTTTCAAGTCAGTGCAAATTGAAAAGATCGACGAACTTCACAGTCATATCTTCAATTGTAAAGACTTATTAATTAGTCTGTAATAGAGATTATGAAAACAAAGAAGATGTCCTCCAGAAGTTAGATATTATTATTCACGACGACATATATACGAAATTAGAAAGTATTATGAGCATGAGGAGGATTCCCATAGGTGCTTTAGTAAAGACTAAAAGGTAATTGACTTCGTACGTATTAATTCAATAAAGTATTCAGTGTCGGACATTTTTATTTCTTTTTTGTTCCTCATTTTATTACTGATGCTGCACAAAATCTGTCAACAGTGAGATCGACTACAGCTCTTCCATTATCTAGATGACTTAGTTTAAATTAGATTGATTTTAATAGGTCAAAAGTGTCTGTGTCTTTATAAGAATTATTTATTCAGGTCTTATTCTTTGTCAAATTTGGATATCTGTGGATTTTATTGCTTCAACCGCATCTATCTTCAATTTGTTAACGCTAAGCTTAGATCGTTATTGGTCTATAACGTCTCCATTGCAATATCTTGGCAAACGAACACGTACACGAGCTTTATTGTTAATTGGTTTTGCTTGGGGTTTGTCTCTGCTCTGGGTTGTTCCCATATTCAGTTGGCATCATTTTAATGATGGTAAACGATATATCGAAGTACGAAATGAATATAAAGTTTGCGTAATTCATCATTTTCTCGATTTCTAGCCTGATAAATGTGAGCCTGAATACACCCATTCCAAAGTATTTAAAGTGTCAACAGCGATAATTAATTTTTATTTACCACTCTTAGTATTAATATCACTGAACGGTCGAATCTACTATGAAATTAAACGTCGTTACAAAAATGTTCTCCTACAACGACATTCGAATAAAATCAATGAACCGATAACGACGACGACGAATAATAATAGTATTCATAACCGAAAGGTCAACCCGACAAGTAATCGCTCGCGTTCGCCGATAACAGTAACATTATGTGATAGTGATCGCCAAATGGGCTCATCAACAATCAATTGTACAGAAAATGAAAGTTTAATTATGTCGAAAACTGCACCGAACGCTTTGATCAACAAAAATGAGTCTGTCTTACGTATTAATTTTAAAGCGAAAAAAGCTCGTCCTCAAATAGAATCAATGCAATATGCCGAACTTCAACCTTCTACATTGAAACGTACTTACTCATATGTCAATCAAAACTCGTGTGCACAAGTAAGAAATCAACTGGGAATTCATCGAAGTCATGTATAGTTTCTTTGTTTTGCTAAAGGATGAATTAGCGTGGTTATCACAGCGTCGTAATTATTGCCGTTCATCATTCTCTCAAACAGCACCGGTGGTGATACCAAATTTCAAACATACTCGGACTGATCCTCATCATCTTCGTGTGGATCAACATTTCTTTCGATCGAGAAGCGAACATAAAGCGCGTCGATCTCATTCGAGCAAACGAAAAAGTAAAAGTAAACGTAATTCTGCTAATTCGTCGTTACTCTATCAGCATCAACGCTATCAAACAACGTTTCATCATGCAGCGTCAACCTGCCGTCGTTGTTCTCTGTTAGATTCAATGAAAATATCACCTTCACCGCAGACGACGACAACAACAACGACAACAATGAATATTTTCAATCTCTGTCATTGTTGTACAACTGGAACATCTGAAATTACCATTAATTCGAATCATTTCGTTAACAATCATGCTATTTCAACTGCTAATTGTGAATCGTATAAGCGAATTCGAAAAATCTCGTCGTCATCGTCATCTACTAATGCTGTTCCGATCATGACGATTCGTAAGCAAGCTCCATCACCGATAACAACTTCGAATCGGAATCGAAACATCAGTCCGACGAATTCGAATCCACGTTCTAACGCACAAGCTCATCACCTGGCAAATAAAGCCAAACAAGTGACCGTTTGGAATCAACAAGAGAAGGCCTTTCGACAACTATTCGCCATTGTCTTTGGTTTTACATGTTGCTTCTTACCTTATTTTATCATCTACATGGTCGTAGCATTTTGCGGTTCATGTGTATCCCAACGCGTCGTCACAGCAACTATTTGGCTCGGTTATGTTAATTCAACAATAAATCCATTTCTGTACGCTTTGTCAAACAAACATTTTCGAAGAACATTCAACAGATTATTCAAGAGAGACAGTCGACGACAACTTTATTATAATTAAGACGAAGAATGTATCTAGCTATTTGTTTTAACAAATAAGACTACCATTATTGGCAAATTCGTTTGCATGTCAACAGATGTCAAACTGAGTGGGAGTGCGTTTTTTTAAATAAACTGTTAGGCGATGTAATAAAGAGAAAAAATGGTTTTATACTCAACGCACTAGAATCAAGCCAGGATGCATGTCATGCGACGACGATGGATATAAATAAATAATTATTATTCGCTGGCAAATATGTAATAATTAGTCATGATAAAAGTTCATAGATTAGCAATATAAAGTGCAAATTGGATGATAGGAATGACGTATGTACTCGTTATAGCTCTATGTTCATTATTGAGTACAAGAGGGAATGTGCAAATCTTTTGATGAGCTTACATTTAAAAGTTTTGTTCAATACTTTAGAAATCTTTTCTAGGTCTTGCTGACTAAAATGCCAAGATAGGTTGTCTTGAAAAGTTCGAGATAGAGAAGAAAGATCCCTGTGCAGGAATATTTTGTTGAGAACACTGGTGAAATATTCCAAATTACACGTGTACTTCATTGTCTGCCGAAATAGGACGGAGTGAAATGTCTAAAAAAAACTGAATTAAACTCAGATCTATTCAATTTATTTAGCAATTGTATTTAATACAGTAACAGACAAATAACTAAGGCTTATTTCCAAATATAAAGATACCAATTATCCATCTTCCATCTCACTTGAGTCCATTGTGAAGATAGAAGAAGCGGTTCTAAATCGTGTTGAATTTGATCTGACAACGTTTGACATATACAGATTTTAATTGAAATTAACTTATTGGTTGAACCTGGCGCTAATAAAAAATTCAAAATTTCCCGACATTCATCGCTGGTTGTCACATTCAGTTGTAGATGCTCTAATTGCGGTATTAGATAGCTAATTAGGTGTTCAATTTCTCTCCAGGACACGCATTCGCTGATAAGTGAGAGCGATTTGATATTGGTCAGAAATGCATAAGGACGAAGTTGCGACCATGCTATGTCAATTGAATGTAGAGGTGTTAAAGAAGCCAGGGAGCTGAGGTCAATCATTGATGTTTGACTATTGATGATCAAATGGCGAATAGAAGCGAGACGAACAAATGACGAGACAATATCTGCAGAAACAGTACCATTGGTGATATCATTGTTACATACTAATGTTAGATGTTTCACATTTTGGCAAGTAGAAAAGTTGCAAGGATTGAACGATTCGGAGAGATTTATTCGAACACGTTCAACACGATCATAGATGGCTAGAAGGAAAATACAGATGGAATTCAAAGCGAATCGATTTAAATCAAACTTTACCATGATTGTGACAGTGGTGAGTTGTATTCCAGTGTACAAATGGTAAATGAATGACCTTATCCGGATATGGAATGGTATGTAAAGTTAACGTTTGTCGTGAATTCCGAAAACTTGTTATCTGCTGAACAGCAACAACGAGATTGTTGCTTCCAAGTTCGCAGTCATCGATATTCGTACTAATCGAAAGACCTTTCTGAATGAATTGAATGCGTCGAAGTCGAGTGGATAATTTCAATAAATTGTGAACATCCTCCGAAGATTTCTCATAGGATTGATAGATCAATGACTGTATTCGAGGAAGTTGGGAAAGCAGCTGCGAATCAAGCATAGTTAAATTAATTCCGGTGCCTTGCAAGTCGATATTCATATGCATCAAGGGTGATTGTGATATGACAGAAGGAATCTGACTTGTCGTTGACTGAGTATAGATCCGAGCTAAAAAGAATGGCCAATTTTGATTCACAATTCCAGTTGATCTTACTTTTCAGTTTGATTAACGATGGCAAAGCTTGTAATACAGCAAACAAGTCTTGTGGGAAACTTTTGATCGCCATATGAAGTCGTTCAATGGTTCTCGATGAGATGGGAAAACATGTTTTGCTATCAAATGCGTATCCGCCGATAAGATAACATTGCCGCAATGTTGTTGATTGCAATGCAAGTTGATAGAATTTCGCTGCATGTTCAGCTTTTTTATGAAATTTTACAGAGAGTCTTTCGAGACATGGCGGTAAATGATTAATCTCATTTCCAATAATATCATCTAAATGTAGCGAACGAAGTCGGACAAAATGTTCCGGATGAAAATGCTTCGATGCGAAGAATTCAGATATCAATAAACCATGTGAGTATTGATTTGTTAAACGAAGAAAAACAATTTGTTGTGCTGAACAATGCCTTAAAACAAGTAAGAAATGAGAAACTGATATGTAGGTCAGATCGACAGATAGATCTGCTTGAGTTATCAATTCTGAGAGACGAGCATTGAACAATGGCAGAAAAGATAAATAAAGATCAGTTGGACGAAGATAAGAAAAGAGTTCCAGCAATAGTTCTGAAGGCAGGTCATTGAATAGCATTGCAGGATGTGCCAGATACTAATTAAATTAAAGAGATTTTCAAAACAATCTGAAAGTACAAAATCTTAACATTGTTCTTTTGAGTTTTCTTTGTTTTATTTCCATTGCGTTTATATCCCACTGAACAAAATAAAAACTCCTAATCAAAAGCAATCCAGACAAAGAAAAACTTCTATAGTACAAAAAAAACAGCATAAGTTCGTTGTTAGGATTGCTTTTGTTGATCTTCATATTCACTTGGTAGCCAATGGTTGAGTCCACTGATAATCCAACTATCATCCGTCGCATTTTTACTCATATCACGTAAGAATTTATAGTTGCAAACAACGATATTATCTCGCATTTTCTTCATCGCCGATGTCCAATTCGAAGCAACACCACCGGGAGCATTTAATATTTCTTGTCGATATAATTCACGATCTCTTAGCACGTGAAAAATCATTGTTATTTCGACCATACGTGTATCTAAACATAGGATGACTATGCTCGAAGAGAATCCATCATTGCCGAATCTTCTTACTTGTTTTATCGTCCATGATGATGCCAATTAAGTATGGATAACTGAAGACAATCTCTGATTCTTCGACAGGAATCTTTTGCTTCTGTTCCGATGACAATTTGTGAAAATTTTTTCTAACTTCATTTATAGCCTAGTTGGTCGTGTTCATGAGAACATTTATTTAGTTAGGAAAAAGGAACCTTTTATTTTCTACCTCGCGTGTAACAAAACCTTGAAGATCATCGAATTGGTCATTAGCGATCAGTTGTGAAACCACGGTTAATGCTTGTCGAGCACCTTCTGAAAATGATTTTATAGCAAAGGTTTGATCGAAATATCCCGTGATAATCATGCGAGAGAAGAAATTTTTTATTGTGAAGAATATATTCGGATAGACAACACGAGGGAGATCCATTAACATTGTTGGTTGCTGATTTGAAGATGTATAACGAACAGATTTGAAAGGTACACGTTTGTTTGAATAGTTCATAAGCGGAGTTAAAAATGAGCGCGCAGAACGTGCAAAAATCGAAGCCATCTAAAATAGAGGAATCGTAAATTTTGGAGATTTCGTCAAGCATCTTCATTAATATATTGCTGATTTGATTTTGTTAGAGTTGATGATCCGATCTTTTTCTAGATTAATAAGCATAGTACTGCGGACGCGTCTACTCCAATGGAAACATCTCAAACAATGTGTTGTAATAGATGGCGTGACATGGTAAACATCGTTCTTTTCAAAATTTTTATTAACAATCTGATCAAAAGAGTGACACTTTTCACAAACAATAGATACAACACACACACATACATGCGCAGAAAACGAGACTATCCTATTCTGTGCGAATGAGATTGAGCACAAGTCAATCTGGCGCTAAATAAAGTTCACTGCCATGTAACATTACCGTATTCATTTTCAGCAGCAATCGAAAGTAGACCAAGTATCAAATATTCATTGAGATGAGCCATATCCATTCGTTCTGATGACGCTTTTGACACATGTACACGTGAACACTGGGCAGTTAAATTTACCAGTCGTTTGTAAAACTCACAAGCCATTTCGTCTGACCACCAGTCGACAACGGGTGGAATTTCGTTTGCCGATGGAGACGATACAAATTGTGGTAATGATAACGATGCTACAAGTTCAAAATCTCTGTTGATAAGCAAAGAGTTTCTTTGTTTTTTCTGTGAATGACTTACCTGTAGTACCATTTTCATATGTTACTGTTACTTGCTGTTTGGATAAAAATCTGTTTTGTACTAGTAAAAGATTTGAACAAGTTTTAGGTCGATGTTTACTGAATAAAAACTGAGTAAGAATATGTTTCCATGTGCGAATAAGTATCGTTGGTCTTGAAGATGTTTTCGAGGCATGCTTTTTTATGGAGAATATATCTTGTCGATCTAACCAACCTGTCGCGATTTCTAAGATAGCCCATTCCATGAGATGCACGCGAACGCGAATAGTTTTTTTCTGTCGTACTTCAAATGCTAACTGCAGTATGCAGCTATTCGGTCCTGAATTGGAATCAAAATCCACCTGAAAGCGAAGTGACTGATGTTGAATTAGTAACAAAAATGAATGAAGAAATGCTTGACCAACAAGGACATAATTCGATGGCGGTGTGAGAAGATTTTGTCTCTGTAAATTCATTCGTCGTAATTTAACTAGCCAGAAAGAAAACAACCAAGGAAATGAAAGAATCTTTTTCGTGTATGGTTGTTCATAGGTGACAATATAACACGCCGATGCCAACGCCATTCGATGTTGATCACAGTCTTCACATACACATTTAACTGAATGATAAGTTTGTAGTTGACCATCATTGAATAAACCCTGTATTCGATTTATCAATTGACCCAATTCGAGTTGAGCTGAATCTGCAATGTCGTATTGTTTCGACATCGTTTGTTGTTGAGAATCAAATCGACAGATCAGATCTACTTCCGAATGGAAATGATATACGTACATGATATCACTGATTTGATCGTGGTAGAGCTTGAACAAATGTTCGGCATCAGCACGGTATAGATGTGCTAATGAATGAATAAGAAATTGATCGGTTTGAAGATGTGCACTGATATGCGATGATTGAATCAAACCAATGGTTGTTTTCGTATGTAAACAACGGTTGATTTTGAGCCAACCCGGCTCCGAACGACGTATAGCACGAAATAATATACCTGAAGATAAAAAGATGAATACAAATTAGTTGTAGGTTAGACTTACCGATTGCATTTGATGACGCATAGAGATCGTATTGTTTCGGTCGATTGAAGAAATCTGCTCGTGCATTATTCAATTTACGTGCGTATGCAGCGATTTGCTCATCTGTCAATGGATGCTTGCCAGTTTTACCGGCATCAACTTCTTCAGCGATTGCATTGGCAATTACAATTGAATCTTTATGTCGAATACTATACATATCGGTCAAAGCTAAATGTAGATTTGATAAACGACCGAGAGCATCCTGTTCGGATATGTCGAGAACGACCTGACGAATATCTTCACGTGTTATTGGCCGATCGAGTTTCTTCGGCTTTTCTTGAGAATCGTATTCATATGGTGCGAAGTTTTCCGTTGTTGGCATCAAATCTGGATGCCAATAGACAGCATATTCATCGCCTAGGAAGCATCAGAAGATACTTTTCATGATTCAGTCGAAAGAACGAGACATTTTTACCGTCTAAATCTGATCCTGAGATTTCATTCGGGTGTGGTCGCGCGCCTTGCTGTGGAAAAACAATACAATCAACTAAATGCCGTAATTTCGGTACATCGACCGCTTCAAATGTTCGTAAGTCACCGGGATGATGACATGGGTTTTTTGTTACAACTATTTTACCGGTAACGATCCGTTTGATTTCTTCACGATTTCCACCACGTCGTCGTCCACCATCTTGCAATTGTTCAGTATCTAATTCTGTGTATTGAACGAACACTTGACCATATTGAAGAATGCCCGTTTCATCGACAATACCAAACATATTACGACCTGAGTTTTTCGAAATTTGTATGCGTGTTTTATCCTACGTGAAGATGATGTGAATATATTTCATAGATCTTTATTTCGAAACACTTACCTGAATTCGTTTGATCTCTAGTTTACAAATTGTTGTTATTATTTGACGAAAGAATGGTTCGTGAATGAGATCCACATGAGCGGTTAGTATCAAATCTCTTAACGGTAAATGTTGAGCAAGACGTTCGTTGAGTAATTCATACGCTGACGGTAAGTAAAGCAAAGATTCTACCAGCCATAGAAGATGTTGGTTTTGAAAAAGAAGAAAGATCGAATGTGGAATGAGACGCGATTCAAGCAAAGCTATTGCTTGACGATTTAGATGTAAAGGGCCTAGATGCGATTCACAATTTCGAAATGCTTAGATAAAACTACGAGACTACGCACGTGGTGCTGATATTTTGCATAGTTCTAAAACATCATGGTTGGAAATAAATTTGTGCATAGATTTACGCAAGATTAATTGTTTTTCTGTATAGTCTAAATCAGGATTGACGGAAACAGTTCCTTTACAACCAGCATATCGAATTTGCATGACACTGAATTTACGTCGGAAACCCATGATGTAACAAATTTCATCTCGCAACAGCGATGAAAATGTTCCGACTCCATCTGTAAATATGTAACCATTGCGTTCAATATCATCAATGATTTCTGTTTTCTCAAAAGGAACCTATACAGCGGAAATCTATTCATCTGTGGAAATACAAAAACGACATACACGTATTGTTGCATCTGAACTTGTAAAACATTGAGCAATGCGTGCTGAGTGTTTGGCCACCACCCGTTCGTTTCGAAAGTCGCCCATCCAATTGTAAGCCTCTTCGTAAGAAAGATTTGTTTTATTTTTCTCATCGTACCAATAGAACCAATATTGTTTCTCTTTCAGTTGCGATTGAGAATGATGAAGGTGTCGATAGACTCGGTCATTGGTCAACTGAAAACCATACGCAAGATAGTTTTCAAATTTTGGACGAAGCACACCGAAATGATTTGCATGGATGGCTTCACCGGTTTCGTCTCGTATTTCAACTAAGAAGTAGAAAGATTAGAACAGAAGTACATGTCAACATGTGCGACAGACCTAAACAGAAATTGAAAGTACCGCCGAATTTCGGTTCGCGTAGGGTTCGATTTGTTTTAACTAGTTTAAATGGTTTAACACAGACGGTTGTGGGTGTTATTGTAACTGACGGTGCATAAGCTTTATTCTTCGGCGGATTTGTTAACGACGCAACATGCGTAGGTGCTGTCTTTGTCTCTTGACCGATTTCGACTAAACGGTTAGTGAACTTGTGTAGTTCTTCATCGATGTCAAGGAAGTGATATTCCTTCGCACGACGCCAAACGTAGATCGCGATCTGAATGGAAAACCTTACCTAATGAGAAGAAAACAACTCTGTATGTTTTTACTTGATAGAATTCGTTATCAGTATTGACTGTTTTTAAATAATCGATGAATTTTTGTGTCGCTCGTTGTTGAAAACGATAGCCGATGGACAATAACATTTGCCACGAATAATTCTTGATAAATGAATTAAATATTGGGCGTTCGATACGTGGTGCTCGTGCTTTCGGCACTTCAGTAATCAAACCAGCAAAACAAATTTGTATTCGATGACGATAGAAAAACGCCAAGAATTCTCGAAAGGCTACACGAATATTATTACTCAAGATGCAATCCATTCGATATTCATATTCTTCGAGTGTTTGATCTCGATACCGAGAGTCATTTCTTCTGCCAGAACTATCTTTTAGTCGAGATTCTTTGATCGATATACGAACGGTTGAACAAATTGGTAGAGGTGCATCAGAATTCGATTGGCGTTTTAGAGCGTCACGTGGTTTCATAACAGGCTTATTTTCTTTGCGGAGTTTTTGTCCGATCCACCATGGTTCGACATCTAATAAGAAAGACTCGATGTTCGAAAAGAGTGAGATGGGAAAAGGTATTTTACTCAGCAATTCCATGACATTGCCTTTCATTTGGATGTAGAGCACGAATCCTTCGCTATTCGTGGTAATGACAACACTCTTGTCAATGAAATTTGCTTGCAATCGTTTGACGTATTCATAATTTGGATTGCACTTCTCTTTTGTTTGATAAATAAAATCGACAAAATCTTCATAAAATCGTAGTCGCCATGTTTGTTGAGGTTGTTTCGATAATTTTTCGTAGGGTGAGAATAGATTCATTGCTGTTAATGCGCCAGTCGACCATTCCATTTGGCAATTGATATGAAAGAAGCAACGAGCTAGTTGACGAAATTTGCTCAAACGTGTTTCAGGAATCGGTGGTATGTCGCCGTCGGGAGTGGGATCAGTTTGAGACTCGGTTGGAGCGATCGAAGATGTCACACCATTTGTACCTTTTGTCGGCAAATCTTCTGAGAAGGAAGAACGACAGTTTAGTTTTTCTTGCAATTATTCAGTGTTCTCACCGATGTTGAAAAATGGATCATTAAATATCGGTCGTCGTTTTAGTCCATTCGACAACCAAAATGTGTCACTATGTTTTAATTGTTGCTGTAACAATTTCATCACCGATGAATTAACCATCTTCGCTGATTGTTTCAAAAGGAAAGTATATGAAATAAGACCATACAACCATTGATCATGAACAATATTCTCTCGATCATCTGAGATACGAAATATTCGAGATTCGATTGAACAAATTACTGTACTTCACTTACAGACGAATTTATGTTGATCGAAGATATTACAAACACGTTTTAAACCATTGTTATTATTATCAACAATGATAGATAAATGTGGTTCTTCCTCGATCATTGTTCCATCAGTGTTTGCTTCGGGTTCGTCGAGGCCAATTTTGAATGAAAAGTCAATCGCTGTCTCTTGTTTTTGTCTTTCTTTTTCCTGTTGAATCGTCTTTGGTAGAACATGCGTTTGATAATATTCGAATTCCTATGAATATCAAACCTGACAAATCAGTAGTAAATCAAGGCATTTTACTGCATCGTAATCGAAATGAGTCTTTTTTGTATTCGATAGTGCTGGTACATTGATATACTGATCATCAAAGCTCATTGGTGTATTGTATCCGGACCCTTCGGCTATCGCAGTTGTCGCCGCTTCCATACGTTCCCGTGCAGCTGCAAAAAATCCTTGTATGCTTGACTTATTTACATCTTTGAAAACATCGCTTTCTGAACACGTATCATTTCGACGATGTGGTTTGATTGGAAGTGGTTCTTCAATATTCATACGTTTAAAATCGATAGCCGATGAACACAGACCTCGGCCAAGGATTTTCTCTGCACGCCACATCTAATTTGTCAGAATAGTTTATCGTTGATTCGCAACAAAGTTTGAACTTAAACGTACCACTGGACTATGCACCGGACTTGGTATCAAACTACTTATTCCAGAACTGCGATCATCAAATTCACTGTGTGACGCCATCGAAGATGTATGTCCATTGTGATTGTGAATATTTCGATTGACAAACGAAGACGAGGGTGCAGATGGCATAACTGTTGATGGTGGTCGACTTTGTAAACGTGTAGAAAAAATAAAACGTGGACTTTCCGACACTGGTTTCAGTGTAAGCTAAAAAAACTATGTCGGTCAACAACCTGATGCATTTCGAATAGAGATATTCACTCTTGGACAATCTGTTTGATGTGACGCGACTGATCGATTGTCGTCATATCGATATTCGAACTCTGAAATAGATGCATCTTCGTCCATCGGTGATGCAAGACAGTCTTTTGTAGATCCCAATCGAGATAAAACAGTATTTCGTGCTTTCCATAGTTCAACAATTTCTTGTTCTTCTTTCTGTAATCGTTCATTTTGTACAATCTCCAAACGATGGTAATAATCACTGGCTTCGCCTTGTAATTCAACTAGTTCACATTCGCTTTCTTCATCAGAGGGTGTACGATCAAAAATATTCTCTTCATCATACTAGAAAGAAACTATGTTTTATCAGAAGAAACAAAGTCGTATCACGCTCGACTACTTACATCCGTTGTGTAAACAGACATGATAAGACAAAAAAGTGTTTTTCCCTCGGAATATTAATTAAGTATGTAGTTTAATTAATTTATGATACTTTCAACAACGAGAAAATTATTCGAAATTAATGAAGAATTACACCGGTGTGGTAATAAATATATATTCCCCGATTTATTTGTGATTAGTGATATCATTTTACCACAAACAAATATTCTCTAGATGGCGCTGAAATGATCTGAACGACGATGCGCAAATGAAATTGAAAATCATCTACTGAACTGATCAGATCTGTTTGTCGTTCAATATCAAGTGCGTCATCTTTTTGTATCATTGTTTCATGTTTTTATAGCTACCGGTCAAAGCAAGTGTGCAAGACTTCATTATGAATGAATGTAAAACGCTAATATATTTTTACGCGATTCGTTCAACAAGAAAATCATCGTTTATATCAATCAATCAAAACATTTCCACTTATTTACTGATGAACGTAAAATTCGGCTAACTACGGATAATTTGACATTTGCTTCGTCCTTTGATAATGCATGTGAAATATAATCATCCATTAACGACTGATTCATTATTATTATTATTATATGGAACGGTTTTCGATTGGTTTAGGTAATCAAATCCAAATATTGAGTTATTTGTCGATTAATATGCATGCGAAACTTTTCATAAGTTTCGAATTTAAGATGAACATGTTTCAGACAAATCATCAGACAGAAATTTCTTTCGATGAGTCCATAATGTACGAAAATATTGTCCGATGACTGGATTAGAAAAAATGTTTTTCACCTTCAATAAGCTAAACGCATGATTGCACATTGTCGTTATTTTAAATATCGAAAAGCGTCGTTTTAGTGTTTTATTCATCTGTTTGTTTGTATCGATTTCGTTTATCGAGCAGGTTACTGTATTTCTATTCATCGCATTTATAACTTCAATTCATTTTAGATTATCAAGAAACAATGACAACAAACCTTAACGACCTGTTGGCACAAACAGGCATTACGACAACGAATAAGAATGGTATTATAAGTCTCAACAAATCGAAGGCTGATGTTGATAGCGATGAGGATGACGAAAAGCCAGCACCATTCAAAATGCCTCGTGCACCGCCTCATGTCTATTCATGTTTTGTTGTCAATCGTTCCAGTGAAGCAATTGATTGTGATGTGTATTACAACGGTCGACCCGAAGAAGATACTTTCAATGAAGTTGTTCACGTAAAAATTCCAGCGAAAGATGAAAAATATTTTCCCAGAAAAATTTTTCAACCTGACCTACCTGAATCTTACTGTCGATGGGTGAAAATCATAACTAAAATTCATGTGAAAAGGGCAAATGGCACCACTCTGGAAGTGAACTATCCATTCGAAAATGTTCATCAACCAATTCGTAATTGGGAATTTCATGTACGTGAAGAAGGAGAAATCCTATCGAAACCACCAACACGACCAGCCAATATTCTCAAATACGAGAACTTAGATGAATACGAACGCTAAATCAACAAATTTTTTTTTCTCAAGACAATACGAGTAGACTTTTCTCCATAGATAGAATATATTTCTTTTGATATCATACAATTTTTATCTAAGGCGCAATTTTATTTGTTAAAATGAACGTAATAAATATTCTGAAAAATTACATACGAGGTTTCGATGATGAGTTAAACATAGATATCGGATCGATTTATTCCATTGAACCAATTCAAATTGACTCTAGTATTCAAAGAAAACTATCAACTATTGTATTCATTCTGTCTTTTGCGATATTCTGGCTTGGAATGGAAAATTATATAGTTACTATTCAGAATCTTATCAGGTTTTTCAAATCGAGACGAAACTAAGTTGTCATATCTCCGAATGCGTTCTCAAATTCCACTGGTCGAAAAGATCCCACAAAAAAAGAAACAAATATTTCCTAATAACCTGGATTGCAGTCATTTTATTGATTAATTTTGTTAAAATATGCTTAGTTCGACGTAAACAGAATGAATCGAGGTAATAAGAGGCGTTATGTGCTGCAAGACAAGAAAATAAATTACGTGCGAAGAATAGTTTCTTGATAGGAAAACTCTCGTCTATTGATGAGAGTGAAGTTGCTTGTCGTTTGTTATCAAGATGAAATTCTCTGGTTGAATAACAGCTGAATGTCGTGTGAAATGTTATTTTCATCTTCAGTTGTAGCCTTGCAAGTGAAAATAGGTGTAAAAGGACGTATTTTTTGTTAATTATCAAATGAAGGATAAACTTTGAAATGAGAAAAACGTTTTTCTGTTTTTGTCGAACTGGAAAAAAATCATCGTATTCGCTCTTCTCGTTTTCACATCTTTCCATCATTTACGTTCACGTAATATTATATATAAAATTGTCAATTACTTTCAATCAAAACGTTCTACTCTACTTGCTAATGATATGTTGTAAATGGACAAGAAAATAGCGAAAAAAAAGCCACATAATTATTATTTGTACTCATTCTGCGTTCTGTTTTTATGTCATTTTCTACTCATTAGTAACGGTGCTTATGTATATGTACATGTCTGCCTATGATACTGTTCCGTTTCTTCTCATTTGCACTCTTCTCCGTCTGTAATCACTCGACTCTTTTCATAGTTTGTTACTATATACAGATGATGGTAAAATAAGCAAGCAAATTGCTTAATTTCTTTCTCTTCGCTTATTATTGTTTTTCACGCATTCGACTATCTGAAGAGAGAAAAAATTGTCTGTTCTTGTATTTTGATCAAGGTTAGAATCTACATCAAAATCAGTAACAGTACCAATCTGTGTTCCAGCTGACTGATTGCATGTCTCTGTACATCTTCATTTTTTTTCTTTTTCACTCTCTCCATTACTTTCGTCGTTTTTTCTTGCCACAGATAAGTGTATAACCACATACATCGTCACTCTCATTAACAGCACATTTATCGATTCATCAAGATTCATAAAAACAGATACATAAAAAGGACGGCATTAGTAGATTTATACCTAGTATATATTTTTGTGACTAACATTCGATATAATGTACACAACCACTACTGTTGCCATAGGTAGAGGACCAATGAGTGGCGCTGGCGTTGGATATGGTGCGAACCGACAAGAATTAACTATCGTTGTTCCATGGTCTCCTGAATTTGGTGCTGCTTACCAACAATTTGTTAATGGTGGATTTAACAACGCAGCCGGAGGTATGGGTGGCCTAGGCGGTCTTAGCGGAGGTTTACCTATGGGTGGTGGTATGTCCATGGGAGGATTTGGTGGTATGCCTATGGGAGGAGGTCTATCAATGGGAGGAGGCTTACCCATGGGAGGCGGTCTATCAATGGGAGGCTTTGGTGCTTCTCCAATGGGAGGCTTTGGTGCTTCTCCGATGGGAGGCTTTGGTGCTTCTCCGATGGGAGGCTTTGGCGGTGCTTCTCCAATGGGAGGCTTTGGTGGTGTTTCACCTATGGGTGGTCTAGGCGGTGGTAATCAAATACAAGGTGTTCCTATTGGATTTGGTGTAACAACAGGTGTTTAATTCAATAGAAATCATCCGTTGAATTTACAAGCAGCGTCGATTATACATCTTCTTGATCTCATAAAGAGGAAACATTTCTAGCGATTTGTGTTACACATCTTTTTCTTTTATATTATGAGTAGTAGTAACGATTTTTCAATAAAAAAAGTTGAATGTGCAGTATTTGAACTCCAATACGGTTAACTAAATATACGCGTACATCTGCACTCGTGTAAACGCATCAATAGTACACTTCATCTACTATCCGCTCCATACGTTCAACGAAGTAATCAAGAAAAATACGGCAGTCAAGAATCAAGAGCAATTTTCTTTGAATATGGAATGGTTCGCTGCAAAACAAAGTCACGATTTGTGTTGAATAAGGTTTTGTATCTCTATTCAATATTGTTAAAATTTTGAACGATTTCTACTACAATTAATAAAATATTGTTGGTAGAAAATACATGATTGTCTTTTGTACATATATTTATATGTATTTATCAGAAATGCTTGAAATAACTATGACAACGTCAAGAAAAGAGAAAAAAGTATAGCAGTATGGAATAAAAATTCTTAAACAAACACGCATTTATTTCTGTTACCCTCAACTTTGCTGTCGGCGTTCAAGTAAATATTAACTCTTCCTTTTTCTTCGTCATTTCTCAAACTTTTCTCAACAGATATCTATGACAATAAAAACAGAAAAAAACATTTCTCATTCTTACTTAATCAAATTAACTTATGATAACACCCGTTATGCCGAGATATTTATTTATCATCCAGGGGAATATTCAACATGATCACGTTTGAAAGAAAAACATCAGTCATAGCTCAACAAACTCTTTATTATCATAGACTGTAGAATAAAAAAAATAAGGGTGATTATTACGCATATATTCCCCCACTGTGCATAGCAGTGAAGGAAGCCGTCTGGCATTTCACTCTCAATAGACGTCATAGAGCAAATTTTTGTTCCCTTATCATTTTATATCGACATATATATATATATATAGTTGTTTTTTGAAGATATAGGAGACGCGTTTGTTTCGAATACATTTACCAAGATTTCAAATACAATGCGAGCATTATTCATTCTTCTTTCCATTGGTTTACTTGTTACTTTAATCCATTATTCAAATGGGAATCGTAAGTTGCCGAATTAGATTCGTTTTCCGTTTTCGTAAATCATTTTATTTTAGCGATCGAATCGTCTTTATCGGCAAGTGAAGAAGACGACAGCGTAGAATCGAATGAATCCCATACTACAGCACCATCAATTGATGATGAAAGTGACGAAGAAAAATTGCATGTTGCCATCAGCGATGAAAACGAAGATGTCAAACTTGCGAAAGCGCTTGAATTTCTTAAAACAGTTCAACAATCAGAAAGTGATAGTAATGAAAAACAAGCTGATGAAGCATCGGCTGACTCAAACGTTGCCAAAACTAACGATCCAAAGATCGAGAAAGAAAGCAGTGAAGAGTAAACGAGCAGAACATCTTTATTCTACATAAATTCAATTCAATCAATTGCTTTTCTGTCATTTGTATCGTTTTAAACTTATACACCCATTCGAATAAATATTGTCTTTGAAAAATGTTTTCTCTTCGTGAATCCTATTTGAAGTTCGACAAGATTCTCTAACGAACTTGACTTGAACGATAGTCGTTGAAGGGCAACTTCGACGAGGTGGCCGAGCGGTTAAGGCGTTAGACTGCTAATCTAATGGGCTCTGCCCGCGTGAGTTCGAATCTCACCCTCGTCGCCAGTTTTTTTTTCTCCGCCTTCGTTCCACATATTTCATTTCAAAAAACAGATCACACAATGTTTTGACATTCAAATAGTTGCCTTTTTCGCCCCTCTTCCTTACTTTTCTTTTGTTGATATCATTGACATATGAAAACGAAAAATTCGCTTGTAAACAAAGTTTGCGAACATTTCTTTTTTACAACAGTATGATTAATAAGAAATGTTTTCTACAGCACATTTTAGAACAATACGAAGATATCGTTAACAGACATTTGAAATGAGTAATAGGAAAAAATATGATCGGATTGATAAGAAGGTAACCTTTTGTAAACTATTGCGTTATTACATCGAGATAAGATAAGTTGTTTACAATGAAAAACACTTTATGACCCAGGTAATTCGATGCATGATGGGTGTGTGAGGACACTTTTTATCGAAATATTCACCAAATTAATTTATTGTGACTTCTTCCGCAGTTAAGAATTCATTTCATGATTTCATTCATTATATAATCAAAATACTTTTAAGACGAGCGTTGAATGGAGTTCATCATTCTTCGACGCAATGCGATCTGCTCTTTTCACTATTCATTTTACACGATGGAATTAATTAGACTGGATGACATGTTCAATGTCAATTCTTTGCCATAAACAATAATAAACTTCTCTCCACGTCTATATCTCTATGTATCTATTATTACATAATATTTTTCCAGTATGTCAACGCTTCCGACACCACTCTGTATTTTACTTCGCATTCATTCGCAGCACTTGAAAAATCTCTTCCGATGAAACATATTTCTGTGTAGAAACATAAACATTAATATAATTGTTAACATTATATTCTTCTACTGAGAAACTCATTTTTCACATTTTGTAAAAATAAACAAATGAAGTGAAACTATAGTGGAAGAGAAATATGTACATACATATACACCTCCGTTGTTCCTTTGATTACAAGATAACATTTCTTCGACTGATATTTCACGTATCACAGTCGATACATAGGATCACGTAGACGATTATCTTTATCTTGTATATTTAAAGTTGAAATCAAGAATGGAATCAGCTTTTTCTCATCTGATATTCGCTGAATATGTTGCACGCTGCGTTCTTGTTGATCTGTGTCCTATTACCTCATTATGTTCATAGTAGTTGTTGTCGTTTACCATTTACCGATGGTGAATGCAATGTCCGTCGAGAAGGTCCTCATCGATATCAGGTTATGCCTGACCGTCGTTCGGGTCTGGTGAAAGAAAGTACAGAATGTTTTATCAATGAATTCGATGCAAATTACCGAAAGGTGGTAGAAACGAAAAATTATTGCAATGATTGTCCTGGTTTACTTATCCTACATACGAATTCGTCGGAAATTTTCCTTTTCCCTGAATATCTTGAACGAATTCTAGAGGGACGAACACCGACACAACGGTAAGCAAAATCTATTCTTAGTTGAAAATTCATTCAACTATGCTCAAATTTTATTTTCCAGAAAAAACGTGATTATATTAACCAAATCACTTGTTGGTGCATATGATTTAGATTTTTCCTTTCTCACACGTTTTTATACTGCACGACCAGTCGCAGATGTGCCATCAATCTATGTCGATCTTCAATTGCCAGTTTTCGATCCGAAACTTGAACATCAACCATCTCTACGTCTTCGTTTGCCTGTTTATGACGAAGATAAAGAAGGATTCACTAAAATCAGTAGACAAGAACTAATCAATCCATTGGATACCACGGATTCAGCGATACTTAACGCACATCAACTACCGTATCTATACCATTTTGATATAGAAAAACATCATTATTCGCCAAGTAATCATTCAGATGTTTTCTTGTCTAAACACAGTTGGTCGGTTTTCTTTCTGTTTCATAGATTTATGCACATTGAACAATGTTACTGTTTCATCTACTGGTCTTATCTGGAAAACAATCGACTCAGGAGCACCTACATGTCATACTTACATGCCGTTCTTAGGACGAAATCGATGTTTTGCCAGCGGTTTTACACGTATATTTTGTCCTATCGAAGAAAGTGTATCAACAGATGATACTCTTCAATTATCTCTTTATGCTCAAGTCATTAATCATGTTGAACATTTAACTGTCGCTGTGACTGGTGGTCGTCATGTTGAAATGGCCCTAAGCAATCGTCAATTGTATCCTGCGGAACAAGTGAAAGTCCTTCTACTTCAAGGTCACTTGGCAGTGACTGATATTAATTTAAACTTATCTATTCGAGTGGAATACGGATGGAATTGTAAAGATTTTAGCTTGGCAGTTCCGGCTGGATTCAGTGCTACACGATATCGTCGTTTTGATGGTGAAAACTTGGCTATTTTTGAAAGCAACAGTGTTGTGACATTGCCAAGCTGCTTTAAAGTAATACCTAACGGGGCTCAAGCGGCAGCCGCTCTATTACGAAACACTCTTGAATCGACGACATTGCCATCGCCTCCTGCTCCCCAACCTGTCGACCCAGCAGAAGAATATCAATTTGATGATGACGATGATTTACCTACTGTAGTGAAGCCAGAAATCATCAATGGTTTAAATGCAGCAAATACAACAATTGTTGATCTGGAAGATGAAGAGAACTTTGTAGCACACTATTGGAATATCATAACTAGTGATAGCAGTATGTTACTCTTTATCGATAGATTGATTTATACACCTATTTTTCTTTTAGATCTACCATATACTATCGTCGTTTTAATAGTATTAGTTGCGCTTATTCCTATATGTATTGGTGTTTGCTATCGTGTCTATTGTGGTCAACATCGTCGATCTGATTGGACATTGGAACATCCTGCTCACATGACTTCGGGTTCTATGAAATCAAAAGATGAACTGAATAATGTGTCCGTTCACTCTCACATCGATATGTCAACTCAAACTACAGACACTCCAATTCGTATCTAAGAAAAAATGTCGTCTTATTTTCTTTCTCTTTTTCGTCAGTGAATAAAATGCATTTATATATAGAAAAATTATTTTTGACAAGCACAAACAAACAAATACCAATCAATTGTCTGATTGATTAAATGCAACGTTAGAATATTTTCAGTTGTTCGTCACAATCAAATGGATATGTCTTGAAGGAGAACGAAAGAGAGAATGAGAGAGAAAAACGTAAGAAAAAGAAAAAAAAATGTATACGAGAGTTGATCAAGTGTTATTTTATTTATACAAGTCTCTTTTTTTTTGTATATTTCTCCTCTGGTAAGTTCACGTACACCAAGCGGAGACACAGACGTGATCATGACAGAAACGATGATGCAAACATTCAATTCGTTGAACTTAAATTCCAAAAGACTCTACCAAAAACAAACCAATGTTTGTAGAAATATTCCATCAGCGTATTCAATCAAGGTCTGTTCGGACGAATTTAAATAAGGTCAGAGTATAGAAAATTGATTTCTTTTCGAAAGGATTCTGTCAATACTGCAAATGCGAATAGTAATGACTGGCATCGGCTTTTATTAGCTCGTTTGAAACCTGGTGTTGCTGGCAGATACGAAACAACAAGAAAACCAGATACTAAATCTCATCGATGCGTATGTAAATCACCTTGAAAATTCCTTCGATTATGTTGCTCAGCAACATTGATTAATTTCAATTGAAATCGCTATTTTTTTCTAGTTAGCAAGATCCTTTGAAACCTCGAATGTTACATTACAATCTTTTACTGACGAGTCGTATATCATCAACGAACAAGAGATCATTGTGGCACATACAGGTGAAAATCTTTCGAATTGTACATATTGATTTTCATAATAATTCTGTTCTAGATCCACCTGAAGAATTCGATTCTTTACTAGATAATTCGATAAGAAGAGAAGGTCTCTATGTCAAAAATCTGATGCCATGTCGATACAGTGATCATATCACGTCGCTCAAACGTCGTGTTAGAAAGGTATGTTGATGAACACGTTAAATACCTTCTCGCCGTTCATTCTTTCTTTTTACAGCAACAGTTAAAACATTTCCAGAATCAAATAGCTATCCTTCAAGAAACACCACTTCGTGCGTCGTCGCCAGCCAACCTTTTTCTCATGTCATATGCTGAACAACCACGACCATTACGTCGTTATAAACAAAAAAAGTCCACTTGTGTCGTGTCATTACCATTGTTAACAAACTCGTCAACGAGAACGATAAACTGAATCTCTATGAATGCTAGAAATTACGTTTCTCTCTCCATCTCTCTTATGTCTTTCGTAATCTGTGATCATTGGTAGATTTTGTTTGATTATTTCTTGAAAAGTTTATCTACACGTTGAATAATCATTTTCACCTTCGTTTCACGAACTATCGAACAGATCACAGGAGGAAGTCTTTCATTTTCGAATATTTTCGCCCTCGATTTTTTTAACTATGAATGACTAGAAATGGTCGCGTTAATTTAACATGTAGAAAGGCATTATATTTTAGAGATAGGTAAATAAATATGAAACAAATAAATCACGAAAGTTTCTAATTCGTTTGCACATCATTTCACGAGGAAGAAAAAAGGAATTTATACGATAGGTTTCACATACATTTAGTGGTGGTGAAAAACATCATCATGATTGCTTTTTTTATTGTTAAGATTCGTGAGAAACTAAACATGAATTAATGTGATTTATAGGCTTCATCTATGTCAAGTCGTTGAGTTCGTTGTAATAGTGCTTATAGACTCGTTAATTAATCAACTTTCAGAAATCTATTCCTACGAAATTCAATGAGCAGCGATGAAGTTTTTTTGACTTTTGTCGGAAATCCTTGACGAAGATTATGAACAGGTTGATTCATTAAATGTTTTATCAATAAGATTCTTCGACGAGGTGGCCGAGCGGTTAAGGCGTTAGACTGCTAATCTAATGGGCTCTGCCCGCGTGAGTTCGAATCTCACCCTCGTCGCCACTTTTTTGCCATGGAATTTTTTTTTGCTTTCTATTGTCTATGAAACTGTAAAAGACAAGACGATATCTATTACCAGAAATTCGTTTTGAGTAGTTTTAGCGTTTACATGAGAGATTCTTTGTACGAAAATTTTCAATTCGACTATCCGTTCTCTTTTTTCCTACAGACAAGCCGAATATTGTATGAACTATAATATCGATTGTTGATTGGATGATTTGGACGGTTTGGAACGACCAATGCGATCATGAGTAGATATTTTATGGACACAAGTTAACGAATATCTCGTTCAGTTAGTTTTATATTGCTTAGAGATTTGCCTTCTTCAAAGTGAAAATGGGTAAAAAGAATCGAGAGCATAATTCTACAATATCATCAACATCTTCCACTCGTCAGCAAGATGAAACATTTGAATATTTAACGAAAACATTCAATCGCAAAGATGGACCTATACCAGTTAGTAATTTCAATTGTATAGAATCCGCGTCTTTTATATAAATTTCTACAGGCAATGTGTGATGTTACTCGACCACATGTAGATTCATTCAATTGGATGCTTAAAGAAGGTCTGATGAAAGCAGCTAGTGTAAGAAAAGAATACCACGGAATTGTATTATTTATTGACTTTTTCAATGATTATACAGGCGATCTTACCATTAGAATTCGAAACAAATACAAAACTACGTGTGAAATTGAAATTCGTGGTAAGAGCAAACAATATATTCTTCTTCTTCTTTTTCGAATTTGTTTTCTCATTGTCAGAGTTTGGAAATCGCTCGACCAAAAGCAAAAGTAGTTGCAGGCGCAAATCGTCTCAGTCATTATGTTTATCCTGCTGAAGCTCGTATGGGTAAGAGTACATACTCAGGAACTTTACATGCTCGTATCCATGGCGAAGTATTCGATCAAAATGGTAAACTGATTGGACGTGAATCATACGATCGAAGTCTTGGACCAATACCTGTTATGGTTCGAGTATGAACATCTTGATCTTCATTCAGCTGTTCAGTATTCTCAAGTACACTTGTTTCTTTTAGAGTGACGCATGTAATTTAGCCAATATGAATACGAAAGAACTATGTTCAAAATATGAAGAACCAAATGAGAATGGTGGATATTTTATTGTGAAGGGTTACGAACGTATTGTACGTTTATTGACAATGACAAGACGAAATTATGTATGAAAACAAAGTTGATAATGATTGTTGTCTGAGCTTAAGTTTGATTTTAGCCAATAGCAATGTCTCGTGGACGATGGCGACAACGTGGTCCGGGATTTACGGATCGTGGTGTTCAAATTCGGTGTTTATCTGACGATCAACGCGGCGTGGTAAGATCACTGTTGACTTCAAAAGCAAAACTTTAGTCTCTAATTCGTTCTAGGAAAATACACTACATTATTTGGATACTGGTGCTATATCACTTGCGTTTATGTTCCGAAAAGAAATGTATTTCATTCCTGTTATAATGATACTCAAAGTAGAGTAAATTACTATTTTCAAAACTTGATTTGAATCTGAAATTCTAGATGTTAGCTGATGATAACACATCTGATCGAGAAATTCATGCCAATCTCATGCGTGGTACTTATAGAAATAATAGTGCATTGGATAGGTAGTTTAAAGCGGATCGATGCTCATTGGAATAAATAGATGAATGCGTTCTTCTTGTGTAGTAATATCAAATATATGCTTCGTCAGTTACAAAAAACTTACTGGAATGAACAACCGTTGATTACACGTCAGTTAATCATTGATTATGTTGGTTCACATTTTCGAACGCGTCTCCAACGACCATCATGGCATACCAATGCTGATATTGCACGTTATTTACTAGATAATTACATATTGATTCATCTGAAAAGTGATAAAGCCAAATTTCAAATGCTAACGTTCGTATATAACCAGTGTTTCTATAAATGAAACTATGAGTTTGATTTAGATTCATGATTCGGAAACTATTTTCTTACGTGCGAGATGAATGTAAAGCTGAAGATCAAGATGCGCCCTCTATGCATGAAATTCTTTTGCCCGGTCATGTCTATTTAGCATTACTTTCCGTAAGATTATTTTGACTATACTTCGCACAGGAATACTTTCTGTCTTTCGGTTTTCTAGGAACGATTGGAAACATGGTTAATATCCTTGCGCGAAACTTTCTTGAAATTAAATAAAAGTACGAAGACATCAAACGATGCGTCGATAACTACAAGTGCGTAAGTGTCGTTCACCAACGGAACCCTTAATATCTTCGTTTTTATTTGCAGAACTTCGTCTAGCGATGGATACCATGGATAAAGAACAGATAGCAAAAGCTTTTGAGCACTTTCTAGCAACTGGAAATTTGAACTCAAAAACTAATTTAGGTCTAAGACAGGTAACCCCCGTTGATCGATTGCACATAAAAATCAATGTGGAATCTGTTTGTTTTTAGACTAGTGGCTTCTCTATCATTGCCGAACGTTTGAATATTCTTCGATTTATATCTCATTTTCGTTCCGTACATCGTGGTGATGCATTCACAGAAACCAAAACGACATCAGTTCGAAAATTGCTTCCTGAAGCATGGGGTTTTCTCTGCGCTGTTCACACTCCTGATGGTTCTCTGTGCGGTCTACTCAATCATCTATGTATGACATGTCAAGTGACACAAGATACACCTACGAATACATCCATCGATGCTCTAATTGATACATTACTTTCGTATGGTATGCGACGAGCACCATCGTTAGATATTGATTGTTACGACGTCGTTCTTGATGGACAAGTTGTGGGGTAAGTTTCGTACATTGCAATGACGTTTTCTTTAGAAAGATATGTTCTGTATAGATTTGTTGACGACAATCAAGCACCATTAATTACTGCACAACTTCGATTTGATAAAGCTACGGGCAACCGTCGTCGTTCGGGTGTTGCTGAACATTTAGAAATTGTTCTAGTACCAAAGGAACCACATGGATTGTATACACTTTATCCAGGTCTCTTTATTTTTACAACACCTGCTCGAATGATTCGACCGGTAATGAATTTATTAACTAAAACTACCGAATACGTTGGTACATTCGAGCAAGTCTATCTTGGTATATGTATAACTCATGATGAATTCGTACCTGGAGTAAGAACGAGATACATTCTGAATTCAAAATCTTTACGTATGGTTTTTCTTAGCATACAACTCATCAAGAATTGACACAATACAATTTCTTATCAATTACAGCCAGTTTAACACCATTCAGCGAATACAATCAATCTCCTCGTAATATGTATCAATGTCAAATGGGTAAACAAACAATGGGTACACCAACATTAGCATATCGAAAACGAAATGACAATAAATTATATTATATTACCACACCACAAGCACCACTTATTCGAACACGTGTTTACAATCAATATGCACTTGATGATTATGCCATGGGCACCAATGCCATCGTCGCTGTACTCTCCTATACTGTAATTTCTTTTTCAATTCAATGCGAAATACGCTTTCCTATTGATATTTAGGGATATGATATGGAAGATGCTATGGTTATCAATAAAAGTTCGATTGAACGAGGTTTCGCTCATGGTGCGATATATGCATCTGAAGTTAGTTTCATTATCAGTATAGATAAGAGCTATTGCACGTTGATTTTTTCGTCTTAGTTAATCGATTTACAAGAATTGGTGACGGATAGAACTGATCAAGGAAAACATCCGCTTGTTTTTTGTAAGTATCCGAATATTCAATTTTTAGATAATATGATGTGGATTTATTTCTAGCTTTGGACACGAAAAATCCTCTTTGGCGTCATTTGGATGCTGACGGTTTACCTGTGATTGGCTCAACGATTCAGCCTGATGCGGTTCTTTGTTGTTATTTGAATACATTGACTCAAGAATACAAAACAGTGCGGTATCATAAGAAAGAACCAGCATATATCATGTCAGTGACACTCGTTGGCGATGAAGACGGAAAATTACCAAAATCCAAAGCATGGATTATGTATCGTATTATGGTAAATATATCCGCTAAAATTTTATTTCGATTTTGTGGATAAAGAGTTGTATTTTTCTTAATCTATCTTAGCGTACACCTATTATCGGTGATAAATTTTCGTCACGTCATGGTCAAAAAGGTGTTTGTTCGCGTAGGTACCCAACNCCAGCATATATCATGTCAGTGACACTCGTTGGCGATGAAGACGGAAAATTACCAAAATCCAAAGCATGGATTATGTATCGTATTATGGTAAATATATCCGCTAAAATTTTATTTCGATTTTGTGGATAAAGAGTTGTATTTTTCTTAATCTATCTTAGCGTACACCTATTATCGGTGATAAATTTTCGTCACGTCATGGTCAAAAAGGTGTTTGTTCACGTTTGTACCCAACAGAAGATTTACCGTTCACTGAATCTGGTCTTGTACCTGATATTATATTCAACCCTCATGGTTTTCCATCTCGTATGACTATCGGTATGTTATTAGAATTCATGGCCGGCAAATCAGCGGTTTTGCATGGTTTATCACACGATGGTACACCATTTCAATTCAACGATGATTATCCGGCTGTTGATTATTATGGACGACTACTACGAGCCGGTAAGTGCGAAGAAGAAGAAACATACCCTGATCGATCTAGTTATTCTTTTGTTTAGCGGGATTTAGCTATTATGGAACTGAATCGATGTATAGTGGTACAACGGGTCTTCAACTTGAAGTCGATATTTTTGTGGGCGTTGTTTATTACCAACGTCTTCGTCATTTAGTTAGTGACAAATTTCAGGTAAGGAAAAGAAAATATATAAATTTTTTTGTATGTCTATCTGATTACTAAAATACAAACCAGGTACGTACAACTGGACCGGTGGATGCATTAACCAATCAACCAGTGAAAGGTCGTCGTCGTGAAGGTGGTATCCGTGTTGGTGAAATGGAACGTGACGCTCTTCTTGGGCATGGCGTCGCTGGTATTCTTTTAGATCGTCTTCTCCATTGTTCAGATGAAACACGTGCATACGTATGCACACGTTGTGGTTCATTGCTATCATTAGTCAAAACAAAAATCGGTTATGTCTGTCGATATTGTTGTGGTTCATCATCGAATACGGTTCAACGTGTCACGATACCATATGTACTCCAGTATCTTATCGCCGAACTTGCTTCTGTTGGTATTAAAACACATTTTGATACGCAATCAGTTGTACGAAATTTTGTTTTGTCTTCTCAATGAGATAGACATATGGAAAAAAAATAAAAATGTTTTGTTTTTCGAAAAATGATTACGTATCGATCCGAACGGGGAAGTAGTCTGTGCACCTGTTCTCCATCACTCCGTTATACTATTTCAATCTATATGTTGATACGAAAGTCGTAAGATATTTTTATTCCGTTACATATTACGGCTTCACAAGTTATAGAGTTTTTTTTTATGATTTGATTAACAATATATACAAACAAAAAACGAGATGGCAACCTTTACGTTCGTCGGATCGCATAAATATGAGTTGACAAATAGAGTCCATAGGAAGTCTATCCTATGTAAAGAGATGAGAACAAATTGACTGAATGTAATTAAAGTTCTGCGAGAGAAGTAGCTGTCGAAAAGAACTTCGGGCGAGAAAGTAAACGATGAATCCATCGTTGAGTCATAGGGTATCTAGGTATGACTTCGTCTAATAACAATTATCAATTTTCCATTACACAGAATTAATCATTCTGTAAGTCACTAAGTATGACTAATTTGAAATTTTTTTCTTCACGCTATTATTTGCTGGTCATGTTTTTCGTTACAAAAAAGGGAGTAGTTTCTCTTTCACCCTATAATTATTATTTGAGAACAAGATGAATAGATTGAATATTGATGGTATTATTCTAAATATAAACACACGTACGCATAACAAGAAATCAACAAAAAAGTACCAAGTGCAATGGTAGAAGAGCAGCATAGGTATATGTATGAAAAGTTTGTAAAGTAGAAAGGGAAGGAAGAGAGAGAGAGAAAGAAAGAAAAAAGTTTAACGATACACTCTACAGTCTTGATTCTCCGTTTCAAAAAGTACATTCAGTATAAATAAGACAAATTTTTCAATCTAGACGTTGTTACTTTGTGACATACAGTGAACAAGAAGTAAGTTATAATAACTATGAGAGATTCGATGAATGACGTGGTTGTTTAGTGAGCGATAAAACTAAAAAAGAGAAACGATCTCCAAGGGAAAACAAAGACAAGAAAGAAACACGAGTTGAACTCCCACCGCCGTCACCACCTGATGGAAACTGGCAAACGATTGATGTGGAAACACTTTACGATAAAGAAAAATGTGATTTGAATAGATATGAAATAGAAACAGTATTCAAAATACTTGAGTAAGAGTAACAACTTTCCGAATCAAATCTAGCTGATTCTTATCAATGTATACAGATCTTCATCGAAAGGTTTAACCGACGATCAAGTTCATGAGCGTTTGGAAAAGGTAGGTATAATCTTACTTGAAGAACTTATTGATCGTTATTTTTTCTGATCAGTTTGGGGAAAATAAAATTGAACATAAAGAACGACATCCAGTGATTCAATTTCTCCTATTCATGTGGAACCCACTATCTTGGTAATATATTCTTACTATTCGACAGTATCCATCACTTTTCTACTGAAGGGTCATGGAAATAGCAGCAATTGTTGCTATTGCATTAAGTAATGGCGAGGGAGAACCTCCTGATTGGCCTGATTTTGTAGGCATTATTTTGCTTCTTTTAATTAATGCAACCATTGGTTATATTGAAAAATATCGGGCCGGCAATGCAGTAAAGGCATTGATGGCATCGTTAGCACCTGAATGTCGAGTTAAGCGTAATAATAGTTCTTGGGCAACAATCGAAGCTAGTCAACTAGTGCCTGGGGATATTATTGCTATTAAATTAGGTAATATTATTCCGTCTGATGCACGAATCATTTCATCACCAGGCGGAGTTATTTCGATCGATCAAGCGGCGTTAACTGGTGAATCGTTGCCAGTGACAAAGGAAATTGGTGATATTGTTCTCTCGTCGACAACCTGTAAGCAGGGCGAATGTGAAGCTGTTGTGATTGCTACAGGAATCAATACTCAGTTCGGCCGCGCCGCTCAAATGGTTGGCGGCTCGAAAGATGAAATGGGTCATTTACAAAAAATCCTAGCTAAAATTGGTAATTTTTGTATGGTTGGCATTATTATTTTTATCGTTGCTGAAATCTTTGTTATGTACGTTGGCTTTCGATACAATTATCGACGTGGTATCAATAACATTTTAGTTTTACTCATTGGGGGATTGCCTATAGCCATGTAAATAAGCTTTGATTGATAATCACAGAAATAACGAATTCATGTTCTATTTTAAGGCCAACGGTTCTATCTGTGACTCTGGCAATTGGTGCTAAACAATTATCGGATCGCAAAGCAATTGTAACACGTTTTACAGCCATCGAAGAACTTGCCGCCGTTACAATTCTCTGTTCGGATAAGACTGGAACGCTAACATTGAATAAATTGATCATTGATAAAGAGACAATTATTAAATATACAGATATTGAAACTGATGATATTATTCGATATGCTGCATACGCTTGCAATCGAGAAAATCCTGATGCAATGTAAGTCGATTGCGTAGATCATAATAGTTATTCTCTATTGTATTTTAAAAAATGACTCTTTTAGTGATACATGTGTATTAGAATCGTACGGTGATGTAGATTCAATCAACAGTTCGATTAATGTTCAGTCATTTATTCCATTTGATCCAACAACGAAACGAACTGAAGTTACCTATCAAGATAAGTCAGATTCAAAGGTTCATCGAGTTTCGAAAGGTATGCCTGACGCAATTTTAAATGTGTGTAAAGCAACTGAGCACGCTGATAAAGTGCGAAAGGATGTCAACGAGTTTGCTAATCGAGGCCTACGTGGTTTAGCCGTTGCCATGTCCGATGGCGATGAAAATTTTAAATTGATTGGATTGTTGCCAATCCTTGACCCACCAAGGGAAGACACAGCCGAGACGATCAAACGAGCAGTCGAACTAGGTGTTCGGGTGAAAATGATCACTGGAGATCAGTTAGAAATTGCAAAAGAAACAGGTCGACGTTTGGGTATGGGTGATACGATGTATGTGTATGAGGATTTAATGCGTGAACATGGCAAATCGGAAAATGATGAATCGAAAATGAACGAAATTATTCTGGATGCAGATGGATTTGCTAGTGTATTTCCTGAGCATAAATTCGAAATTGTCAAACGACTGCAAGACATGGGCCATCTAGTTGCTATGACTGGTAAAGTCTTGCCTTTCGGACAACATATTCTACTTCTCTTTGCTTCTTCAAAGGTGATGGCGTCAACGATGCACCGGCTTTATCGAAAGCTAACGTCGGCGTTGCTGTAGCAGATGCTAGTGATGCAGCGCGGTCAGCTGCTGCAATTGTGTTAACTGAGCCAGGTCTATCAGTTATCATTGATGCTGTACTTGGCTCTCGACAAATTTTCGCTCGTATGTCGAGTTATGCGATTTACACATGTTCTGTCACAATCCGTGTCATTGTCGCATTTGCTCTATTGATATTCATATTTCGTTATGATTTTCCGCCATTTATGATCTTGATTATGGCTATACTGAACGATGGTACAATTATGACCATATCCAAGGATCGTGTCGAACCATCATTACAACCGAACAAATGGCGTTTGAAACGAATTTTCATCTCAGCTATTGTTTATGGTCTTTACTTATCTGCATCGACTGTCGTTTTCTTTGCAATTGTTGTTAAAACCAGTTTTTTCCAAGATCATTTCGGCGTTAACACATTCGAAACGACAACTGATGGTGGTTACAAGCACGGGCGTCTCCATGCAATGATTTATTTACAGGTATCATCAATTAGTCAAGGCTTAATTTTCGTAACACGCGCACGAGGTTTCTGCTTTACCGAACGACCCACCATACTTTTAATTGCTGCATTTGTTATCACACAATTATGCGCAACATTAATTGCCGTCTATGCTGAGTGGGATTTTACAGATATACGTGGCTGTGGATGGGCTTGGGCAGGTAATCATGAATACTAACTATTGTTCTTTCAACTTTCATCGTTCTTCTCTTCTTAGCAATTATTTGGATATACAATCTAATTTGGTATGTACCATTGGATTATATCAAATTCGCCCTTCAAGCAGTTCTCGAACGTAGTTTACATGCAGTTAGTCCATTCGAACATCTACATCGTCGTTTGATTGCATCGCAAGGTACTGTGGCACCACATGATGGTCTTCAACGAAAGACCAGTGACCGTCGAGAGCAAAGACGTCAATCACAAACCGAAGTATCACTTACTGAAGCTTCAAATGTATGCTTGCCAGCGAAATTTGATCAAGTAACAGAAACCGGATCGTCATTCTATTCACCTTACACAGAAACACTATCGGTTCTAAAGACACTAAATCCTTTATTGAGTCCCCCGCCTAGAACTTAATATCTATTCGTCATTTTCTTCCGTCGTGTTTTGGTTGTAAATAGATATATCAAACTATTTTAATTCCGCAAATAAACAAATCAATATACTGCGACAGGACAGTATCTGATCTTGATCGCATGAACGTGTGAAAAAGCTCTTCTGTCAATTCATCGACGAAGGGTGACATCTTTCATCGTCAATGATTGGTAGTTGTATGTCGATACATCAATACATTCGATCGATTCGATCGTATTCAGAGACATGAATAGGCAAGCAAAACAACTTCGAAGAGAAAATCAATTTTGTTTTAACTTTAAAATGTTTGCTTTCTAATGCTATAACCTTGATTGCTTTCATAATCATCTCACGTAAATTCCATCCACAGTTGGACATTTATCGCTTTGCTAAATGTCAACAGATCGATTGGCAACTAAGAAGATATATGTCTAGTTTTGATGACTTATCAAACCGACGTAAATGCTTTATCGTTCTCTATCGATGATAGACAACTTGTTGATTAATCGCTAAATGCTTGTTTTTTCTTCTGCTGATAGATTCTCACTTTCCTATAAATACACAACCATGGCTGATGATCTCTTTGCATCAAGTCCTTTCCTAGATCTGCCATTCGCGGAATTTATCGATCCTGTCGATAATTATAACGCTAGTGGTCTATCAACAACAATAATGTCATCAGCGGCAACGACAGCTGGTACTGGTGTCGAAGTAACGTTAAACGCTACGAATGAACATGTGGAATCGACCAGTAAATTTTTCAACAATCCGCTTTTTTCCGATGCTTATTTTCGAGTTGGAACGCAAACATACCATGTACACAAATTTATTCTGGCGAAAGCTAGCGATGTTTTAGCAACGCTTCTCTATTCTCAACAATGGGCATCATCCAATGGCGAGATTCTACTTGAAGAACAAGACGAATGTCAAGGCGAAGTGTTCGAAAAGTAAACTTTCAGCAAGCTATTGTGCATATTTCGAAAAATGTCTCTTCCATTTCTTTTGTAGATTTCTGAAATTCTTTTATACAGCACAAGTTACACTAGATACAACCAATGTCCTCGGTTTATTATGTCTCGCAGATAAATACAACGTACAACCGTATGTAATTAGACAAACATGTTCTTTTTTGCTAATCATTCCATTGTTTTTTTAGTCTACGTAATTTATGTTCTCAGTTTATGACTATGAAAGCTAAACCGCCCAACGTTCGTAACGCTATTGCATGGTATTCGATATCAAAGCAATTTTCTCTAAATGATTTAGGTGTTATTTGTATGCACACGGTGGCATGGAATATTGAGTATCTTTTATCACCAATAAATCAAAATGAATGGTATCAATGTGATGTTGATTTTATCCGTGATTTACTCTCTACATCAAATCTCGTTCTTTCCAATGAATATTGCTTATACGTATCTGTTAGCGATTGGTTACTAGCGCGTTCCTCGAATACACTGCTTCAAACCTGCGCTCACGAACTTTTACCGTTAATACGTTTCTCGCAAATGTTACCGATACAATTACATCAAGTTGAACAATCAGTTTTATACCAGCGAAATGATATCGGACAGATTCAAGATCTATTAAAACGTTTATTATGTCAAGCATATCGATTTCACGCGTTAGCACCGTTGAGAAGAGAAGTCCATACACCAGAATTCGTGCCATTAGAGTGGTATCTGCCAAGACAATACACTGAAATGAACATCACGTAAGTGAAGATTTCTTCGAGATCGATTGTATTCAGACTGAAATAGGGATCGGGTGGACATTCAATCCACGCTTCGATTCGGTATTCAAGTTGACGTTCAAACCTCTTCATCGCCTGTTCCATCAGTCGATCGAACAGCTGATTGGAAAGTTGTGTACCGCAAACGTAGTCACGATAAATGGACACTTAAGGTACATCGACATGATGCAGTTTATGAAACGCAAGCGCAAGTGACAGCAATCATTTATGATAACGAACGGCGTGTTCTACAAGTTGAGCAAGGTGAAACATTTGCATTCACAACATCGAATCAATATGAATTGGAAATCGTTTTGAGTAATCCATCGGACGCGAAAGAGTTGTATCTTTTAATCAAACCAGTTATTTCCTAATATAGTTTTGTAAATATTTTACTTTCTAGTCAAGTCAAATAAAATGAAAAAAGGAATTTGTCCGATCAATCTTTTCGCAAAAACTTCCTATTCTAAAGTTTATTGCATGCGGCCGGTAGTGTCGAATTTAATCTCATTTGGTCGATATTATTCCACAAGTCCGTGTCTTTTGATGAAACACACAGGATATTACTATGTTGAACGTCGAATTCATCATTCCAACACTTGCTAATACGTATGACACCGTCTTTACCTATGATATAACAAACGTAGCCTAACTGGGTAAATTTGGATGTCTCCATTTGTAGTGTTGTATTCAGCCACGCAGCTTCTTCAAGAATAAATATGTTTGAGAAGAAAAGATATTTATCAAGGAAAAAAATTTATTTTACTTTTCAAGTGTTCGAAAATAAATAATCGAATGCGATGTTGCTGTAGTAATCGTTGGGCTCCTTGAAAGACCAATGGTTCGAATCCTTCAGTATCGATTTTAATTATATCTACCACTGACAGGTTGTATTTATCAGCAAAATGATCTAATGTTATTGCATTGATCTCAACTTGTTGATCAGGTGAAGTGTGCGATACGTCCAGACTGCATACTTCATTACCAGTATTACATTTTTTAAATAAAACTTTGCCGACATAACTAGAAATACACGAAATCGATGTGAAAAATGATCGGGCTCATTATGAGATCGGTATATGTTTACTTGCTGACTGCCATACCATGAATATTCAATGTAGAATTGTGTCTTGCACTGATATTCATCCAATTTTGTACGCTTCTCAGAGCTTCGACTGTGTTTGGTTGAGGTTCGAACGCATGAATAGTTAACGTCACATTTAGTTTAGTATTTCTTCGTTTAAATGCCGCATCTTTGCAATCATTGCATGAACCGCAGGTTTCAGTTAACGCTGGATTTCGCAGGAGAAAATCGTATAAAACAGCCTGGTTGATATTCAATTTCGGAAGAAAAAATGCTAACCAAGTCGCAACTGCATAAGCTTTATTTGTGCCAACGTCTAAGAGAGTATATTTCGATGAATGAGAATTGTCAAACGCCATTAAGTAGAAGTCACCATAACAACCTGACCATACCGGTTGAAACGATGAAAACAATGTTCCATGCTGATGCTTTTCTTCCAATGTACATTCTCGCACAGTACATGAGTGAGTTTTTCGCTTTTCAAAATGAAAAGTAGGAGTAAGAATCGCTCTGGACGAAATCAGTTTCGCGGAAAGTTTCACCAACAACAGGATTACGACTATGAATATGAAATAGAAGATCTGCTTCTTTTTCCAGCACCAGATGTAGTTTTTCATGCACATGTTCAAACGTATTGCAACTTAAGCCATTAAGGTGAACGAAATGGAGCAGTACACCAACGTCATCGGTTCACACAATCAACGATCTACAAAGATTTATGGGATACTTTGATGTTTTTAGCATTGCGTAAATAAAAAAAAAGAACAACAAAATCAATGTGCGCATCACGTGTCATACGTCCATTTTGAAGTTGCAAGTCGTTGAAGAATGTGTCGTTTTCTCCTACATCCATCTCGAAAGGTAAATCACACATGCATCTAACTAGAAATGAACGCAAAAGATATTTTCAACCGATTTGACGTACTATATTGCCTAAAGTCTGCATAATGTGCAATCAACATGAGATGTATTCATGTGATCAAAGAAATAAAGAGAAATATTTTCGTAGAAATAAAATAGACAAAGATTTGTTTTGAAGAACGCATTCAACTTGCTTGCAATATTTTCTATGAGTTTTAAACAACTGAGGATGTGACAAAAGTCTTCGCTATATAATACTCATTATGCGGTCATGAATCATTTAGAAAGATATTTCACGTTTTGTTATCAATAACGAACTTTCGAATGCGAGGACTGCACGATACTTATCACTCAAAATTGCCCAAATCAACTTTCTTTTTGTAATTTATACACAAATAAGGTACAGAAGAAATCAGAACCTAGGGCGATTAATTTCTCTCCTGAGGGGAAATTAAAATTATAATATTTTTCATTCTGAAACTTTAACTTTCGCAATCTTACGAATGAAAAACAAGAGTATTAACGGGAAAACGAACTATCATGAGAATGTAGCGTATTATCTGCCCTACACGGTGACGCACTCTTTCATTTAGACTGTCATTCTTACTCTCATTCTCAATGTCGGGATCATGCAAGCTCACACATAAATAATAGACGCACTGCATTTTCCGATATGACACGCAAAAGCAGTCAGTCCGAATAGGGAGTTTTACTATCTTCATCATTACCACACGATGAAGTTTTTTTCTGTTTTCTTTCTCGGAACTGACGAGTTGGATGTTTAATTGGAAGTCTGTGTGTTTTGTAGAATATAGTAAGCAGTAAGCATCTCAATGTACATGTTAATAGAGAAATATGTTATTTGTTGTAATTTAGAAATAGTTTTCTCATGAACAGAAGTTTTTTTTATATCGTTAGTTTACATTTTCACACTTCAAAATATTTTACTTTTCATTATTTTCTTGTGCAATTTTGAGAATTTGTCAGACAATCTACTAAAATGTTCGTTTATCCGATTTCGTTCTTATTTACTCTAGATTTCAAAAACTATCACACAACCTACAAACTCGGAAATAGTTCGTCAAGTAGGTATTGATTCATGGGATCGTCTTTGGACAGTTGTCTATGATTATGGCATAAGAATTTATGATAAAATGGGACAATCTTTCTTTGCTAGTTGGCCGATTTCATCAGCTAATCTTGCTATTCTAATGATACTAAACACATATGAGATATCTTTTGGTGATTTCTCTCGATTATCCATCGATTTCAGATGGGTCGATTTTCAAGCGAAGACTATAAGAATTTGAGAGAAATCATAAGAAATCAATCGAAAATCTTGGAATTAAACGCATCAAGTAAGAATATTTTCTAATGATTTTCAATGATTTCTCGTTTCGACATCACTTTTTTTCTCCTTGGTATTCACCGAGAGTAACACTCCGATCGTTTACAGGTAAACATTCAAAAACTCATTTGTGCATGTGTATTTAAGAATAATAAATGTAAGCAATCATCGACATGATATAAATAATTAAAAAAAAGAAATAGTTCCAACGTATGTTAAAAGTTTTTATTTTGTTCAATTTCTTTCTTTGTACAGTAACTAAAGAGAAAATCAAGACTATTTATACATGTGCTTGTATAATGCATCTTTTCTTGTGAAAATTTTCTCTTTCCGTCTGAAAACAAGTCGTTAGCGTGGCCATTGTGTTTCGAATTTTTATTGTTTCTCATTTTCCTTGGTCACACGTGCCATAATTACAAGAATATCATCTGGTTTAATGTAATAACGAACAGCATGATTAACTAAACAATTAGCAGCATGTTTCAACGAATGATTCTAGAGAGAAATCAACGAGATAAAGCACAATGATAATGTGAACATTTACTTTCGAGAGAATTCGTTCAATTAAACGATCAGGAACGTTATCGAAGAGACCATCAGTGGAAAGAATAATAATATCATCTAATTCTAATTGGAAATTCTGACAGATTGCATCAAGACTCCTAAATATCCACAAGAAAAATCAATGTTAAATCGCTAAATCACTGAGAAATTTCAAGGAAATGAATATGACTAAAGCCTTGTTTTTATCTCTGATTATGTCATGCTGAAGGTTTAATCGACAAATTAAAAAAAAAAGCTTTTATGCTCTTCCACGATAATGATTCTCATATTACTTATGTGATAGTCCAAGGCGAAAGGAAACTTACGATATTTGAGTATAATTGAGGCCTTTTCTTTTTAATGATGCTGTCCAGGGATAAACATCCAATTGTCTTGGACAATCACCGTTCATTTTTTGTGAACGTGATCGATACACGACTCGACCTTTTCGAACAATCACATAACCTGAATCACCAATATTAACTGAGTGAAGTTGACCAGTTTCACAATCGACACCGACCACACATGCTGTTGCACTACCTATATGATACAAACGAGCAAATCGTATAAGTCACAAGAGAAAATGCAGAAGAGTATAGACCATAGCAGTTTTCTGTTTGAACACGATCGAACGCATGACACAAAAGACGCTTAGGTTCACTAGTGGAGTATTTGCCTGAGTCAGCAAGAGTCGAACAATTACGCATTAATGATTCCGAAAAAAGACGTGGATCGAAGCCATACATTAGATTACCACCGGCGCCATCCGATATTCCTAGAAGAAAGATGTTCACATGTAAATGCTCTGTAAAGAGAAAACCGATTTTACCAAAGAAATTCTTGAGTTTGTGTCGTATTGTAAAACCTGCATCATCACCAAAACATCCGTTAGTTAAAGAGAAGTTTTCGTGTGGAACAGGTAAACGCGTATTCTTTTTCATCCCACATGTTGCAAATTCTAGTGAGAGACTTGAATTATCACGTGAGACAGTTGGCGGTGATAGTTTTTCATGGGCTTGTCTTGCATGTTGATGATGTCGACGATAGTGATGATGATAACGATAAACATCAGTTAACGGTTGAGTATGTTCAACCGGTTTACTCAGTTCACTATAGAGTTTCTCCGAGTAAAAATCCTCAGTAATGTCAACATAATCATGCATATGACTGCGATAAGCAAATGAACAGGTCGACACTCGTGTTAAATCTGGAGACGAAATTTCTTGAAAAACTTTTTTTGTTGTTGATGATTTGGAGAGTTGTTGATTATATCGATTTAGATAATGTTTAAGATTCTCCACATCAGCATCGGATAGTTTGTAAGACGAACGGTTAGTTGTTTTTCTCGACGAACTAGTTTTGAGTATATCTTTACCAATATCGTCTAAACCAATAATCTCGAATTGAACATCAGGCATTATGATATGTTTATTGTGCTAGAAAAGCGACCTTTATTCAATGCTATTGTTTGGCCTCCATATCAATAATCTACAATACAAAGAAGTGTTTTTGTTGTTGATAGGATGAAATATTTGTATCTCTGTCTAACTAACTCGAGTGAATATATAGTCTGTGTTGCTTGATTGATTCAACAGAACGAGAGGCGAAAAAAAGAATGAAAAAGAGAACGAGAGTGAACGTGTGTGAAAACGTCGAAGCATTCGACCGGAACAATAATAACTAGGACGTTTGTATGTCAATGGTCAGGACATAGATGTTCTTTCTCTCTCTCTCTCTCTCTCTCTTGTTCGAAATTTCGTTCCGATGTACGAGCATTGAACGTTCGTTTGGAAGATGTTGTGTGAGAAATATCATATCATGTTGTGATATGTCCTTGTTTTATATCTAAATATTGATAAGTGAAATGAAAATCAATTTTGTACATAATTAGCTGTCCCATGGTTTTTAAAATAAAAAAGAGAGAGAAAGAGAGGGAATTGTTTCCTATTACGTAGTCATAAACATGTCTTTGAACACTACTCATTACATATATTCACATTACATAAAAATTGTGATATATGGATATCATTAACAGCAATTTAGAAAATTTCTTTTGACATTTAAACTCTATCGAGTAATACTATTGAATGAAGAACGATGATGTGACATGAAATTGACATGACAAGTAGGTTTATTCACTGGGATATGTAGTTTATTTAATTGATAATTAAAGAAAAAAATTCATCGTCGATGTCTTAGACGGAGTGCGATTCTGTTTAGAAATCTTTGGTTGCACAATGAAGATAAACGGCGGCATCGTGAAGAGCTTCTGGTGTGTAGTAGTGAAGAAGATCGTTCTTCCAGAAAGCCCATGTTTCGGAATCGGTCAATTTTGGAATGGGACGGTCGAGTAGAGTGATTGGTGTACCTGATTCATAATGGGCAGCGATCCATTGAACAGCTTGAAAGATACCGTTGGATTCAACATCCAAAACGCATTTACAGATGGATCCGCTTGGTTTGGTTTTCATTTCACGGACTTCTTTTTGAAGACGGAGCCATAAATCCCACATATGAAATTTGTGGACAATTCGTTCGGTTGATGACCAGTGAGCACCAAGACCATCATCGGATTTGCCGATCATAGCGAGGATCTAATGAGAGAGGAAAATTGATTTGTTGAGTGGAACAAAAAGAGAGAAAATGTTTTTTTTAAACAAACTTTGTCAATCATATTCATGGTGAAATCGAAGTAATCGGATGGAAGTTGGTCGTTTGGTGCATACATAAGAACTTTTTGTCCGCTTTTGTCATGCAAATTGTGATTGACTGTTGGAATTGTATTCTTTTCAGTAGCACGTGGATTGAAGAGTTGTAAACCTTGAACCGTCATTGAATGAATTGCGTGAGCAATACTTTCGTTGTAGTTCGCTGAAAGACCGCCAGCACGTAATTGCATAGCACATCGTGAACGTGGTATAGCACCATGAACGAGAGCTAAACTAGCAAGGAGAACAGCAAGAAATACTTTCATTATGCAAATTGTTTTGCTCTTAAATAGAAAGACAACGAAATAATGATAAAACGAAAAATAATTCTATTTTGAAAATTTACTTTTCACTTTTGCCTGAAATGATATTACACTGCCAGACTGTGCTCTTTATATACAAATACTGTGACTGATGACATGCGCAAAAAAAGAGAAACAGAGATAAGATACTAAAAGGCGTTCGAGTGGCGAATGATACTGCACTTTGCACGATTCAGCTGACATCATTTTGAGTAAGCTTTTGTGCAGTCACAAGTTCTTCATCTCTCTACCAGTTTATTGCTTTCTACGGCGGTGAAGATCTCATTTTGAATAAGCACTTTTTGTTCCCAAACAAGCAATTGCGATGGAAAAAGCGATGATAGTGCAGCAAGTTGAATTCGGTGTTTTTGATGCGATATGACGAATATTTACACATGATAGTTGGAAGGTAGTGTGTTGACGCTGAAAGATTCTTTAGTCGTTAGCAGTGAATGACCCGCATGAAGAGATTTCTATTCTTTTATTTCAAACAAAAAATGTAGTTAAAACGACACTAACATTGAACGGAAAAAGTACATGTGATTGAGTTTAATTGTTTTTATGGATAAAGCCATTGATTCAGATCCTGGAGCTTACCTAGATATTCAATTGCATGAGCAGCTGCTTTAACCATATGAAGGTAAGCGAAAGTATTTAAATTTTCTAATGTATCACATTTTTGATGATAGCATGGATCAAGGTCGGCATTGGCCATTCCTTTAAACGCCGGGCCTAACATATTTGAGTACCGATCACGTTGCTCTTCAGTTCTAACATCGTCCGCACCTGAGAATAGGCCGCCACATGCTATACCTTCAGCAAGAAACGGACCATAATCACTTCGACCACTGAATTCTGTATAGTCCCATGGTAGATGATTTTGATCAAAATATTCTGTAAATAAACGTGTAATTCGGTTACTACCAGGTAATGCACGCACTGGAGTCGTTTGATTATTAGCTGTTTTACCATCATAAACTCCAAAGATAAAGTTCGGTGATGCTAACATATCAAAATTCAGGTTTACAGAATATGCACTAAGTGAACCATCGGCTTTAGCTCGTTTGACGAAATTTTTTGAACCTAATAAACCGGCTTCTTCTCCGCCCCACCAACAGAATTTTATACGAGAATGCATAGTCAACCCATAGTTTGTATAAGTCAATAAACGTGCTAAATTCAGTGCAATTGCTAATGTTGCTGCAAATCCACTACCATTGTCATTCAAACCAGGACCTGAAAATCAAGAAGTAGCCGACAGTGATCATCCTTACATCATAATTTACCTGCCGCAACGCTATCACTATGACTACCAACAACAATAGTATGATTCGGATTGCCTAGTTTTGTATCGGCACATACATTGGTTACAATAGAAGGTGGAAGTTCTCGATATTCCAATTTCAGGTAAACTCGGGTGGTATTCTCTAGAATAAGTCGCATGCCTGCTCTGTACGATAGAAATAAGGCTGGTATAGTATTATTTCTCGGTGCCCGTGTTCCATTCAATGGTTCGAAACGATCCATAGTCAGTCCATCATTGTAAATCAGTACGGCACTAGCACGTTTGCTCATTCCAAAGAGAACTTTTTCAACAAATGTGCAAATACCTCTTCTAACTAGAGCTACATCACCTTCTTTAATTGCATTCCAATCTTCTATGAGACAACCTAGACGAGAAACAACGGATAACGGTCGTCCGTCAAGCAATGACCAGTTGCGTGCTTCTTTTGAAAGATCCATGGAAACGAAATCTCTGGGATACTGGAATAGTGATGCATTCGATGTGTTTGGTAAAGCCATAAGTATTGGACGACCAGCAAGTTCTGAGCGAGGCACAGAGAAGTAATATTTTTGAACGATCAAACTACTTTCTTTATTCAGTTGTCCTGTAAGATAATCCATGGTTTGATTGAATGCCACTGTTCCTATTGCACGACTTGTTAATTGACGAAGATGAACAAGCATATTCTCTAGCTCAATTGACGCTACTAATGAATCATTCTTCTCTACTGATCTATTAGCATGCTGTATTGGTGTTATTGCAATAGGTGCTGCTGAATAAGATGACGTTCGAGAAACAATAATTGCAACGATAATTAAAATGACCAGTAACAGTACTACAAGTACACCAAATGGTCCATATTGTTGCAGATATCGACCTTTTATTTTCGGTTCAGATTGTAATGACAATGCCGAAATAGTCGGAGAAATAAAAGAACTATCCCTCGGAAATGGATTGAATTGCGTCGGAGGAGCTTGGGCATCACTCATTGTGGTACGCTTCGAAAAAATAACACTCGTAATCGATTTTATACAACATTTTAACGGTAAACTTTTCCTCAGCTACAAATCTTATCTATCCCATTATGTGATCTAATGTCATTTGAAAGTTTGTCGGTTATTTAATATATTCATCAAAAGAATAAGTTTTCTTCTTCCATCTAAACTTTGATACTGAGTAGAACAAAATAATTTATTATCAATTGAAAATAAGAAAAAAACACACATGAATAGCATTTAACACTCCGTTTCTCTTATACACGCACTATTTGCATCACTTCGCCGTACGAATCCTTTCACGCAAAAACAACCAATCGCGCACATATGATTGCATGTTATTTGAGGTTCACGAACATTACTGCACGATCGTTCACATTCAATGCCACAAGTTACAAATTCTTCGTTAATCCCACATGTGCCATCGTACGTAGCTAAACGAAATCTTCCATTCACTTGTCTTAACACAAAAAAAAAACTCGACTTACATCTACTTTCGATGGACATCAACATGATTAAAGCAAAGAACAGACAATATATATGCAGACGTATCATCATTGATCAATAAAAAGAACGTTAAATGAGGTTTGTCAAATATATATATGTATATTTGAAACAAGCATTGAATCAAATGATTCCAAAAAAAAACATAACACATCACAGAGAGTGATACACTTATTTGCTTATGTATACACATTAGAAATAAAAAAAAACACTGTGTATATTTAATTATTCTGACACTGAATTCAAAAGAGAATATGAATTCAATACTAATGACAAATATTGCATTATTGACTTTGGCTAGAATCGATAATGGCTTTCCAAAATCCATCTTTCGTTGGTTTTACTTTTAAGTATTCTCTTGGAGTATCTCTTGTCATAGTCATCAGTTGCTTGTAGGCAAGAACCTTAGCTGTTCGTTTTAATCGATCGCATACACCAGCACCCATTTTTAATTGTTTGTTAAAGACTAACGTACATTTATGATTTGACATATTACGTGTGCGTAGATCGATTTCATGTTCGACTAATTCCAAGGCGGATTCTGGTTCAATCGAACCGTGTTTTGACGTGTTTGGATTACGAAAATATGATTTGATTTGACTAGAATCTTCACGTGCTTTTGCCACATCGTCTTTAGGTGTACGATCTCGCATTCGTTTACATATACGATCAAGAAGATGTTCCATATCCTCACGACGTCGTTCCCTAGATGTAAATTAATGCTTAAAAAAGAAGAAAACAAATGACTCCATCTCTTCAGACTGTCTTTCTTTTAGATTGATTATACTATCTCCAATTGACATCTACCAGACTCATTTGATCCAAATCCCAATGTCTTAGAGACTACCAAGCGTCTCTAAACATATACTTGATAGATACTACCAATCGTATCTAATTGACTCAAAAAAGAAAGTTTGTTAACTGTTTCCTTTCGTCTACTTTTTTCAAGTCATAATCGAACATTATGTACATTGATTATCATTATGAGTTAGGGTACTACGAACTCAATTCAGCTCAAATTACAACTTTAACACACAGAACTGATCTACGAATGGATGTACATCAGATGTATGATGATCAGAAGCATCCAATACTGGAGACGTGTTTAAAGTCGAATTTGAATCCAAACCTCCATTATTATCATCATCATCATACCGTGTTTCACTCGTGGTCGATTCGTCGTCACTTTGATCTGATACTGTAATTATTGAAGCTAAAGGAAAGAAATATGTTTTTAAATAGGTAACAGCGTTGATTACTTTTACTATTAGTCGTTGTTTGTTCTACATCATCTTCTCGTCTCTTCGAATAGGAAAAAGCATCCGAATATATTATTAATTGTACAATTTTCTACGACATACTCGTTTGTTCATCGACTGAAATGGCGTAAATGACGGAAAATCGTATGCATTCGATGACGCTTCAAAAAACACTTCTTAGAAAACAGTCGATCTTTAATTGTGAACTCACAAGTTTCCATGACGTCTGAGCGTTCTGAAGAGCCGCTCAAACTTCGGCCAATACTTGTAGCAAATGCGATTATATATTGATCTTGAGCTTGTCGTACAAGTGCTTGAATTTGAATAGCAGCGAGATTCATAATACTTTGTTTTTCATGTCTTTATAAAATACTGATAATAATCGAGAAGAAACTAAGTGACCTATTGGCTTACCTAATAGTAAAACGGTATCGATACGATGATAATCTTTCCACATCGATCGCACATTCTAGTGTATGTCTTATTCTTTTGATGTGACTGTTCTAAAACACATATCGGTTAAATCAATAATAGATCACAATTTTGATATATTTATCATACACGTTGACCAAGTAAATAACGATCGATTTCAAACGTTTCATCAGGAAGAGAGTTATACAAAGAGCCATAGACCAGCATTTGACGAAAGTTATGCTAAAACATAGATTACACTAGGAATATACATACGGTGATTCAATCAAGTTTCTTACGTCAAAATGAGGTAGATCGTGATATTGAAATTTGACAAGGTCCAGATAAATTTGAGAACATACGTCTACATACGAATATGCATCGAATACGAATGTACAGAGTACGCATACCTTCGAGTTGATTCGAATCTTGTTCATGATGCGATTGAATGATAAGGTGAAGCCTTGGTTGTTCATTGTCACTACAGATTGAATTCAGTTCTTTGGGAACATATTTTCCATTGACTGCAATGGTAATATTCGAGTTTTGTATTAACTACAGAGATTCGCTTTTTACAATGAATTGATTGACTTTTGTGCAACTTTTAGTCATATCTACCTGTTCCCAATATATTTTCTCTGCTACTGCTACACATACTTCATGAGAATGGTCACGCAGAGAAATAATAACTTGTTTACTAGTACTACAGGGTGCTGAAAGTGTAGCCATTTTTTAGTATAAATGTGACAAATTTTGACGAATCAAAGATACCTACAATATACATGGTGTATTTATATTTGTATGAAGAAGCATAGCTGCCTATTGAAAGAAGAATATGATCAAACTGCCCGTGTTGGTGATCATTCGTCGTCCGCCGCTTTCTATTCAACAGATAGTAATTTATCATGTTGTGTCATCCTCGAACGATAACATTGGTCAGTACGATGAATAAATGAAAACACATTGTAGCGAACAATACCTGTCAAAATGTGTGTCGTTCGTTTTCATTGACAGATAGTTTTTCAATATCGTCGATGATAAATATATAGTTAACGAACTGACCGTCTAGGAAAATCGAATCTGTTTGAGATCTATCTTCTCTGCCTGTGACAAATCGAACATTCATTCGTGTCGATATGCGTTCATATAGAAAGCGATCACTGTTTGAGAACGAAAAGGTTATTTCTAATCCTGATTCAGATGAAATCTTCCTGTAGAGGGCAGTCAGTTTAAGTAGCACTGACAAATTTTAACTGAGCAAAAATAGCTACAGAGGTTGCTGTATGTCAATTTATTAGTTGTTGTTCAAAAGCAATATATGATTTTTATTGCAAAAAGTGAACGCAGTTCATGGAGCTGATTATGCTCGTCGTGCCATACCACTACATTTGGGAGATTGTAAGTTAGCATTGGCAATGTATTGATTATCATAGGTTAATGTAAATCGATTCATACTTCCAAGAAAGTCGACTGTAGTTTGGAAGCCGTTCTTGTCTTGCGGCATTGGAATTGGTATTTCAACAGAGCCATTCAATTCTGATGGACATGTTTGACCTACTGCACGAGCTGATACTAATAATTGTGTATCGCTTATCTTCGTAATTGTGACTCTCTCCGATAGACAACAGCATTCGTTTTGATTACAACTATCGTCAACATTAAATGTGCCAATCCAATTGCTGACTGCTCGTTGTGCTGAGCCGCTACATTTGGGAAATTGAATATTCACATTGGCAATATATTGACTGTCAGAATTGAGGGTAAATCGATTATTGGTGCCAAGAAAATTCGCGGTGATTTGATAGCCTCCTTTATCCTGAGGAATGGGAAGTGCTACTGAGATCGTTGTTGAACCGTTCAATTGCTCTCGACACGGGGCACCGGCAACATTTGCTGTAATCAAGAGTTGAGTATCACGAATTTTTGAGATAGTTGCTTGTTCTGCTAAACAGCAGCATTCAGCCTGGTTGCAACTATCGTCGAGCGTAAATGTACCCAGCCAATTTGGCATATCGGATGGTCGAGCAATACATGAAACTACTGCTGTAGCAAGTAACAGAATAGTGAAGGTATTCATGCTTAAAATTAGAAGATGAAATGTACGCAGTTGATTTTCCTAGGTCAACCGAGAACTGCATCTTTATATATATTCGCATGTTGCCTTTATCTATAACAACCTGAGTCAATATTATTGTGGTCATAACGATGACAACGCTAGGTTTGTTATTCTGTTGACTCAAAAATAATCACTGATAAAATAAATCTATTATCAATATATGACGTAGTCATGTAGGATAGAAGGATACCAATCTCGTTTTATTTTAATTTGCATCGTGTGTAAGAAAAATGAAAAATAAATTCGTTCTGTCACTTTTTCGGTTGCATTCGACGTTGATTCTTATTTCGATACGCATTTTTTCGGAGTTCGCTAAGTTTAGTATATTCTAAAGTGATTCGATGAGTTGCTTGAAGAATAACAGGCGGAGCGACTTTAGCAGCCAACGCTTCTTGCCATCTTGCAGCACATAAACACCAACGATCATTCTCGTGCAGACCAGGAAAGCCACTACTATTCTGCGATGTAGAAAGGTCATTACCATGCGAACGTGTAAATGCAAGAAATTCATTTGTCATTTGTGCACATATCGTATGTACACCATAATCACTAGAACCATGCCATTCGCAGGAACCTGTTCGATAATATCCAGTCAATGGTGATGTTGAACATGACTGAAGTCGTTTTCCGAACACATTCGTCTGTTCAACTTTAGAACTCGTGACATCAATCGAAAACAAGAAGATAGTTAATATAACCAGTTTCATATTTTCTCAGAAATTGTCTCTGGAAGAACATAATAAGTAATAAAACCAATATAAATAGAAGTACTTTTTGACTTCGACTATATAATGGTGCACATATGTCATATTTTCTATTGGCTGTTTGTTGCGGATAAACAAACAGCTGTGGTCTCATCAAAGAACTGTTTATTTGATCAATTGTTTTTGTAATATAGCGTTTATGTTGTATTCAACGTCTAGAAATGCACTTATGTAAGTACAAATCAATAAATATGGAATCACTTAGCCGTTTCGTCTGATTTATTTCGTTTATGAACAAAAAAAAAATAGAAACTGATGGTTTTTGTTTGATATTCATGAAATTCTCTCTTGAAAAACTCACCGTATGTGTCATACAATTAAACAATATTCAAATTGAAAATTGATTTGTGAATTCAGAAGAAACGTTTTTTAGATGTGAAAGAGAAAACAAATAGATGTGCACCTTTTTTTTTCTTCTTTTGTACATAATTAAGTTCTATATTGTGTGTTCTGAATCTGCGTAATCGTATTGATTTGTTCTGAAACGATTCACTGCTGCTGATCATGTTCATCATCATAATCATGAGAAAAAAAGACAAAATAATAGAATAAACTTAAAGAAGTAGAGGAAGCCGACGGCATTTACACTTTCGATCAAGAGAAACAAGGAAAAGAGCAAGAGCGAGTACAGATAATGAGAAATAAATGAAGAAAAAAGAGAAAAATAAGCGACACGTTATATGCAGCTGCTTTTTCGCTGTTGTTTGTGTATGAATTATCCTACGTTTTTTTTTCTAATCATTGTTATTCATTTTTTGTAGGTCTAAAAGAGAAAGTAAAGCAGTTATTTAAAATGCTTTCATTTAAAAAAAAAGTAAAAGAATGATTTCATGTTTGAGCGACTATCACCAATTATATGAAAAGCGATAAGAAAAGTAGTAGAAAAGCAACATTTGGGCAGTTAGTGGAGGGTGCTATCGTATGGCTTGGTCTCTCTACTTTTTTGTCTATCAATCACGTCCATTGGATGAGTAGGTAGTCGGTGGATGTTGCTCGTCTTGTTCTCCGCCATCATCTGCTCTTCCTCCTTTACCTGGCGTCATTCCATTATTGCCTGTATTCGTCGTCGCTGTCGTGGCCATTTGTGTTGTTGATGCTGGTTGTGGTGCAATAGTTCCGGCAACGGTTGTTGCTGTATTCATACCAGTTGTTGATGATGATGCTGCATTAGCTGCTTTTTGTTTAAGCATAGTCCAATCGAATGTATAATCATATTGATGATTCAATGTTCGAAATAAAATGCGAAATAGTTGTCGTAAATACATATAATCAGGCGCTTCTTCGAATCGAAGACCTCGACAATAGTTCAAATACATGGCAAATTCCGCCGGAAATCCCTGTGAGAAGAAAGAAGAAACAATAGATTCTTTATGGATCGAATTGGTATCGTTTACTTTGCAAAGAATTTCGACAGGTGTTGACATTTTTTTCTCGGATATTTTTTCATATTTCTGTTTTTTAGTCGCAGCTTTCAAACCTTGCCATGGCAGTGACCCACGATTGAAGTACATCAAAACATAACCTAATGATTCCATATCATCACGACGACTAAAACAACGAACGAAAACGAAAAAACCAGTTTTCTCTCACATTCATTCAAGTTTTTCTTACCTTTGCTCAATACCGAGATGAGCATTGATGGAAGCATAACGTGCTGTGCCTGTTAAGTTTTTGTCTTCTCGATAGGGAATGTGTTGTCGAGTTCGATTGTCACGATATTTCTTAGCTAGACCGAAATCAATCAAGAATACCTACACAACATACACAAAAATATAACAATGATCTTGATTTCACTCTTAGTCAAACCTTATTACAATGACGGCCAATGCCCATGAGAAAGTTATCCGGTTTGATACTAAACGGATGTTACTCATGAGAAAGTCATATAGAAAGAAAAAAATGACTCACTCTCGATGTATGAAGTTCTTGTTATGAACGAATTCAATACGACCAATCATCTGATCGGCAAGCATCAGTACAGTTTTCATTGTGAATCGTCGTGAACAGAAATTGAAGAGATCCTCAAGTGATGGTCCAAGTAAATCCATAACGAGTACATTGTAGTCTTTTTCTTGAGCATAGTATCGAATATGCGGGATACCGATTCCACCTTGGAGGATTTTATATAGTTTTGATTCGTATAACAATTGTGGATGTCGAGCTTTGACTGATTCAAGTTTGATGGCAACCTCTTCGCCATTAGTGATATTGATGCCCAAGTAGATATCGCCAAACGAACCTGAACCAATTTTACGTACCAATCGATATTTGCTGCCAATTAGGAATTCGGATTTTGATGACAAATGTAAAGATGAACTTGGAGGTGATGTTAAATCCATGTGTTTGATTTATTATCTGATTTGACTCGCTGGAAATAAAGAAGAAAGAGAAGAGGATCTACAATGCAAATAGGAAGTATTCAAATGAGAACCGAAGGTATTGCAATGAGTATTGACAAAGATGAGTCAATATCTGATGACCGTGAGAATATATTTGATACACACTCAGCCTGATGATTTCGCCATATTACTGGTCGATGTCCTTACGAAAGAACCAGACTACTAGTTGGTTATTATTAAGACATCTATGCACATTGACTCCATTTGCATGCGTGTCAGAGACATCTATTGAAGAGAAAGCAAATTAATTTCTTTTTGACATTTGCCAACGAAAGTCAGATGAAGGCAAGAATATTGTATTTTCAAAATAAAAACAATAGTTATCTTTGTAGAAAAAAGCCTGTATTCTGCTAAAAGTATCTTATTCTTGATGATCCTCTAACGCTTGTTCAATAGCCTGATTAAATCCATCGGGATTATCTATCATCATTTGATGACCGGCACGAGGAATCACGATAAGTTGAGCTGACTTCGCCGCATCTTGTCGTTCATTTAATGATTTGACCGTTCGTCGGCCAGCTCTATATAAATAAAAACAAAGATCTCGACTGGTGACTTGTTATCACGAATGACAACTTACTGGGTATCCATCCAATCATGGTCGCCGTAGAAAAATGTTACACGTGGAATTTCGGAATTGCCCAACCGATTTTCTAACGGATCATAAGCAAAGACATTCGACTTGAGGACACGAGGTAAAGCAAATTCGCCACTGCCTGGTTGTGCGCATAGATGATACTAGAAGAATTTTCATTAGAAAATGATTTATCGTAAAATAAAGTTGAATACAATTCAGAAACATACAAGATACTGAGCAACGTCCCTTTTGGGCAATTTCAACCGCCCACGATCGATTTGGTCAGCAAGTGCTGCTGACGTTTCTAAACCAGCTTCAGCGGTTGCTGGTGACGTCTCTTCTTCGACTGCTGGTCCTGTTAAAAATCGCCGTGTTACGTAAGCAGTTACCGGTCGTGGGCCGACTGGACCAAGAAGTCGAACAATAGACAAGGGTGTATAACCACGATTCCATAAGAAAAGGACGAAGTCGCGTACGAGACGCCATCCAATCGAAGTACGATGGCGATTCGGTGGTTCAACTTGATCGGGTTCCTTCGGCACGCCAACGGGCGATGCTAATATCAGATGTGACACACGCGTCGGAAATGCCATGGCATAACAGGAGCCAATATATGCACCGAATGAGTGACCTAAAAGTAGAAGAGAGAGTCGTTTGTTTTGTCCTTTGTATTTGTATTGCATCTCATCGATTTCAAAAGATCTTACCGAGCAAAATCATTTTGTCGAGATTGAATTGCATTCTCCATCGTTCTAAAGCATCAATAAAAAACTGTTCAGCTTCTTGAGCTGTCTTAGCTCCAAAACGTGGTCTAGATGATCGTCCACATCCGAGTAGGTCGATAGCATAAACATGCTCATGTTGTTCCGCCAATGCGTCAAGATTGAGTAGCCAAAAGCCGACACCAGCACCAAAACCATGTAGAAGAACCAATGGTGATCGTTTTCTATCTGATCGTTTTGCTTCTGCGTTGTATGTATGAATGGTATTGATCGTCAAACCATTACCAATAGGAACTTGCTGTTGATCGAACGGAAATTTAATAATCGATAGGACACGTCGTTCAGCTTCGGCTAAACGAATAGATGATGTCGGAATCCAAATTTGCCGCATCCATTCCCAAATGATAGCCATAACTGAAAGAAAATATTGCATGTGTATTCGTATGACTCAGCTCGAACTCACTGTTAACCAATGTTATAGTAGTATTTTATGAGAAAAACAACGACATCATTGGCAGTCTCTTGATCTAAAGGAAAGGAAAGGAATGAAGAAAAAACTGCACTGTCATAGACAATGACACACATGTCAAGAGTTAACCAGCATAGTGATTCTGCTGTTACATCAGACGTGTCTTGACGTCAAATAAAAGTAGAAATATCTCAAAAAATGATTCACCACATTCAATGCCATCATATACATCAGTCGAACGCCTAACTACTTCGTAATCAGATCGAGACTGGTAACTAACCGTGCAACGTGTATTACTGACAGAATGTGTTGTCTCTTTTTATTGAATACGATGGCTTTTCGATTGCATTTACGTGTTCCTTTCATTTCCCTGTAAAAATTGAGAATCCAAAATATTGTCTTCATATTCTTATGAGCATTTCATTGAGCATTAGTATATATTATTTCGAATGATGTCACCTGTTGTCGATAGTGTGTTTGTTAAAATAAAGACAACAAAGATCGTAAAAGAAAAAAGTTCTCCTTTTCTGACACTGTGTTGTCAAAGCAAAATTTTCCGTTATGGCTCTCAAACTACCGACTTCGTAGAATATTTCAAAAGAGTGCAGGTATTTCGCATTGTATTTTCGACAATAAAACACTATGGCAAATGCAGACCGACCAAAACAGGGAACAGGACAGGCCAGTGAATTTTACATGGCATGTCGAGAAGGTGATTTATACAAAGTCAACCGTTACTTGAAATCAATGACTATTAGAGAGATAAATCATGTTGAAGAATCAAATAATAGTACTGCTCTTCATGCTGCAGCTTATTTTGGACATGGCGATGTTGTCAAACGTCTATTAGAGGTCGGTGCTAACGTACATACACGTAATGGATATGGTAATACAGCTGAGCAAGAAGCAAAAACTGCAGAGATTTCAGAAATTTTCAAACATGCGAAACATTAGTATTATGTATCTGATGAATAGTTTTCAATACTGTGAAAATATATTTAATCATGAATAAAAGTAGATTGATAGTTTCATATTAACTTTTAAGTTCAAGTTATACTGCATAGTTTCCAATTTATTCATTTAAATCATAGATGATACGAGACTAGCAAATCAGCTTATGAATATATTGATTTCTCCCACGTGATACTTAACTATGACCGAATGCATTTTCCTTACGTCATCGTTCGAAAATCCGATTCAGAGTGTCAAAAATGTTATTTCAACTTATCGAGCAAAGTTGTATGATTATTTCTTTATTAGTAAAATCATTTCTGTAATGTTAATATATTTAGAATGATTTTTTGATAGATTTGAGCCGAAATCTGCTAAAACTATGATAACTATGACATTTCAAAGTTGTCCACATCGTTAAAATTCTTCATCAAATAGTAAAAATGTAAATTCTTAAGGTGCGAGTGCATCCAAACATGTACCTTCCACCAATAAACAAACAATAGCACGAAGAAAATATTTTTTTTTCAATTAATGAAAAACAAATAAAGTAAAGTTCCTACTTGGGTTATAAGAAAATTATAAATTCATAAATCCGTACAATATTCTGTTTTTCCAAAATTATGGCGCCAGAAATAATATTGACACATGGGCTCACACATTTTCACGTCGAAATCATCCACCTTTTCTAGAGCGTCGCACGAGAACATCGCATTTCAAATCGTTCATCTCGAAAACTATTGCTACATACTTGTTGAATATGAAGGAGACACCACTGAAAGAACTAATAGAGATTATTACTGGATAAAATATGAAAAATCTCAGTATATTCATATGTATATATACGTATTTAGTTTCAATGAAAAGCGATTTTTACATTCGTTTATAGATTTTGAAAACTATTGAGAAAACGAAACAAAAATTTTCTTTCATCCGTATCAAATCTTTATATGGGTAGTGTTTGTGACGGTCACTGGAGTCGTTGTAGCTGTAATTGTGGTTGTGGTTGTAGCTGTGGTTGATGCTAAATCAAATCGAGTATTTCCGTATTGAAATGATCATGCATATGAACTTACATTTGTTCATGGTAAGCGAATACGCTACACCGAAAGAAATACCGAAAAGAACAAGCGCTGTTACACAGACAGCAACAATGATGAATATTTTCTTTTTTATAGATGCTGCTGCAATAGATTGTTCTAGTCTAAAAGGTTTCTACATGTGTCAAACATCAGTTTGATTCTTGACCGACTTACTTTTGTGCTACTTGTTGTGGAGCGTTCGATTCTGGTTCTGGATCGATGTCATCGATAGTGCTAACGACTGATGCAGATGAAAATGAATTGCGTCCAGAATCGATGATTGGCTTGGGAGACGACGGCCCGATTCGACCGCGATTAACGATCCTTGGAGGTCTCATCTGGTAGATTTAGTTCGTTTTTGTTATTGTATTTTTCGTCGCCAAGTATGTTTGTCGACAAATTTCTAACTGATGAGTTTCAAGTGTCATTCAATTCTCAAAATTTTTTTTTCTCCAAACACGTCACATACATATAAATGCGCTTATACAAATAAAATACCATATTTTTGGATGACAACAATGAATTCTTATCCAAGGCAAGAATTTTTTTTCCTTCTTTGTCGCTCTTATTTTTTCCAGCCCTTCTCTTTTCTCTGATTTTTTTTTCATACCCTGTTTGTCTTTACGATGTAAAAAAAATCTATATTGTTTCTTGTCGAATATGATTAAAAAGATTTGTTTGGTTTCTTTTAAAATAACATTCTTGGATAATATATTCATAGAATAATCAAAAGTTGAAACAAATAACGCACGAGACGAGAGATCGAATGAAAGAGAGAAGGAAATAAAAGGAGAAATGCGTGATCTGATTCGATTCTGTTTGAACATTCGCCTTGTTCAAATCATGAGTTCTCCTCAAAACATTAGTTCAATCAGAACGTATGACTTTCTCTTTGTTCTCTAGTCCATTTTGTTGAGTTAGCGCTTTATTTTGAAATAAATACAAAAAAGCAAAAAAAGAAAAAGAAGTGAAAAGAGAGAGAGAGAGACTGTATTAAAATTGTCGGAGATTATATTTATCTAAAAGACCGAGAACTTCGCTCGGTAGTTGTTCTTGACTGGTCGTTAAAATTCTTCGACCTGTTTGACTGTCAATTATTTCTGTAAATAATGGGTTCTGAGGAATGTGGTTATGTGGAGTCGGAAAACGATTATGAAATGCAACAGGTCGTCGAATCGGATATTGTAAAGTTTCATTTGGTGGATTATGATGTAAATTATGAAGCGATAGCGTAGGCGATGGTGGATGTGAAAATGCTGGTGTGGCATGTAGTTCATGTACAGATTGATGTCGAGATAAAGGTATATTCATAGGTGGTAGTTGAATGCGTTGTGGTTCTAACAACGTTGATGGAAGTGGTTGTGATAGTTGATAAGTGGAACTGCGAGATGCGATTGAAGAATCATGTGATTGTCTCGGTTGAGATCGGGAGCGTTGTAATTGTTTTTGAGGAAAATTTGGCGGTTGAAGTATTCGTGGACACAATGGAGATTTACGATGTAGATTTTCTTTGGATAACCTTCGATCATTGGACGTTATCGGTGTTGGCACTGGCACTGGCACGAGCCGATCTGGTAGTTTTTCATAATGAACAAGTGTTTCTGTAATATAACATTTATTCGCTCCTCCTGCTTGTCCACCGTTTTGCACATTCATGATACGTTGTTGTTGTTTTTTCTGTAGTTGATGATGCGAACGATATTGATCGAGTGTTTGCAAGTATTTGTTTGATTCGATTTCAGTGCGATTGTCTCGCGAGAGGAACCAACGTAGTGTTCGATCTGTATATGATTTTGCATTGTATTGTGGCGAGAGTATCTGTTGAGCGGTTTGACGGATTTCTTGTTGAGTTAAAGGCGGGATGACTGTACGATATGGATCATTGACGAAAACGTGAGGTAAAGATGAGCCAAGAGGACGACCTTGACGAGCTTCACGATCAAGAATGTAAAGGATATTCCAATATCTCAATGAATATGGTAAATTTGCGTACATAACTCCCTTGTAGTCATAAGTTGTTTTTTCTTCCACCCGAATAGTTTCTCCAGGTATGCGTATATATCGAACACGAGAACGTGGTCCATCTTCCTGTAGATAATCTGTTGAATAAGATCGACGTAAAGTATTTGCGGCCGATTCATTGATGTAATCATCAACACGAACAAATAATTCTTGTTCTTTAGCGTCTTGTGGCTTATATTTTTGCTCGCGTACTTGATTTTCATCATAGAAATCTTTTACGTGGATAATTCGAGCGCGTACATAACGTTGTGCACCTGTGTAGCTAATAGACAGTGAACGACGATACGGTTCGTGTCGATAGCGCGGTGGAGCATGTTCATGTGGACGAATAGATTCACGCATGGCATGAATTTCACGTTCGATCAGTGCACGACGTTCTGAACCTAAATTTAGAGAAAAATTATAATTGAAGGTTTTGATTCGTTATTCAAGGATATTTACCGAGATAGAATTCTGCTTCGGATGGATGTCCGGGCGGTGGTGGCCCTGTCTTAAATGTTTGTTGATATTGTCGTTTTTGTTCCATTTGCTTTTGTTGAAATTGTTGCTCAAGTATGCGTTGCTGTTGTTCCAGGTCTCGGCGATATTTAGCATAATCGAATGGTTGCTGAACAGCATTATTAACTTCACGTTTGAATATATCATGTTGTCTCTGTCGAATATTCAATATATTGGCTGTTAAACCTGCGATGTGAGCAGCTAAATCTAGTAGGTAGTATTCATCATCATTGGCTACTAGAATCAAATGACGTTGTTGTTCAGCTTGTTGCGTTAAAGGTAAATGCGCACGGTATAGCTGACAAAGACGATGAACAACTGTACGATAACGTTGTACAAGACGTAGAGATGTTGTGACGTCAAGACGTGTGACGCTGCGTAAATCGGTGGAATTGGTTTGAGTGCAATCATCACGCGTGGAATAGTCCACAAGACGTAACAGATTGGTTGGTTCAGCAAATTGTCGTGTGATTTCCTTTTCTAATTCAGGACTATTTACGGATAGCCGACCACCTGAACGTAAAACGATTTCATCGACGATTTCTTTCTTCAATGATGTACACATTTGACGACGTTCATTGTTTGTTACTGATAGAATAATCAATTGAGCAGTACCTATAAAAAAAAAGAACGATTCGTCTTTTTCTGAAGAAATCAAACGGCAAAACACGATTCGGACGTACCATGATGATTTAGTTCATACTCAATTTCACATCGAATAACTACTGGTAGATGCTCAATTCGTCTTGTATGTTCCGTTTTCATTCGATTTCCTTCCTTATTATAGTAATGTATAGCTATTGTTGGTTGTTTAGGTTTATCATGAATATTTTCATTTTCTTTATTATCGCCGTCTAATTTATTCAAACCGTAATCGCGTCGAACCAATTGATAGTCAGCGTCCGATGATGTCGTAATGACATGTAACTCCGTTGCTTTCAAATCTTCATTTGTATAGGTTCGTTCGATGCGATGAAGTTGTTTTTCAAAGCGTGTCTCGGCACCATATTGAGTTTTTTCTTCGTAGGAAAGAACGAGACATTTGCACGCACCACGTGTATGAATTTCATACACTTCGGTTGAACGATGTTCATCACCCGTCGTTTCATTGTCTTGTACATGGCGACGAACGACATGACGATTGATATCGCGTAATTGATCGATTCGGATACGCGATGTGACTTGGCCGAATGAAGGTCGCTGATCAGGTACAATTGGAAGGTGATCATCGCTCGCTGAATGACGTTTTTCGCGTTTGAGTTCGAAGTTTTCTTGATAATGTTTTTCTTTTTTCGTGACTTCATCCATATAAACAGTCGAGTTACTCTCATTGTCATTGAGACTATCATGATGGCTAGAATGACGACGTTTGATTTCGTAGCGAGCGGTCGTTTTAATTGTTGTTGATGTTACACTTTTCTTCGTCTCCTCCTCTGAAGAAGATGATGCCAATGAAAGACGTTGCCGTTGTCGAGCAGGTCGATGCAATGAATCAGTTGTTTGTGCAGCAACTGTATGTTGTTCAACAGTGGAGTCAACTTGTGTACCAATAGGTCGATGTGGAGGTTTGATGACTGATATTGGTATCGTTGTTTGAACGGAGAAGTCTTGCCGATCACTCAAAGATGAACGACTTTGTTCCTGATCACCTGCTTGAAGATTGATCGAGGCTGGCAAAGATTTTCTGTCGGATTTTTGTTCTAGTATGTACAATGTTTCGAGATCGACTTTTATTGGAATACCATCGATATCCGTTCGTGAGAGTGATGTTCGATCTTCGTAGATAGAAGCACGAACATCACGAACCATGGATATCGATGTCTCTGTTCCTGGAAGAAGTGTTGTCATATATTCATCCATCTAAGAAAACAAAACTGACTCGTTTGCATTCGAGAATGTCGATTTGAGACTTACAGTTGCTCCGCTTGCTGTTCGTTGACAGCTGTTAGCTATATCTTCTTTCGTAAACTCAAATTTGATTCCAGTTGAGAGACCGTGATTATCGAAAAAAACATCGTCGTTTGATTCATTGATTTGATAAACCATTCCATCATCACTTCTGTTCACACCATTTGAATTGATCAATTTCTTCTCGTGATGTTCTCGCCTTGCCACGCGTTTAATCGGTGGTGATGATGATAGACTTGGTGCAGTATCAGACTGATCTTCATGTAGTGGCTTCTTGATGGAAACTTTTCTCTCGACTTTTGCGTTCGACGGTGATGATGCAGATGATTCAAGACGAACGATCATTTGTCGTACTCGGCTATGATCCGATGGCGTTGGTGATACCGAACTTGATGTATTCAGCTGTGCTTTTGGACGTGATCGAGTCTCATTAAGATTTTCATTTGATAAAACTAAACGAACAAATAAATGAACAGGATATTTATATGCATCAATGAATCTTCTTACCTTCGTTTGAATTAGCTGACTTGACATCATAGAGTGCGACTGAAACAAGACCTGGATACGTCGGAGATGTACTTCTGGGCAAATAGGCATGATCACTAAAGCGTTCACCAGTTCGCAGATTGATTTCCGAACGTGTCGATCCAGTACGCGTATCAATATCTTTGGCCATTTGTTTCACTTTCGTCGTGACATGTGGAGTCGTATAATTTGTTGAAAGAAGAATCGGTGGTGTTGGATTATTAATTTCCACAACATCACGTAATTGACCACTGGTATGTTGTCCTTCTTCTTCTAAACTATCTTTGGAATCCAATCGAGCACGTCGTTCGCGTTCACGCCAGATATTAAAGACATTGGGGTTCTTTTCTGGTCTCGCTGAGATGACATTGTATTTAACAGCACGTCGTGGTATACGTTCTTGAAGAAAGATCAATGCACGAGATCTTGTTTGTAACGGACGATGTAATTTTAAATAATGAATGACTCGTTTTAATTGGTCTCTAGAAAAGATTTCTAAATGTTGAAGACGAATCAGCTCATCGATTAATGTTTGAAGATTTTCAAAATCTCGTCGATCGAATAATTGTTTGTTGGATAAATGACGAAGACGACCGATTAGATTTACTGTTGCCTCATCTAACGGAACGAAACCTAATCGTCGAGCAATGTTCTCATCACTTTCCTCGTCTGTATCACCATCGTCGCTGTTATTTTTATCATCATTGTCATTATTTTCGTCGCTGCCATCATCATCATTATCATCGTTCGATCTAAGAAAGAATTGATATTCGACATCAACATCAAAACAACAATCATCTGTCAATGTTATGTAATAATGAAATTACTCAATCGAGTTTTGTTGATATCACCTTGGTAGAGAATCTATGTCAACAATATTTCGAATTGTTTAGGGGAAAAACAAATTGTAGAGGCATGAAGAACTAATGGAAATTGATATACTGTCTAGTCGGGAAAATTTAATTGCTCTAATTTTGCACGATGTTTTTTTTTAGACATCCTTCAATTTCGCGTGGAAAATTATGATAAGATCTAGGCGGAAGAGAGCTCCATGTAAGTCAATCATATATGTTTTCCCGTACCTCAAGTATCCAAAATATCTAAACAAGTTTTCAATGTCGTCATTTTGTTAATATTACGTATGCTTGTCGATCTACTCAAAACAATTATACGGTTTTATACAAATTTCATTAGAGTAGTAAGAGATACGGGCAAAGTCAATCTCGTAAACAGGACTATTTTCGAAACGGACTACTGTTGTACAACGAATAGACATACCTTCTTGAATTGTTATTATTTCGATTTGGATTTGCACCATTTCCGTTTCCATTGTTGTTCGATGAACTATTGGTTCGACGATTTCGTCGGTCGGATTCATCATTATCATTATAATTTCGATTCTGGGAGTATCCATTCGTTTTTCCATGATGATTCTCGTCATTGTCCATGTCCATATCGGTTGTTTGAGATGATTGATTAGTTTTAAACAAACTAATCTTGCTAGTTATATAACTATTATCAGGGTTTAAGATCGAGGAGAAGACTCCGTAACGAACAGCCGGTTGTAGTTGTCCGTGAGTCACTTGAAGTTGGACATCAAAGTGACTCAATGATATGTCCATATGACTTAGACTCGACTCTTCATTATTATCTTCCTCCTCGGTTTCGAACTCAGTTTTAAAAATTATTTCGATATCGTTCGTTGATAAAACCTTACGAACCATTGAATCACTATCATCAGACGTTTGAACAAAAAAATTCATCGGATGATAATTATCAACAAATTTCTCAACGCGGAGATTGTCATTTCGATTAAACCACTTGTGACTTCCACCTATGATCTGAAGACTTTCATTAGAATTTGAAATTAGATCGAATTGTTCGAGAGAATCGATCGATGACGTCCGTTCCACATTCTAAAACGAATCTTTCACTTGGCAACGATTGCAATCTTGCAAACTTACTAGTACATTCATTTCACCATCATTTTCACGTTCATAATCCATTTGCATGAAATGAGAATTGAAGCAATTCTAAAAGATCAAGATTCATTCGAATTATCTACGCCTTTTTCTCTCTCAATGTTTATTCTCGAATCATCAACGAAGTCTTAGACGGAAAAGAGAAGGAAAGAAAGTCACACGAGATTAACACTTCTCGATCATATAAAGGATAAATCCTTTTCTACATACCCGATCAATATTGACAAAATCTTTAGGTGCCATTTGATAAAGGAGAGAAAAAGAACAAATAAAAAGACTAGTTGAACAATGTATACTTATTATTAGTACATAATAATGTCAAAGAGCAAATAGATGTGTATGTATGCTTATGTAGCTAGATATGTACTACATGAAGTAATAAAAGACATGTTCCGGACGACTGAATTGAAAGGTAAAAGACAAGAGAAGACGTAAGAAAAATATGTATATATATATATATACTGTCATCGGATACATAGTACCCAAGGACATGCTTGCGTGAATCTCTACATAAAAATTATTTTTCTCTCTCCCATATATGTATATGTGTGTCAGTGGCGAAATGTCCGAATGTTGACTAATATTTTTATTCAAAGTCATTTTTGGTAGGTACTCAGAGAGAGAGAGAGGAAGGCGAGGGAAAATGTAACAGCAAATATGTCATTACTTGTATCAGTTGACTGAATGCTTTATTTCCTTACCATTAAAATTGGTGAAGGAGAAAGAAATCTTTTTTTTATATGTATCAAAAAATGTACGTAAAAATTGAAAATGTTCTTATAAAATTCGTCCTTTTATCTTTAATGATGGTACATACCATTCGTTTGTCGGTGGTGAATCGCTCTTCTTCTTCTTCTTCCTTATTTGAACGACATTTCTTTTCTTCTTGTTCGCGTTTTTTTCGAGGTTCTGCCTGATTGAACATCTACGTTCTTTCTCTCTTTCGCTTTCGTTTTTGACGATAATCATCGTTCAAACTGAATGATGTACAATGCGAAAATGATCTATCATCAATGAAAGGAAAAAAGAAAAAAGAGCAAAGCGTACAGCAATCAGCCCTTACCGACCATATCTTAAATTGAAACATTTATTGAATGAATCGAATGAATATACAAGTATTTCATGCTCTTATATGTAAGATAATGGCGAGACATCTTTGTGTATTGGACCCATTTCATCTATACTCATAACCCTCCTAAACGTCATATAGATTCATTCAAATGATTGTATATCAATGATTCAATATAAAAATATAGATCATTTGATATGTATATGTATGCACGTAGATATAGGTTAACATCTTCGTATATATTACAACTAAGTAAGAACATTAGCGAGAGGTGAAATGTGATATGAATAGATTTTTGAAATCGGTTACGACATGATGAGTGCAAGCCTTGATGATGAAAGAAGCAAAATAGACCATGGAAAATGCAAAAGTGATAATTAATGTATTTATATAATATCATGGCAATGAACAGATGCACTTTGATGAGATTCGAATCGTTCGATATTGAACATAATCGAGGAAAAAAAAACACTTCGTGTTTGAATCTATTTTTTTTTGACTTCAAGATTTTCTCGTCCCGTTCGTCTTTTTTTTTGTATTCATTCAATTGAATAAATATACCATCAATCATTGTCAATTTCGGTTACGATCAGAATTTCGAAAATGAGCGTCATTTAGACTTGCAGTAAAGTGACCATTCGCGAAATGAATGTATCAACACATTATTAAGGTTAGAAAATATTAATCATTTGACAGTTAATGAGACCTTCGTTTTTGACAAGGATTGAAATGTTAATAAAGCAAAAGGTTGCACGATTACAAATTTGAAGATAAAGGATAAGATTTTTTTTCGAAATGAACGTTCTATTGTCGTTTTACAAAATTCCGACGTTTAATGAGAAAAATATCGACAATGAGATGACTTCCGTGCAAAGAAACTTTAGATTCGATCGTTACGAAGAAAAAAACTGATCGAAACGTCAGATATATTAATGATAAATAGACATTTCATTTTCATCGGTCATTGTATATATGATTCAAGTGTTGTCTTCGTTTCGAATCTCCTTAAATACTTACGTGTATAATTTTCGAATTCAAACTAATATATCTATTTCAATAATTTAAATCGTTTGAACATTGATCAGATATTTCGTCGATTAAACTCTCTCTCTCTCTTCTCGTGTTGCATGCGTGTAGTTGATATCGTATGTGTGACAATTGTGGTGATTATTGATGAACTACTTATCATATAGATCGATTTTGACAATATACACTTTCATGTCGAAGCAGCTCTTCTCTATCAGATCTACTTGTCAATCGATTGAAATGTCTTCTAGTCGTCGGAGGAATTTATCATCGATATCAAAATTGAAATGGATTTTATGATCAATATTGACTTTCTTTTACGATATTTCCCTCGAATAAAATAACTTTATCTCTAAGATCGAAGTACCGTTGTCATAACAGAAATCAAAGTGTAACAGATCCAATCAGTATTTTTCATATTGATTTTTCAACAAAATAGTTTCTCGTTATCAGAAACGAATCTTTCAAGAAAATATGCACAATATTTGATGTCATCGCTGTCTGACAAATAACGATGACGATGTCGTTTTTTCTTTCTTTTTCTTCTCTAAAACTGCTCTATTGATGTTGTTGCTGCCATTGCCGTCGTTCGTTCTCTATTACTACTTCTGCACTAGATTGTCGTTGTCATTTGAATCGCTGTAGCGTGCAATAACGGCAGCAGCGGGAGAAATAAGAAGGAAATCGAATCGGCTGTTACTTGTCCTGTACTCTCGTCTACAAACAATGAACGTTAGATGTTCTATGCATACACACATATATATGCCATTCGTAAAGTAACAAGGATAGCAAGAATTTATTCTCTCCTTCGCCTTTGCTTCTCTTTTTACCATAAGCACACGCAAGCAAGTAAGTAAGCAGCAGCGTGCAACAGAAAGGAAAGAGAATATATGGCGACTATATGCATTTACGTGTGTGTGTGTGTGTGTGTGCTTGTTCTGCCTATGTGTTTGCGCTTGCTCTCACATAAAGCATCGCAAGCCCGACGACGACGACGACATATATACAACGTTAAGCAAAAGGAAAGAAAAGGCAGACACATACACACACACACACACACACACTCGCAATTGCTCTTTCACATCGTTTCTTCTCTCTCTCCCTACATATTCATCACTACTAACACTCTACACGCACACACACTGCTATTACTAGCTGACGCGCACACTGCAGAAGACAAGCAAGCAAGCAGAGCAAGCAAGTAAGCAAGCAAGCAAGTAAGCAAGCCAAGCAGTATATATATATACTTGTATATACATGCACATATTTTCTACCCGATTATTACGACATCTACTTTTGAAAATCGACATTTTTCAAACGAATAAAAGTTTTCTAAACAAATATTTCATTCTCAAATTGATTAATTAATTAGTAAAATTCGAGGAAAACGCAAATCAGTTTCCAATCGACTAGATAAGCGCGAATTGAAATTCAAATTTGACTGTTGATTTTCTAGAAAATGCCTCGTGTTAGTAAATCTCCAAAAGACCCCAATGCTCCCAAACGGCCATTGTCAACGTTCTTCTTATTCTCACAAGATGAACGACCAAAAATCAAAAAAGATAATCCAGCATTATCAGTTGCTGATATTGCCAAACTTATTGGCGAACGGTGGCGTTCAATAGGTGAAGATAAAAAACGTCATTACGAAGAAAAAGCTCGACAAGAAAAAGAACGATATGATCGCGAAGTTGCCGCCTACAAACAACAGGGTGGTGGCAAATAAATCCAGATCAATATTCAAGTATATCTACTAACCATGATTCCGATGATTTTTAGAAAATAACCGAAGATCGTTTAGTGTGTACATAATCATCATATATTGTAGTTAGCATGACCAAAAGAAAAAGAACCNAAAAAACGTCATTACGAAGAAAAAGCTCGACAAGAAAAAGAACGATATGATCGCGAAGTTGCCGCCTACAAACAACAGGGTGGTGGCAAATAAATCCAGATCAATATTCAAGTATATCTACTAACCATGATTCCGATGATTTTTAGAAAATAACCGAAGATCGTTTAGTGTGTACATAATCATCATATATTGTAGTTAGCATGACCAAAAGAAAAAGAACCACATTACATCAGAATGTTGTGTTGTTGTGCTTTGTTCGTTTTCAGCTTTTTTTTCTGTATCCATCAGTTTTGTTTTCTCCATTTGCTTCTTTGTATATGTTGTATTCACTAACTGAAGAAGGGGTAAATAAAATATGAAAATGATTAGCTAAATCCGACTTCAGTGGATCATATTCTCAGAATGCAGAACTTCCTTAAACGAAAGGTTATTCGTTTCGAATTGATTTATGTATTTCGTAATGTTTTTCATTTGTATCATAAAATCGACAGTTATTTTAGTACGAAGCGTTCGAACTTGCTCTCTTACGATGATGTAACCTTTTGGTGAAGAGATGATGAACGAGCATAAGAATTCAACTGGTGAAAATTCTCCTGAAAAACTCGAATTCGTCTTCGTTATGCAAAGATTCATCAAAATTCGAAACCGCATGCAACATTGCAACAACGGCTGAGCACAACATTCAAATTTCGCACGAACGACCTAATTCTAATTCGCATACGTTTGTTCTCATATTGATTCTCTGATATCAAAGTTAAAGGCATATAATACCCAAAAATCATTTCTCCTGTAGATGTCAGTAACACCCGATCAAAATGTTTTTGTTTGAAAAAGAATTTTTCTATTATCATGATTTTTGATGATGGGCTCATAAAAGTAAAAAAAGAAATCGGAAATCGAACACAAAATTTCTTCAAACTGCTGCATGGAGGTTTAAACATCACAACAAGATGGTTTCTCATCGTCAAGCGAGGCGAATGACTTTTCTTTTTCTTCCTCGATTAATGAAAAAATGGGATGAAATGAAACAGAGAAAGAAAGGTCACATTATCCGGAATGAATCTTGTTCAAAGTTTTCTTTATTTCTAGATAAATTTATCATGTCGAACGAAGATGATGAATGCGACTCGTCGAGTTTATTTGCCGTCGCAAGTCAATCGGACGTTAGTTCGTTTTTGCATTCACAAGCTGCCAAAATAACACGTGTCACGTCGAGTATCAGTGATGATGAAGATAGTTCCATGGATGGTAGTCTTCTTGCACGTTTTACTCAATTGCCACAAGAAAAGAAGCCCATCATTTCCAATCCGAATGTTCGCTCGGCACCGCATAAACCTTATCTAAGCCGTTCATGTTTTGCTTCCATAGCAAGCTCATCACCTGTGAAATCTACGCATGCTCAAAAATTAGCCGTGGCTGACGATCTGACAGAATTGAAATGGTTGAATACGTTCAAATTAAAAGAATTTAAAGATGATTTCAACTCGAACGAGACGAAAGATAAAGATTCCAATGAAACACTTCAGTCATCATCGCGGCAATCTCAACCACAAGAGTCAATTAATAATGATGAAGATCGTCTAGCGAAATTAATTAGCGAATTGAAGTCCTACGATCATGAAAGTACAAAAATTACAACGACATCCTTGGGCATACTCATCTTTCTTGCACTCTACTCTAAACGTGACGAAAAACAACTCACATGGTCTTTGACCATCAAACAATTGTACGAATTTGCCCAACTCAACGCCAAACAAATCACCAACAAACGCGGATGGAAGAATCTGTTGCGACAAGCATTATTGACCATACCATGTTTTGTAAAAACAAAACGTGACCTGTTGAAATCTCGTTCACTTTGGACAATTGATCCGTATTATCGGCCATTGTTAACGAAAGCTTATCTCACGATTCCGCCTTTGCAACCATCAACAACAAACAAGTAAATAGATCTAAGTGATGACATGTGATGCTATGTTGATGTTTTTCTTTCTGTATAGAACGTTGTCGGAAGCTGCAACTAATCGACATGATGATCAGTTGTAAGTTGCTTGTAGTTAAATGCAGCTATTGCTGATAGAACATTCTTGTTTTCGTTTTAGGGAAGGTAATCGCTCGTCACAATCGATTGTCAGTAATTTTGCACCGAAAGCAACAGTGAAAACCAAAGGTAAAAGTAAATTGGCCGATGGACTATTAAGAATAAATGTGTTTGTTTAACCATTAGTGCTTCCAAGACTTTATGAACGTCTTTGTGAAGAAAAGGCCGATGAAGATGGTGATGAAGCCGATTCCAGTAATCTTGGAAAACGCCATCGAAGTTTAACATTAGGTAAAGTATAACATTGTTATGAAGATACGTATCATAAAAGTATCGAGATGATGTTGTCTTTGATTGGTGTCGATGACAGATAAGATGATCTTAATGAATTTCGAATTGTCAACTATTTAGGTCAATGTATGTATAAGGAACAAACTCTACTTGTTCACATTCTCGCGTGTTAATGTCTTATAAAAAGTATGAGGATTAAGAGAAAACTTAGTCGAGGAGATTAATTCCCTGTTTTCAAAGAGTTGCTAGTTCATATGGCTACAACAATTTATGCATGATTTCTCAGGCGTGTTGAATTGACGATTTTATTTATATTTTAGGTCGTAAACGTCCTCGTTCTTCATCATCACGTCAACGACCATCTGGTAAAAGTAAGCGAAAAAAGATCAGATTATTTCTTTATTCGTTTTTTTAATTGTTTGACACAATAGACGATAATGGAAAACGTCGGTCATCAACGTCTCCATGGGCATCAAAAATACTCAAACGACACAAAAATCGACATCATCGTTCTTCGGACGTTGAACCGAAAACATCAACACCAAACAGAGGGTAAGAACCATGTTCAATTCGCTTCGTACACTCGATGCATTTCGAAATTTTCTTCTGTTAATAGAGTGAATGCTGAAGTTCGCTTACCGATAACATCGGCAATTGTGACACCGTGTCCTAGCATGGATCACAACTATCTCATTCATTCTGAAAAAGCAAAAAATTCTGCACAAAAACAATCTTCCATTGAACGAACCAAATCAAGTGGATCTATTGAATACGGTACGTTTCCAATGATTTATACACATTTATATGTTTAAAATTGACACTTTTGTTGTAATTTTAGACGATCCATCTTCTGAAGGGACTGAAGAAGACGAAGACGAAGCAGCAGACGACGACGACGACGACGACGATGATGATGATGATGATGAACGTGATAGTAGTTCGAATTTACGTTCAGGACGTAAATCAATCATCACAACTCGTGCTCAAGCAGCAGCTCGTAATCATTCGAAACACCGTCGAAAGAGTTCACCACCAAAGAAGCGTTTATCACTTCAATTACCACCACATCGTCCAAATACACGAATTAATCGACGAATCATTGAACATGATCTTAAACTATTACGTCAAGCGAATGTGTTGCCACCACTCTCACCTCCAACGAATCAACAACCACTCGATCTTTCTTTGGGTCCGAATCGTTCATCTTCATTCGAAGATACATATGAAAAACCGATTTCAATCGAGAATAAAGAAGAAATTTTGCCGACAAAAGCAGCTCCCATCGAAGGTGTTCTCGATCTCTCTCTTTCCCGATGATGATGATGAAAGAATATTTATTCGTGAGTGTGTGTTTAGTTTTGTACGTGTGCAATATAAACGTACCAGATAAACTTATTTATTTCACTCATTTACTCAGGCTTCTTTTGCCAATACCAACTATATTCTACACATCTATTCATTATGAAACATTTTTTCATTCTCTTGTGCATTGGTTTTTGTTTATTCTTCCTCTCATTTTCTCTGTCTCATTGTATTTGTCTTCTATTCCTCGAACTTTTCGTGTTTTTGCTCGCTCTCTCTCTCTCTCTGTTGTTTATAACGATGATCCATTATTAGATGTCAAAAGAGAAAAAACTAGAAATGTTATGATAACTTGAAAATGCTTTCTTTCCTTTTTTCGAAACCCTCTTGTTACTCAAAGATAATATTTAATCACACATCAAACACGCCGCCTTTCGGTTTTGTTTTTCTGTTGCTTGTCATGTACGAACGTGAAGAGACAATGACGTGGGTAGCACACGTTTCGTATAGAAACCGATCTATCGAATGAAGTTATAGATCCAATCGTTTCATTTTTCCTTGGCGAAAGCGAGAAACTTATGAAAGCGCAGAAAAGTAAAAATAAAATTTCATTTGATTGATTGGATAATGAGATGTGACAGCAGAACCGAATTAGTACATTTATCATCGCTATACGTCGAGATTCGAAGTTCAGAAAGGGAAGTAAAGAATGAGGTAAAAAGGAGATGCATATAGAAAAAATATTTACTTTGAATCGTGAAAGTGCTTTTTTTGCTGTTTTCACTTCCTCTTTTTTTCGATTTCTATCGATACTACATGACATTTCGACGCGTTTTTTACTTACAAATGATCGACGAAGAAAAGAAAAGCAAATTTGACTTGTTGAAGAGCTTATCTTGCAAAACGAATTTATGCACAGCATGTTTTTCTCTCAGTTCACAGTTGTATAGTACCTCAGATGTTTTTTTTTCAACTGGATACAATTATGTGACGATGTAAAACATATTTACGATGAGTAATATCCGTAGTATCCAATTGGCTTGTTTTGTAACGTCAGGTCAGAAAGAACCATGATTTTTTCTTTTTTACTACTGTGATTATTCCGATTACATCACTGTGAGTGTCTTTTCAATTGGTAGTATCGTAAATTTATACCCGGTGTAATTTATTCGTGGATTTTACCCAAGACAGATTAACTTAAAAACAATACATTTCTGCACAAACGTGTATATATATACATATATATATATGAGTGGACTGAGATAGAACGAATTACGAATCGAGACCATCCAATCTGGGGGTAAGCCCGTGTTTTTATTAGATTGCGAAGAAAGAGCAGTACACGTAACTTTTTTCTCGTTCTTTTGTTGCTTAGAGAGAAAGAAAAATTTGATCAGGTTCGTTCGTTCGTTTAACCATCTATTCAAATAAACTGGGAGACGATGGCCAATAATAAACGCATGCGCCTTCACAGTAATGAAAATCATACCAATGGTAGTAAGAATTCTCCTTTCTGTTTATATATCCATCTGTTTAGACGGTATTTTAGATCACCAGATGTCAGTCGATGAAAAAATTCTTTCGTCAGATTTTAATTATCCAACTCAACCTCAAACAACTAGTAATTCTAACACTCAAGCGTACCACCTGAGTGTATGTGGATCGATACTCTATTCGCCACCCACTAATTCCCCATCAGATATATTTACAATTTTACGACATGGTAATTTTGACGCATTCCGACGTTCATTAGATATCTATCATAATGATATCATTCGAATGAGAAACGACCATGACCAGGTATGTGGATATATTTAGTCAATAAAACAAGTAAATATGTTTATTGGCTCTATTTATTCTCATTTTTAGACTGTGCTACATGTATTAGTCATACACGCCTATCCATATATTTGGGTACGTCTACTGATGTTACGTGGATGTGATACATGTGCACAAGATAACGATGGGTACACAGCGGCTCACTATGCTGTGGAAAGGGATGACGTTGAAATGCTAAAAGCAGTCACACTTCGAATTCATCCTCAAGTTAAACCTATTCCTGAGGAACAAATAGTCGCTATACATGAACAGTGTTGCCGAGCGCTAACTATCAAAGAAAACAATGGTTTAACTCCTTTCATGTTAGCTTGCCAGCATCAATCCATGAAATGCTTGGACTATTTGATCGAAATGAATATCAATGACTGTCATCTACAAGTAATTTGAATACAGATAAAAAACAACCGTTCTAATTAACATTATTTGTTGAAATTTTTCAGGATAAATTCGGTGATACTTGTTTGCATTATGCTGTTGGCCGACGGAACTTAAATCTTGTACAGAAATTAATTCAAACATGTAAAGCCGATGTAAATGGTGGTGAACAACTACGACCCAGTACACTCGATGTTCTTCAACACAATCGTGCACAACAAAAACCGTTCGATCGTAACTTAGATGACGAAATCGAACAAGTACTCCTTTTTTCCAAAGCCAAAAATCGCTGTTCAATTCGTCGTATCATTAGTAAACGAAAAGATTCTATTGAGAATGATGACTCTGCTCTAACGAAATTGGCTTGTCTTTCAATTGATTCCACGTCAACCAATGAACAACTCGAAACCGCTCGTGGCCATGCTCGATTAGCAACGGCCTTGCAAGCGAAAAACGATCCCAGAGGTGCCCTAGAAAGTTTTAAGAATGCTATGACATGCACGCCGGATAATTCACTTGACTGGGCAACGTATGCGTTACAGTCTGCACTTATTCATATGATGTTGGGTGAAAATCAAGCAGCGCTTGCTTTGTTACATAAGGCGCTACATATTCGAACGGAATTAGAAAGGACAAGTGACCAAATTGATCAAATCCAACGGGCTATTAATCAGATTCGACCATCGACATTTTGAATGTCGTCAATTAGCTGATATTAATATGTTCGTATGTCAGAATCAAGTAATATTAATTCTCTAGCTAATTACTGAAGATGAAATATGACATTCAATTCAATTTCAATGAGCTCATACTGTTGTATTAACTGAGATGAAGAAGACTACCGGTTATTCGTATTTGATCGTTAACGAAACTATAAACATGTGTTTAACACGTTTTCTTTTCGTTTTTTTATCTGTAAAATTTGTTTTTATTTTATAAAATGTTATCGAGGATTAACGAAATGATGATGATGCAATTAATTTTCATTGATATTATCGATCGAGAGAAAATAAAACCTGAGTATGAGAAAACTCGTTCACTGAAATCATGTTGGCAGCGAAATTGGAGCAGCGACAAGAGTATAACTTTAGAAAAAGTACATATTTTCACTCAAGCTTCATGACATGCAGCTGAAAAATATTCTCATCACGAGTTGTTATCGTTCGTGTTATTTTTATTATTGGATTTTTCTTCATTATGGAATCAGTTGAAAATACTCAATAGTCCACACAGACATACGAATTGAAATGTTAGTTAAAGTTACTTTTTTAGTAACATTTTTTGGATTGAGTGTGTTAGCGACGGATTATCCGAAGGGTATAAGATTATAAATTTGATATCGATCTTCGAATTGTCCTTTTGATTAGATGCCTGTGGGCTACGTCCTTTGAAAACGCGATCTGATGATACAGAGAGAATAGTTGGTGGTACAGTTTCAACACGAGGTGATTGGTAAGAAGGATCTTGATTGAAGGTTGCCGATATTCTTATTAATGTTCTTTCGTTTAGGCCATGGCAAGTAAGTTGAATGGGCGAGAACGGATTTTTAATGTGCATTTACAACTTAGATATCGATGGAACGCAATGGAAAACATATCTGCGGGGGATCATTGATCAACGATCAATGGATTGTTACTGCAGCTCACTGTGTATCAGGGTAAACGAGTGCAGACTGTCTGTTTCGCAAGTCTCTCATACTATTCCACTTAAGAAATACCAACCCAAGTGTCTATCGTATTGTTTTCGGTGTTCATGATCGCTTGATCTCGGACTCGTGGGTTATTTCACGAACTGTTGAACGTGTTATTGTTCATCCTTCGTACGTCGCTTCAAATTTCAAAAATGACATTGCTCTAATGAAATTATCCGTAGGACGATTTTCTCATTCGCTCCGCATACATGCATATTCGATCTATTCTTTAGACCAAGGTAGAACCATATACTGAATACTACATGCCTGTTTGCTTCCCTAATGCTACTCAAACATTTGAAGGTGCAACCGGTATCACCACCGGATGGGGCGCACCTGTTTATGGTAAGAGAACAATTCCAAAGCGAACTACCTGATCAATACATCACATTTAGGTGGTAGTCTATTACGTTATTTAACAGAAGTATCAACACCGGTTTTATCTGATACTGCATGTAAAGCACGTTACAATACAGGTATGATCATTCCAGCCAATCAAATATGTTCAGGTGGAAATAGCAAGGGTGCTTGCCAAGTAAGAGATACAAGGTTCCCTGTCTTCTCGAACTTTTCTTCTCATTCTCCACGCATAGGGCGATTCTGGTGGTCCTTTCATTGTTTCTGATCCAACACGAAATGGTCGATATGTTCTTGTAGGTTTAACTTCTTGGGGTATAGGATGCGGTGATGGTGGTGTTTACACGCGTCTGTCAGCATATAAATCTTGGATTGAATCCTTAGCGGGTGCTACTCTGTACTGAATATGGAGATAAAAAAGAGTTTATTATATATCATCATCTACATACAATAATTCCTGCGAGAAAAAGTGAAATATGAATAAAAGAATTTTCTCAACTCATTAAACCCATATGTTCAACATCTAACTGAGCGATGTGATCTCCTTCAGCTGCTAGTCTTTGTTCATTGCCTCTTTGACCGAAAATCGGTCTCGTTTCTCGGGCTCCGATTGGTGACGATGGTTCCGTTCGAAAATTTACTAGACCACGTATGCGTCCTATAATATAAACGAACACAATCTAGAGAAAACAAATAACTTTATTCCTCTCTTACGCATTATTATACATCCTACAATTATTGATATCCAAATGACAATTATTAATAGACAAATCAATAAAAACACTAAACATAACAAGTTCAAATGACTTAGATAAAAGATACCAATGAAATGATTACTTGTGCTTGAATCTACATTGGACAATACCGATGGACGTACAGTGGTTGATATCTCGTCTATCTTCGGTATGAGTCTAACCAAAGAAGATCAGTCGGTTATATGTGAAACCAAAATAAACCAATCATACTTAAATAAGTCAGGATAATTATTCTGTTGACAATAATGAATATGTTCAGTTGATGATTTCGACAAAATATTTTTGTATGCATAGAGAACTAAAAAATTACAAGTGAATTCATGTCTATCGTCACATTCTCCAAGAATATAATCTCCAGAAACTAAGAATATGTCCGAAGAAAGAACTTCAACATCGCTGTTATTCAGTTCGGAGAATGTTGTCGAATCAAGCACCGGCTGAATAATTTTTCGACCGAAACTACGATTACGTATAGCGTAAATACGCCACCAATCATGTTTAATTGTTGAAAATAATGGTTTTACAGAATATAACAAACGTGGATAATCCGACAAACGACATGAAAGACCTTTGAACGAATGTATGAATAAGTTTCTTCTATGTACAATACATTGGTATATTTACGTGTTATTTTATGTTTACTGCCAACTTCCAATGAGCCTAGATGATATCGAGGTCTAAATGATACAAAACAAAACCATTTGAGAGATTTTCAATATCATTGTAGAATGAAATCGGAAAAAAATGCACACGAATCTGTTCGCATAGTACTCAAAATAGTCATTTAATAACATGGTATACTATCGGATTAGTTCAACATTACTTCTGTTCTATGAATCATACAGCAAATGTGATAAGACAGTCATATACTACTCAGCCTATAATTCATACAATTTTATCGGAAAATGACATGTGCACAGAATATTTCGCTTTCCTGCAAATCAATAAATATACCTTTGATGACGAGTACTCGTAAAAAAAACTGAAGAGCGAGTTACTATTGAAGGATATGAAACATACATGAGACTAGAGATATAGAAGACAACTCGGGGTTGTTCTTTATGTACATATTGTTCTTGAACGTAGATTACACTTAGTACAATTGATTTTGATTTGTCTAATTGAAATCCGAGATCTACAAGCTCACACAGATGGAGAATAAGATGTCGAATAAGAATCTATCCAGTCATACTGTTCAAGGTTTGAAATTTAGTTAAAGGTGACGGTGCTGCCCAATGGTAAATTAACATTGATGGACTCCCGCGACAACTTGTTTGGTCATCGTACCTAAAATAACAAACGATGACACATATGCTATTTTACTTGTAAAACTTACCAGACAGAATTTTGTTGTCGAAAACTATTTGTAAACTGACAAATATGCACATTTAATTGACGAATCGTTCGATTAAATCGTAGAATAAATGGTTCAATAGCGACTGCAAGAAACAAATGATTAAAGTCTTTAGACGCAATATCCAAATCAGAAAGCGTATCACTGTATGACAATATCCGTGAAATAGCTCGATTTTCAACGATATGTTGACTTATTTCACACTCATTAGTCTCGGTCGAAACAGTATCATATATATTTTTACGAAAAAATATTTACCAATATTCCAGCGATCTTTGTCGTTGGGTACTGTATATTGAATATGCACAGTTCTCTAAAACATAGAAAGATTAAGAATGACATTAAACACGTGATGTCTGCACGTACGTATGCCATCGGAAGAGGCGATGACATTGTTTCAGGCACTTTTAATGTTATATTAAAATTCGTTGATGTTTCTTCAATTGCATCCGAAATTGAAAGACTCATTATGTATACACACAAAAGAAGTTGCATGTTAATACCAGACATTCGTCTCGACGAATCATCCATAGACAATATTGTAGTTATGCCTAATAACGAGCAAAATAAAAAAGAAAATGCTACTAAATACAAATAGGAATAGCGAGAAAGACGAAGGAAAAAAAACGATTATTTATTAACGAAGTTTTGCATATTTCTTCAACCATTATACTTTAGTTAACGATAACTTATATTTGTAGACACTACAGGTATGCACGTATAGATTGAAACATGATGATTTGTTGTTGTAAAAGAACATACAACGTTAGTTTTTTCCTCACGTTGATTTGATAGCTGTGTTTTTCATTAGTATGAATATTACAATCAAGACGTCATTAGAAGTTAATTAGAAATCTTGACATCATCGAAAATAACAAGGACATCTCTTTCAACTATTCGGAGTCACGCAGAACATTGTTTGCTTTTGTCATTCACGTTTATTTAAATTGAGCAATAAATGTAACATTCGCAAAGACATACAAAATACTAATTTGGAGAACTATTAGCAGTCCTATTGCTTTTTTGACATCATTATGTATGTTTATGTAGGTACGTATGACGAATGCTTATCTGATTACTTTATTTCGGTCAGAATGAATTCTAATAATCGGTTGCTCATTTATGTGCTACATTTCTCATTAATATTTATGAAGTCGAACCTGACATCGATCGCGTAAGTGGGTTAATATGTCAGTAATATAATTCATCCTACAGATGAGTGAATCATGTAAACATCGAGACTCTCGAAGTTTATTTTTTAATGCAATTACAGAATTACTTAACGGATGAAAAAGTAGAACAATAAAATGATTAAAAAAAAGTTAGTAGGAGCCTTTAGCTTGAAATGTTTCATGTTGTTGAGCACATGCACGTTCAGTGAATTCATCGCTGCATGCCATGCGAAGACGTTCGACAGTTGCTGGAGAATTCATTGGAAAATAGTCGGCAAAACCTTGTTGTTCACGATAAGCTGTGCAAGCATTTTTCAGTGCGAAAAACGTTGTAGCGCCAAGGAACAATGGCGGCTCACCGATTGCTTTAGATGAATAAACCGCACGAGGATTGGGCGCATTAGAAAGTAATTCCACTCTCATATCCAATGGTACATCGTTGAATGATGGAATTTTATAAGTACCAGGACCACGAGTGAATAGCGCGCCTGGTTTTGTCCATTTGTGTTGAGTATGATCACCCCATATTAATTCTTCCATGGTAAACAGACCAACACCTTGAACGTAAGCACCTTCAATTTGTCCAATATCAATTTGAGGATTAAGCGATGTACCGACATCCTAAAATTTAACAGAAAATAGTCAATTAAGGAATAAAAAGCCATTTCAATTGATAATACCATTAGAATGTCAACGCGTAAAATGTGCCAGTCACCTGTCAGTGTATCTAATTCAACTTCTGTCACAGCTGCTCCTTGTGTAAAGTAATTAAAATGAGCTGTGTTCGTCAGAAAATCAGCTCCCAATGGATCAGGTGTAGCATAGAAACCATGAGCACATAGATCGATACGTGAAAAATACGCTTTTTTAACAAGATCTTCCCATGAGAGACTGACGTCGTCACCAACGAGAAGTGCATTCAAACGTCCACGGATCTGTTCACATGCGATCTGTATGGCCATACCATTCAAATCTGATGATGCTGATGCTGCTGTTGGACTTGTATTAGCTACTTTGTCGGTTGCTGTCTCACTGATACGGACTCGGCTAACATCACAACCGAGAATTTCCGCCGCGATAGAAACCATTTTAGTATGCAATCCTTGACCCATTTCCGTACCTTGAATGATTAGTTAAGAAGCATAATTTCCCAAGGAATTCCTCTTCTTCTTACCTCCATGACTGACTAAGACAGATCCATCTTTGTAGACATGCACGAGTGCACCTGCCTGATTGAGAAATTTGGCCGTAAATGCAATACCAAATTTCGTTGGAAGAAGAGTGATGCCGCGTTTTCGATAAGTGTTGAGTTGATTGAACTCTTCCACAGCTTTTCGTCGTTGTTGAAAATCGCTCGATACTAACAGTTCGTCCATTAGTCGAGGAATATTCCATCGTTCTAACGGTTGACCAAAATGTGTTGCGTCACCTTCGTTATACATGTTCAAACGACGAATGGTCAATGGATCATGTTTTAGATAGGCAGCAACATGCTCGACAATTGTTTCACAACCGAATAAACCTTGCGGACCGCCGAAACCACGAAATGCTATCAGAAAATTGTGTTTAAAGTCGATTGTGTTCATCAAAGTAAATACTAACCTGTATTTGATGGTAAGTGCGTTTTACACAAGCGTCCACGGACACGAACATTATTGAAGTTATAACAATTGTCAATATGAAGCATCCCACGCTCTAACACTGGCATCGAAAGATCGAATGAGCAGCCGGCATTATTCCATAATGAAACATCCAATGCTGTAAATCGACCTTCTTTGGTGAAACCAACTTTGTACGCAATTTTAAATGGATGACGTTGACCGGTGATACTCATATCAACATCACGTTCAATATTCATACGAACAGGACGACCGACCTTGACAGCAGCCACGGTTGCGGCAATGCATGGAGTAATTCTAAAATGAAGAATAGAATCGTTTACGATTTAAGGAATTCAACATACGATCGGGATTCTTTGCCACCAAATCCACCACCCATGCGTTTAACATGACAAGTAACATGACTAACATCATAATTAAGTGCATATGCTGCTAATTCTTGTGTTTTACTTGGATTTTGTGTCGACGAATAGATTGTCACTTCTTGATCATCATTTGAAGGTATAATCATACAACAGTTTGTTTCCAGATAGAAATGCTCTTGACCGCCCATAGCTATTGTACCTTCGAGTGTATGCTCAGCTTCGGCGAGAGCCTTTTCCACATCACCTTTTCGTAAACATCGTTCTTCTCCTAGATAAGATGCATGTTCAATCGCGTCATCGATTGTAAAGATCGTCGGCGTTAATAGCTCATATTCGATTTGAACCAGATGAGCGGCGGCATGTGCAGCACGTTCAGTTTCGCATAGGACAACGCCGATCACTGCACCAACACATGGTGTGATTGAGGAAACGAAAACTTCTTCATCATGAACAATATCGCCAGTCATATTATCACCCTGAATATCCTTATGATTAACAAACGTTACAAAACCAGGCACTTTCGAAGCTGCACCCAAATCTATACGACAATAAAAAGTCAGCATCGTATTATAACAGCTTTGTCAATGTCTTACCAATATTCTTGATTCGAGCATTTGGCTGAGTCGCGAGAACAAGTGCAGCATGGAGTGTATTTGGTAATGATGGCATATCGTCAATGTATTTCGCTTCACCTGTTGTTTGTAAATATGCAGACCGATGTGGTAATGATGTTCCAACAACTTTCTGCGACGAAGGTCGTTCAGGTATGATTTGTTGACCATGTGAAACTGTCCGATGATAAGGATGAGCAATTGACAATTCTTTCGGATCGACACTCGATTGATTCAATTCAGTGCAAACATAAACATAAAATTTGTATAGAAACGATTGAACTAAAGTACGTCTAAATAGGATCACATCAATAGTTTATTTCCAGTCTGTTTGCCCTGATATTCGTGTCTTACCGATACTCTGGTTGACCACCTGGGGTTAACTCGTTCAATGGCATTTCTTGTAATGCTAATTCACACGCTTTATTAATTGTTACTCTCGACCATATTTGTCCAGCCATCTCCTGTTGTGTATTTTTCGCCAAGATCGTTGTTGGTCCCATTCCACCAAATGAAAATCGAGCAGTAACAATGCGCCATTGTTGTTTCTCAGACGAATTGATTGCTTCGAGTTGAACCTGCAGGCCAGCGCTAACGATACCGATATCGTCATCACGTCGACGTGCTTGTTTGTATGATCGAAGAAATGTTCTATTCGTCGGCGAAATCGATGGTAGTGGAATGTGAATACTGACAAGTACTTCATCGTCTGTCATGGCTACACGACGATAACTAAGGAAAAATTCGCGTAGAGGTACAAGTCGAACAGAATTTGTCTCTCCGCGGTGTAGTTCTAAAACAGCATCAGCAGCCTGAAGAACTGGATTGACATCCGAACTGAAAACAGTTAAGATTCGAAATAGAAACAAGAAGAGATTCTATACATACATAGGTGAAGCATTGACAATGTTTCCACCAAGTGAAGCAACATTACGAATCTGTGTGGAAGCAAAATATTTCAGTTGATCGATCAGAGATTGACAAATGCCTCCGTCTAGGTTTTGATCATTCCATTCGGACAGTTTAGCTTGTAAACGTGTAAGAGTAACACCAGCGCCAAGAATTAAACTTGTTGATGTACGTTTGAGTTGTTGAAGTTCGTCAACATGTGTTACGGAAATGAAACGTGGGTATTTTAAACGTTTAAATTTCGTTTCAATTTGAACTTCGGTGTTGCCAAAAATGAGCTTCGATGCACCACCCGGATACATAGAACGAAGTTGAAGTACTTCATTTAGAGTCACCGGACGGTACCATTCGACTAATGAACCTAAATAATAAGAATGAGTGAGTGATATGTAAAGATGATTCCACGATTAACCTTTTATTTGAATTGATTGCGGAATATGTTGACGCAGTTCATTAGGAAATGCTATCTGATTGGGTTCCTTGTCAAGTTTGTTCACGAATGAAAGGCATTTATCCAATGTTGTTGATGTGGGCTTTGACGAACACGGATCTTTACATGGTAGTTTGTTAATATCTTTAGCAAATGACTTAGCAGCATCGAGAATAGGTCGATAGCCGGTACAACGACAAAGATTTCCATCAAATGCTTCTTCAATATCGTGCATTGTTATTGACGATGGAGAATGATTCGATGAAGTCACCGTTCCATACAACGACATAACAATACCCGGAGTGCAAAATCCGCATTGCGAACCATACATTTCAGCTAATCGTGATTGCGCTGGATGCAAATTGGACTTCGCAACAGAGCCTAAGCCTTCGACAGTTATCACATGGCAGCCGTCCACTGAGCAAATCGGTGCAAGGCAAGCATTCACCGTTCGATGTTCAATATAACCAGATTGTCGATCAATGCACTGGGATATCATCACTGTACAAGCGCCACACCCACCCTCACCACACCCTAGCTTCGATCCCGTCAAATTCAACTCTAGTAGAAAATAATAAACTTAACGATGATAACAATCAAATAAAAACAACGCAGCCTACTATTTCTAAGGTACCATAAGAGAGTCCAATCAGGTTCTACATGATGTTCAATAATCTGTTTACCATTGACATAAAATAGAAGGTAATCTAATGGTGGAGGCGTAGATTGTTGTATATTTTCTTTAACCATTTTCTTTCAAGTTACACAGTTTGTATTGTGCTCTTCTTTTTGATCTTAATATCTATATGTATTTTTACGTGAAAGAGATAGCGCCGGTGCGAAAAAGAAAATATGTAAAATACTGATTTATCAAACAGCAAACAATCGAAGAAGATAAGAAATATTTCGTAGTTTATGTTTTTATTCTATACTTGTTATTGTGAAAAGATATCAGTTCAAATCCGACGCTGTAAATGTCTCTCTGAGAAAAACATTTTCTTATTCTGCGTATGTGGACCGATTAAACTAGTCTCGTGCATCCAGGTGTTTCTGTGTCATACTTTATTCATCGTGCAGAAGACATCTATCGTTAAAAAAGAAACGATTATGTAAAAGTTTGAATACAATCTCCCACACGAATGAAAGCATGTGGATATGTTTCGGAAAGATTCAATAAAATTCCAAAATTTGCTCTTAAAGTATTCGCTTCTCGTCGTTGTGTTTGTAAACGGGTAAACAGATGACTTTGATTTTTGCCTGTCGATGGGTCAACGTTAACGGCGGAACAACGTTGGCATAAACCACTTGTTTCTAATCGAATGATTTGCTTTTCGTGGAAGATGAGCATGCGTTTCCATAGATCTTCACTGTATGCTGGACACACTTGTTTCGGACTCTGCTTGTCGACAACTAAATTCGGCCGAAAACGTTCGTGTGTGACATTCTCATAATCAGCCAATTCGGATTTGATTTGTCGAACACTTTCTTCGTGTACAAGAAGAAAAGCACCTTCGTTCGCTAGCGTCATTTGACTATCAATCGTTCGTCGTGCTAAAGTTGCATATATACCCAACACACGAGTTAGCCATTGTTCAATTTCACCTGAATAAACATTACAAAGAGCTCTGTCCTTTAATTGAACCGATGATTTCACAATTGCTGAATCTAAAAGACACGAATAGGAGTTATCGGGTTTTTTTTTAAATACTTGAAGCAAACCATGAAGAATATCAATAATAAAAGACGGATGATTACTGGCACTGAGTATTAATTGTTTTTGTTTTAGATCAATATGAGGTTTGATTTGAGATAAACTTGGTAGACGTTTTAACGTTAATGGATTCATATTTTGATCAACAATCATCCATTCTCGATCATAGAGAAAGGCAATCGATGTCAAAGGCCATTCTGTAACAGACATAGGTGCACAAGATTTTATCGGATAGATGTAAATATGTGTTAAAGTTAAGTTAAGATTTTCACTCAAGAGATTTCCATTTTCCGCCGACGATGGGAATAATGGTGCAATTCCAATGCCTTGTAGAACAATTTGACAGAGAAAGTCAATCCAGATTTGAATATCTTCATATCGGCTCATCCAACCAAGACTTAAACGGATACTACCCAGTGGTTGTCGACCGGAATCGATCACATCTTCGCCATCATGATTCGTTCCACAGAAAAGTCCACGACGACACTCATGATTCGTTTCAAACGATTTTCTCGAATTCAGATAACTTTGACTTGCACCTGGTGCACAGAATGTTCCAACACGTAGGGTAATATTATGATCACTGGCTATTCTTTGTACCAAGCGACAAGAAAGAAACTGACCATGCTTATTATACAAATTAAAATTCAAAACAGGTCCGTATGAATAACCATAGTCTTTCGTTAAATCACCTCTGGCATCATAAAATAAACAAAGTTTCTGTCCATTGGAATAAGCCAATTGAGACATTTCATTTCGACAGTAGTCAATTAAACATTGTGTATGTAGAGAAATTGATTTGTAAGTTAATTGAGATGTGATCAACTGAAAACCATGATAAACAGATAGAATACTTGTGAATGGAATCGTCCCATGAATGAAACCATTGATATTCGATTTGTAATCAACACGAGTGTCATCGTATGGTGAAACATATTCAACACTTCCACCGCCAAAATAATGTTCTTTGTTTAAGATTTTTAATACATCATTTCGAATAATCAATGCACCTAAACCAGTTGGATAACCAAAGATTTTATAGAATGACAAAACAACAAAATCAACGGGATACGATTTAAGTGAAAACGGTTTTGTTGAGAGATATTTCGCACAATCAACTAATGTTAACCATCGACACGATTTTGATGGTTGATTTTTCACTGGAATTCGAAAGTCATTCGAAGAATCATCTCGTGCAGTAATAAATGGCTGCACAAGTTGATTCAGTGGTGGTCGTAGTCCATTAAAATTATTCTCTGCTGGACATGCGAATAAACAATAGGATATTGATGTGCTGATCGATTCTGAATCTGGTGGTGAATGGCCAACACAATGAAAGGATTCATAATAATCAGAGTTCGTTCGTTGATTATAAATAAACGAAGGATAATCAATAACAGAAAACGAACCACCGTGAAGTTTAGCTTGTTGTCGAATGCCGATGAGACTATTATGACTATCGATCATATATGCATATTCCGACTTGGATGAAAATGGAAATAACGTGGATAGTAATTGACACGCATGTGTCGTATTCAATGTGAATACAATCGAATAATCTCGACTGGATGTTTCAAATATTGACAAGATCGATTCGATACATTCATGAATTAATAATAATGTTTTCGAGTCTTCTTGTTCACTATGAGGATTATTTAAGAATGAAGTTCGAAGTTGACGAAAATGTGCATCTAGTTGAGATTGAGTATATAATGTTGTTCCAGCATGATCGAGATAGATTCGATCGGTAGGTAAACGCGATAAAAACTCGTTTTGATAGATCTCATCGATTGTTCCATTGTAACCATCTGATCAAAAGAAATAAACATCAAGCAATGCGAAATCAAAACACGAAAACAGTGTGTACAGACATGCGGGATGATTTACAAGAAACGTTTGCTTATCGAGTGTCATATGTGTCGACATCGTATGAAGTTTAACTTCACTTATCTTTCTCCTTCTATGATGTGATAGCAGATCTACCTTTTACACTTATTTATCTCGTTCGAAGTGGCGAACGATAAGAAAAATACATGAGAAAGTGATTTTTATCGATGATTCATGAATCATTATTGAAAATATTGTCATACAAAGGACGTTATCATCGAAGGCACCATTGAAAATGTCCTTGAAAACATGTGTTAGTTGCCTACATGCACCCGTTGGTTTTGATATAAGCTTTGTTAAATTAAGTACTGAGACTTTGCTCGGTAATTGAACACGTTCATCATTTACCCACAAGTTCAGTCCTGATGAAGTTCTAAAGGATTAATATTACATTGACTAAAGTAGTTGTTACATAGAAGTGTATTTCATGACAATCATAATCATTAGAAGATGAAAACTGGCATTTATCTTGATAATCTACTCTGACAATTAATTTCATTTGATATTTATAACTTGGAATTATCGATGTAGCTAGAAATAAATCAGTATTAAGAAAACCATCAACACGACGTAGAACATGTCGATGAGAACTAATGGCACCAATGTTTGCTTTTAGAAAATATTTCCTCATGCTTCGGACTTGTTGTTTGTTAAATTTGACCTACAAGATAAGGTTACTTAATATTACATTATGTTACATCTACAAGCGCAAATTTACCTGACATCTCAATTTATAATTGTACCCTTTAGAAGGTAACCCTTGATGTAAGTTTTATGCATCATTTCTGCGTGATGAGCATGTTTAAGTTTACACTTTGTTCTACATTTCGTATCTATGTGTCAAATAATTACAAGATTTAAATGACGACGTCAGCGGTCGTGTACTCTTCGGATAGGAAAAGAAGTCATTTCATTGGTTAGTTTATTGTTTCTTAATAAATTTAAACAAAGAAACGTTAATAAGCGTATGATATAAGGAAGCTAAATAGGAAATATGACATTTTTCTTTCTTTCTTTCTTCACAATACAATTATCGTTGTATGTTGTGCTTACAGTGTTTATCTGATCAACTATTATGATGAATTTACATATAAGAAAAGCTTCTTTTCTTCCATGATGTTATATCAGAGAAAAAGCGCTTTTTCTTCAGTGCTACTCACAGGTGAATATATAATGGATGCTTGGAGATTTTCTTATTAAAGACATAATTGATTACATTCTCGATATATGAAACTCCGTGTTCAGTTGCTCTAGTAATGATTAATGTTTTGGAAATGAAATAGTCGCAGTATTTCGTATTACAATTAGTTATTCATATTTCTCTTCTACCCTTCTGATACTTAAACTCTATAGAATACTGACTAAAGAGTAGAAGTCGATTTTCAAGGTAAGTACTGGTCGATTTATTTTTAAACAATAATGACAACTTATTTGTGTCTACCGTTAAACGAAGAGTGAATATGAACCTTATGGAAGTATTTGATTGGCGTTTCTGCTAGTGCTACCTGTGTCAACATATAGTATTGATTTCTAGGCAAGAAAAAAATCTTCTTATGTCGCCTATTTCTTATTGAATATTGCTAGAAGCATATCATGAAAATTTTATCTTTGTTAAGCGTCCTCTACCGTTGCACAAAAATCTCTAAATATATATTTATTGGTAGGAATAGATCTACCAATGAGAAATGTTGTCCTTGTTGACCTTCAAAAGAAAGTCAGTCAAAGAATTCCAAAGGAAAAAAAAGGTAAAGAAAAGAATTAAAGTAAGTAATTATGTTGACAAGTGCTTACATTGATCATACTTTATTAAAACCCGAAGCGACGTTAAAACAAATTGATCAACTATGTGCTGAAGCAACTGAACATAAATTTGCAACAGTTTGTATACAACCTTGTCATGTGAAGTATGCGGCCGACAAGTATTCGGTACGTGTTTGTACTGTCATTGGATTTCCTCTGGGAGTAACAAGTACGCAAACAAAAGTATTTGAATGCCAACAAGCTTTAAGCGATGGTGCCCAAGAGATCGACATGGTTATTAATATTGGCAAAGTCAAAGACGGCAATTTCGAATACGTACAGAATGAAATCGAACAATTAGCTAAATTGGTTCATTCATCCGGTGAAAACAAACTTTTAAAAGTTATTATCGAAACATGCTTGTTGAATGAAGTTGAAAAACAGAAGCTATGTCAAATAGTTGGTGATGCCGGTGCGGATTTTATAAAAACTTCAACGGGATTTTCAACCGGCGGTGCAACGTTGGATGACATTAAATTATTACGGCAATATTCACCGAAGCATGTGCAAGTCAAAGCATCTGGTGGTATACGAGACAGTAATTTTGCGAAGGAGCTGATTCAAGCCGGTGCCACACGCCTTGGAACATCATCTGGCGTTGCTTTAATGAAGGACATTCCTACAACATCGAATTATTAGATACAGAACGAATATTGCATTGATTTTTTTTTCTCGCAATGATTTGGGAACAAAGCTTTTTCTAATTGTGATTTGCTTTTTTAGATAGTCTTTATTGATTTTTCTGTTCATCGGATGAATTGAACTAATGTCGGAATCAAGTAATAAAAAGTTTTTAACATAGAAGACACATTAATTTATTGATCTGTTTCGTCTTTTCGATAGGTTTTAGTTATGGTGATAACGGAGCGTTCTCCCCACCCATGGATGTCGGGAGCCAACTTCAAAATGGAAATATACAGCTTACAAGTGGCAACTCGAATTACTCGAGCGGTTCGGGTGGGGATTCGCCTTCATCATTGAGTCCAGGTAGAGAATCATGCTTTGTGAAGCAAAAGATTCTATTCTTATTTATCTTCGTCGTAGTGCCGATGTCATCCGGCGGACAATTTGGAGGCATTGGTGGTAATTCAAATTCATCAACAAGCTCGACACCAGCGGCTACACCAAGTGCTGGAATGAATATAAACCCTGCATCCAAATATGCTTGCGCTATTTGCGGTGATAAGGCATCAGGCAAGCATTACGGTGTGCATAGGTACGTTAATTTTGTGTAAAAAAAATCATTCAACCGCAAATAATTCATTATTTTATACTTAGCTGTGAAGGCTGCAAAGGATTTTTTAAACGTACTGTCCGAAAGGATTTAACATATACATGTCGAGATAACCGCGAGTGTATCATTGATAAAAGACAACGTAATCGATGTCAATATTGTCGCTATCAAAAATGCGTCAATGTTGGCATGAAAAAAGAAGGTAAGATAACGTTAGGAAATTAGAACTATTTTCTATTCATTTCTTATTCAGCTGTTCAAGAAGAACGACAAAAATCGGGTATGAGTGGCGATGGTGATTCACCGTCATCACCAAATGCAAGTCTTAGTAGCAGCACAAATACAAATACGGGTATTGGCTCTTCGGGCTCTCATTCTGATGACGAAATGTTAATTGAAAAATTGATTGCCGCAGAATTATCTGTCGAATCGAAAATAGAATCATTTCATGAAGAAGATTGTTCATACGATCGACTTTTGTCCACAACCAATTCTCAACTGGCACAATTAACTGATTGGGCCAAACGTGTGCCTCATTTTTCTACCTTATCACTTGATGACCAAGTGGCATTAGTCAGAGCTTCATGGAGAGATATCCTCTGCTGTTCGCTTGCGTACCGATCTATCATGGCGCCAGATTGTGGCTTGATCCTTTCGGTTTGTTGTTTCATATGCAATCATTCTCCAACTATGCATTATTTATGTAGGATGGTTCTTACGTTCGACCGCATACAGCTGTCGACCAATCTCTTCAATTTTTCATCACACGCCTTTATCATGATGTTGTCACGATTATGCGTGAACTGAACGTCGACAAAGTCGAAATAACGTGCATTAAGGCTATATTTCTTTTTGATCCAGGTTTGCTCTGAGAGAGAAAGTTAATATAAACTATAAATAAATGTTCGTACTTTTTAGACGCCAAAGATGTCGTCGACACGAGTCGTGTATCAGAACTACGCGAAAAAGTGTGTATGTCTCTAGCAACATACTGTAAGAAGGTTCATAGTGATGATGTGGCACGTTTTGCTAAATTACTTCTACGAATGCCACCGATACGTGGTTGGTGTATTAAAGGTATTGAAAATTTATTTTTCGCTGGCGCAGCTCGATCAGCCGATTCCGAAATCATCCACATGATCCGCAATCGCCAACTTTAAAGCAGATGGAAACGCTATTTTGCAGACAGTGTACATAAAATTTGCTCTCTTTCGAAGTCTTCTCATCAGTTGTGAAAAAGTCATTAGTCATAAAAGATTTCAATAGATGAAGAAAGATGGACAACTGACTTTCTTTTTATTTTATTGATTTCTTTTTTTCGTAACTATATAAAGTTATATACATAAATATACATATTGTATTGTCATTGCTGTTCGTTTTCTTCTTGTTACGTTTGTCTCTCTTTCTGTGATATCTTTCCTGGGTGTTTGACTCAAGCATATGGAAACTCGATGGAAAATTTCGTCCTCATTTGTTTTTTTTTCGTTGATTTGTTTGGTTTTCTTTTCTTGCCGGTTTATTCCCTCCTAGTTCTAATTGGTTCACTTCTGTGGTTTTTTTTTCCTCGATAGTCTTTTGTTGTGCATCGTCTTTATTGAAACTCGTTTGTACTCTCTTTTTTTTCTCTGAAAAATACATATATTTGTGTGAGAGTGCTTCTACATTCGTATACAGATTTCCACGTCCATATATGACCGATAATCACGGCAAAATATGCTCAAATATCTATTTGGAATGTGTAGAAAAGCGAGTGTAAACACCAGCTGAGTCTTGTTTAGCACATTCAGAGGAGCTGAACGAAACTAAACCTGCAACATACTTGAAAATAAGTATAATGTTTTTAATTCTTGTTCTACAAAACAGATAAGCATATCTGACCAAGCTAAATCCTTTGTCAATTTGACATATCAGCGAAAAACCTTTACACGACCTTTGAATACTTGATTAATATTCGTTCTATGTGAAAAATATCATTCCTTATCTTTGCTATTTACACCGTAAATCACAATGAATGCACATATTATTGCATCTCAATAAAGTTTATATTTATCTTTCGTAAAAACACGGTCTGATACTTGCCATCGATGTTTCCGTTGGATTAACAAAGGATCATCGGAATCTCATTGGCATGAATCTGTTTTGAAATCGTTTGATCTGGCACAAATCATAAATTTCGATTGGAAAAGTCTCATATCATCTATTTGATCATTCAATTGAACATCTGACACAATACATAGGTATCGAATAAAAGCTGTTTCCTGCACTGAACGCGAAAGACGTAGGATTGTTAAACCATGTTGATAAGTTTTGAATGAACGAATTCGATAGTCCAGATGATTGAATATATGTCGAACAGAACGTTTTTCAACAATACCTTGATTCATTTCATTTTCACGCTCATCTAACTTATGTATACCGAGCCACAAAGTAAATTCTCGAGTGTCTCTTCCGTATGTACAATGCGCAGCTGTTAGAACACTCCATGCATAGATTAAACTTCCACCACACCAATCTTGCGCGCCAATTTGTATGTAAACAATATAAGGCCAAGAATTTTTCACGGCTATTTCACCATTTACTATACGATCTGTAGAGATATTTGGTTGAATATACGATTCGCTACATTTGACTGAACAATCTCGACCCTGTGCGCCCAATCGGCATAGACATGACTGGTTATTGATAGAACAAATAGCTTGATTGATACAGATCTGGTTTGAACATCGAATACCGACTAGGATTAAAAAATGATCATATTCAACGGGTAAAAACAATCAGGTTTACCATGTTCACAACTAGTGCCGATAACATTATCTGGACAAATACATTTTGTCTGTTATGTAGCTAACACTTGACATTGGCCGCCATTTCTGCATCTTACTCGACGTGTTTGACAAGGATCAATTGATGAAGATAATACAAAATTTTTTTAAAAAGAACATATTCGTTTTGTTTTAAATAATTGTACCGACTTTGCCGAGCTACTGCATTCGTATTTTCGTTATTCAATGTGTCAACAAATTGAATTCATGATTCCAGTTCGATTTGAAAACATCTCTCATCGTTAAACAATCGCGATAATACTGGCGATTGAATATAAAGATAACCATGTACATCCAAACGAATAATTGCCTTTTCATTAAAAGATTTCAATTTGAGTGTATTCGAACCAGATGTTGGATATATCACAATAGCTTTCAGTAGACTAACATTCACAGGTGCACACACGATTGTATTATTTTCGAATAGTTTTGGTTTAGTTGAATACAACCGATTATTCATTTCAATCGTTGTGATACAATTAATGAGAATTATTGCTACGATCCACATTATTTGAATTCGTCGATATACTAAACTGGTTTATCTTTTCATCGATTTCTATTCTTTTGACGAACATATGTTTACAACTGATACTTTTTCAGAGACATGGCAAAGAACGTGCTGTTATGTGTTTATATTTTGTTACAATCAATGATTTTTCGCAAGAAAAATCTATGGTAATGGCCAGTAGTTCTTCTTCGCCTGAGCAATATAATCGATTAATGCAATTGTGCATTCTGTCGCGCGATATTCAGGCAATGCATAGTCTTTCATCAGCCATAAACGAAACTGTTCATCATCAGATCGAAATGTATGAGTGAATTCTCTTAATAGATCTTCGGCTTTTGTCATTCGTTTCGTTTTTTGAAGTTTTTCAGAAGTATGCATACCTATACCTGGTATTTTATGTAAGATCTGATCTCCTAGCGGTTTGGATAGAATTCGAGCGAATTTATTTGACCGAAGATTGCATGGATCAAATTTCGATGGAGATACTGACATGAATAAATTAAGAAATAAATTAGTAAAAATAAGCGCGTGTTGCATTCAGCTAGAAATCGATTGAATAGTTTATTCGAAACTCTCAGGAATGTTCATTTCATCTGTTACAAGAGAAAATTCTTGTAAAAGAAAAAGAAATACAAGTCTGTTAAGCACATTTCCATACTATGATGGCCGTTGTACCACCAAAGAACATATATAAAAGTGATTTGACTTGATGTTCAATGAAAAATCTAAATAAACAAGAATTATTTCGCGAATGCTTCATGAATCTATCGTTTTCACAACTCACCCATATCCTTCGCCGACAATGCACTGCCAAGTGGGCCCAAATTTCTTATCCTAGAAACGAAATCTCTCCCAGTTAAATCTCAAACATTTCCTTTCCTTTCAAACTAACCATTGTCTCTTTGATCATGCGTGCAGCGTTCTAAAAATAAATCACAATGATCATCAATGTAAACATATTCGTATTTCATCAAACAAACTTCGTTGTTTTGTGAAAACTTTTCACATGCTGTCACACACAATTCCATACATTCGGTTTTCACTTCTTCGTTCATATCACTCGTCTAAACAGATACTTATACTACGCAAAAATATGTTCAGTCTATCATACACGAATGAGTGGATAGGTGTGTCGTTTTGTTTCTTCTTTTTGTTGAGTTTCTCCATCAGCAGCGTCTGTAGCCATTGTCTAACTTGAATATGAAATAATCTTAGAAATAACCATGTTTTCTACACGACGATTTCTATGACAACTTCCTTTCGAATCAAACACAATCGCAAGTAAGAATACGAGTCTGGAGTAGACGACATCTATTCAAGACTTTATTTGTTCTCTTTCGAACAAATCATTTGTTCGCTTTGGTTTCATTCATTCATTCATTCATTTATTTGAAATAAAAGGAAAGATTATTATCATTTTGATTTTTCTCTTGTTGACAAACAAAGACGAAGATTCATTGGAATTTTCAAACGAAATAATGACTACGAATTCGTCAGAGTATATTGAAAAACCTTCGTTGAAATCGAAAGCAAAATCTTTTCATCTCTCATCTAGAATCGACTGGTCGAAAATGCCTTTCCCACTGGCAACAAATTTATTCGAGAAATACACACATCAAGCATGCCCTCCTCCTATTCAATCTTTAGGTATTGATGAGGCACTCTGGTCACAATGTCGTTCATTGGCATTAAATCTTCGTAAACAGGGTTGTATCGATCCAATATCAATCTTATACACATCATTCAAACGTTACTATTCACCAACTATAAGCTTACATTACTTTACACGATGGTTAGTCTTAAATGATGAGAATAAACGAGATTTTCCAGTCAATTCCTTACAATATTCGACATATCAATCAGCGACTCAGCTATGTAAATTGTCACCTACAACGAAACCATTGGAATTTAACCAGTCACTAGACAATATCGAACAAGTCTGGTTTCTTATTTCAATTTCCATGCTCGTGCCGATGAGTGGCTCAACATTAATCCCAGACGTTTCAACATTGGACAACGATGTCACACGTATGTCTTTCAATACCAAGAGAACGTCAGCATCTCGTTTGCACTGCATTTTCGCTATGACACCCAGTGGAAAGTACTCGAATCAAATGATTATTTATAAGCCAGGACGGCACATGAAAGTCAATACAGCATCATCACCATGTACACGAATTATTGAATCAAATAATGGAGATTTAACATGTGAACATATTCAACAATGGTTGGACGAATTTCTTTCTTCATCACAACTAACCAAGAATAGGTAAAACTTAGTTTAATTATTGAAAATTCTCAAAGATTTTTTGTTTGTTTGTTTCCAAGTGCATTGGTCATCGATCCACGTACAACTCTTATCACATTAGACTTTCAACGAGCATGTGAAAATGCCAGTGTGCAATTGATAACAACTGATGTCGATGTATACAATACATATGTCTTAGTACCAGTTTTTACAATATTCGATAAACAATGGTCGAGAGCGAATCGAATCAATAAAATGTTCTTGAGATCAGCTGCAAATTTGCAATGTATCGTCTATCTCTTGTGGTTCACACTTCGAACACTCAAACAGGACGATCAGTTATGTAAATTATTCAGTCAAACCATTTTATGGAAAACAAATGATCAAAAATATGTACAATCACTACAACCATCGGTGCAAAACTCTTTGCCTAAAAAGAAAAAGAAGAAGATCTTTACAAAAACAGGCAAGACCGATGTCACATGAACATTTTCGTTCACTTCATGTCTCTTCTATCTAGGTAGTAAAGCAAAATTATCGCCAGTAACAACATCAACAGCAAACAACATGATGTCTGATCCACCTGTGGATTGTAAACCAGAAGAAATCCTCTCCTACATCATCAATCGACGTATCTCCATATCACGTGCAAGCAAACATCTTGGTGGAATGAAATTAGATTACTTCAAATATTGTTTGTCATACAAAATGGATTCCTCGTGCATAACTGGTGCTCATCTCGTGCAACTGAATACGTTTATGCAATCGAAATCGACTATCGATTGGCTACGTCATTTGAAATCGTTATATTTTTGGCCGTGCACTAAACAACTGTTCCTTCGAGAGATTTACCAACTAACTGGTATATTTACACGTAAGCGTTCGATGAATATCTGTGGAACCAACAACATGGGTTCGATCCGAAGTTGTGATCAGCAATCGCCGGGAATTTTCTGGCGAGCTTTCGAAGATATCCATCGAATTCAATTGGACAACGAATCAGTTGTTGATGATAAACAATGGCATGAAGATTTCGAACAATACTTATTCAATAAAAATATCAATTGCGAAAAAGTAAAGTGTTTTTTTTTTATTCGAACTAAATCGAACTTTCACTGTTTCAGGCCCAATTGTGGACAATTGATACATTCGAATTTTCTCTAACCAAAAAATCGACTATTTTACAATTACCGGAGTGGAATGAATTACGTCCAATGAATCTAACACCTAAAGTGTCGGTTATTTATGCCTTTTCTAATGATGGACAATCAACTGATCCATTCTTCATCTTTCCAAATTCACTTCGTGACGAAACTATCACTGATGAACGAAATGCTTACAACGAATTAGGTCATTTAACACCTCAAATCTTTCAAATTTGGATTGAAAAGTGTTTCCTTAGTCAATCACCGAATTCAACGAAAGTTCTCATATTTTGTTCACGGTTACCCATACTTTCATCAAAAACCTTGGCACTTCTCGAACAGAATCATACCTTTCCATTCGGATATCCATTTACACGTACATTACCATTTCGTTATCTGTTTGAACGTCGTGTACGTAACAATCGTTCGACTAATTTAATCAGTGAACTGTGGAAAAAGAAATTATTAGATGAACAACGTACACATGTATTAAAAGGTTCAAATTGTACAGTTAAGAATATCAAAGATATTTTCGAACAGATCTGGCCTGTATTAATCAATGAAAAGCGTGATGATGACGATGAAAATAAAACATTCCAGGAGAAATGTTTACAAGCATTCCAACAGGCAAACATTCAATTGGTTATCAATCGAAAAGAACAATTGATGACGAAGAGACTCGAAATGAATAAGAAGAAAATTCACGAATGGCACATGAAATCGGACGAATATGTTCAACAATTGAATGATTTACTGAATGAAATTAATCGGATGAAAGAACATGTCAATTCAACCCAAATTCTCAAAATCAAAAATAATGATGGTAAATAGTTCATTTCATTTTATCGATTTTGTCGAATTTTTTCTCGTTTATCTAGCATCGATAGCGGATGAAATGATTGAAACCAACGAATTAACGTCCACTGAACAAATGCAAGTTGCGGATGATGCTGAAACTACAAATACGAATGCAATTGTTCAACTAGCAACTGATAAACGACCGAGTGATGAAAATGACGAGCCGCGTGCATCGAAACGCCTTCGCTCATCGTGTTTACACTCAAATACTCTATCACCTACAACGATACATTCTCTTCAATGGACTCCACCCTCCAAACAATCCTTACTACTGATGCAATCTCAGTCCTTATCATTATTTCAATTTGCTCTCTCACTTGTACAAACAATCGTAACTTCATCCGAACATTATCTTACAGATGAACATCATCAATGGCTTCTCGCGACAATTAAACAATATGATAGTAGCTGCAATGATGATAGATTGGAATTTATCATTCAAATAGCTTGTATGGTGACAAAAACCAGTCTAGTCAGATGACTGATCTTTTCTTCTCTTGATATATCCTCTTTTTGCTATGTATGTATGTATGTTGATGAAAAGTAATAGTCTCTATTTTAATACCTTGGTCAGATACATTTTCGACCTAGTTTTGAAAAAAAGATTCTATTGAAACAAAAGAGAATTGTTGAATAAAATGAATTGTGATTCTAGATGTTTTAATCGCTTCATTTAACGGGAAAAAATCAAGTGCTATATCGATGGCTTAAAGATTTAGTCTTCTTGCAAGTAAGATATGATTTAATTGATAAGATTTTCTATGCAAAGAATGCGATTTATTTCAGATTTTTAGTCTTTTTTAAACTCCGTATAATATTTTTATCCATGATATTATCTCGTCAATCGTATTTTACTTTTTACTGCTTTGCAATTTATTTGTACTTACATATATTTGGCAATCTGTGATCCCCGTACAAGTTTGTGTTTGAAACAACGCGACTCACGCGCACACTTGACAGGTCATTTCTTCCAATATGCTACCACAAATAAATGATGCAAGTAATCATAATGTACCTTCACCGTTATCCGTATCCTCATCAACATCATCATCGAATGGTGGAATCAAAATTCGAATCAAACTATCGGCCACTTCATTAGCAAAACGACGATCTCAACGACGTCGGATGGTAAGATCAAAAGAAATTTATATTGAATCTTTTCGATTTATCGTTTCTCCTAGAACCCTCAACCACCTATGCGAACGAGCTCGTTAACAACTACGATTCTTCATACCAACAGCCATGTAAACAACCCTACATTTGATAGCAACAATGACCAACAAATTGAAAAATATTCTCCGAACAATCTCGTTTTCACGACGACATCAAAAGCAAATACCAAATCGTCATACTGGACAGTGACTGACCGAGAGCCTGAATGGTATAAACTTGCAATGCCTGCGAATCTATCGATATCGGATACCATCAAACAGATGGCATCATACAGGAAAATATCGACAACATCAGAGCGGAATACATCCAGATCGAATCAGAATGATCAAATTGGTCAACCAATGTATGTTTTATCTGATCTTGTTGATGATTTGCGAGATTCTTTTTGCAGAGATACAACGCAATTGATTATGAAGGCAGTCATGCATGAACTAGATTATGATATTGATGATAATGATTTGAAATTTCTTCATGAACTCAATAGTCAACGTAGGAAGATTCATCTTTTTTTCTCGACTTAATTTCATCGATTTGTCTTTCTAGAAAAACGGCAAATAACCGAAGAAGAATTTGAAAATGCAATAATCATCTTAGAATTCTCTACTGCTGAAAAGATTCGTTCGTATTTAAAGCAAAAATCGTGTGAAAACGACGATATTGTCTGTGATATATGTCTATCGCCCGATGCTGACGATGGAAATGAAATGGTATTCTGTGAACGTTGTAATTGTTGTGTTCACCAGAATTGTTATGGGATTCCACATGTGCCGAGTGGCACATGGCTCTGCCGGCCATGTTCGATTCTACGGCGGCCGTCTTGTATACTTTGTTCCAAGTAAATCATACCAGAATTCAGTTTCATCTTACTTTTCTTTTGTTTGAAGACTTGGCGGACCAATGAAATGTACCGCTAGTGGAACAATCTGGTGTCATTTGACATGTGCACTTTGGTTACCTGAGCTGAAATTTGTCGATTATGTAACCATGGTAAGATGAACAAATGATATTCATCGAAGAACGATCAATAATGCTTTGTTTCGTTAACTAGGAACCAGTTTTACATCTAGATAAGATATCTCATGCACGTTGGTCACTTCGTTGTGTCGTTTGTTCGACATTAGACGGTGCATGTGTGCAATGTGCACATAAAAATTGTCGAACACCTTTTCATGTATGTATTTTCCCTTGTGGAATATAATCAATCGAAGACATAATCATTTGTAGAAGACACTTTTATAGTTTCTTGATGAACTTTTCATGAAAAAGAATAACCCCAATCTCCTGAGTCTAACGAAGCCTGATAAATGCGAAAAGAAATGCTACAATAGACATGAAACTTTTTTTTTCTTATATATGAAACAGAATTAAAGTTGATATTCAGCTTTATGATATTATTGTTTCTATTTTAAGGTAACTTGTGGCCTTGCCGCTGGTTATTTTCTCGATATTCAACAAACAACTTCAAAAGAATCAACATCAATGCGTTCACAATTCAATGCTTACTGTTTCAAACATTCAGACGAAGCGCGAAAACGCTCCGAGCAAGACCCATTGACATATTCCTCTCAAAAAAGTATCGAAGATGATTCCTCCTGCTCATCATCCTCGTCGTCATCATCACCACCCTCGCTAACTCCTCTAACTGTCTATCAACGTGACCAACTACGAACTGAACAATGGATCAACGAATGTTACAAGAAATTTTCGACATTCATCTCTTCGTCTTATCTGCACGAAGAATCTCCTCAGGATTACGATGAAAATCTTTCGAAAAGAATCTATGAATATTGGATTAATAAGCGACAATTCCATCGAACAATGCCGCTAATCAAACGGATTGACTTCGTTCTTGAACAGCGTGAAAATGCCGAACTATTGATCGCCCAAATCAATACATGTCTCAAAACGAGACAGACTATACGTGACGTAAGTACATATTATTCAGTAGAATAAAACAGGTGAATAAACAAGACTGTTACGCTTGATTTTCTTTTTTAATAATAATCATCAATCAAATTAACTAAACGGGTTTTTTTTTTCATTGAGAATAGATTCAATACGAAAGGCAAAATAGGAAAATAAGATTTTGTAATTGACTTGTTCCGCAAATCCCTTGTTACGAAAGTTATTCGAATCAAGCTCTATACACATCGAAACCAACATCAGCTAGAAAGCATATCATCATTGTTGACAAGTTCTTGAGTTTAGAATATTAACATCAAGATCAGCGTGAATATTACTTATCAGAGAGAAATAAAAAACGATTGAATTTCATTAACAACTGTCGATGAAGTGAGTGTGGAGTGAAAACGTTCAAATCTTTTGTTTGTGTTCGCACTTTTGCTAAATTTCTGACAGAAGTTGTTGCCGTCTGAGGACAAAAAAACTGTGAACAAGGCCAGTTTTGTTATTTCAATGTTGTAATCGTTTCTTTGATTGTTTCGATTTGAATATTTAGCTTCAAAATCAATGTAAAACAGTCTTAGATTCCCATCCATCATCAACAATTCTCGCTCAACGTTTCGAATCATTAAAAAAAACTTTCTCATCTTCAAGTCCTTCTCATCGACAACGCTGTCGACGTCGTCACCGTCAATCATCATCAACGTCATCTACATTTCATGGTGAAAATGACCATGGAAACGTAAATGAGTTGAAAGCAGTTAAACGACGTCGTCGGAAACTTTTTTATTCAACCGAACAATATCAAACAATTGTCAACGCTAAGCGATGTCGAGTTTCATTAGAATCAACTTATCGATATAGTTTACAATTAAACACGACGTATCTAATTCGAACGTTGAACGATGGACAAATGATTTTATTACCAAAAGAACTTTTCGAACGAATCTCAGATAAAAGCATTTTACCATCAACAGATTATTCGCAAGTATCCGATGATGGCGAAGATTTGGAAACACCCAAAGAGCCTTCACTATTTCAATCGAGCAAAACATCGTATGCATCTCACGGAAACGTTGTCACATGTGTCACTGGATCTTTTAATTAATTGTCTTTAACTTTCACTTGTTTTTGTTCTTTCTCGAATTGTTATTTTATTCGATACGAAATATAAATAGAAAAGAAAAAAGAAACACAACAAGGAAACAGATTGAATTATTTTCCTCTCTCTCTCTCCTTCTCCCTACATGACTAGGGCCCGAAGGCAAGAACATTGATTGTAATGATAATATATGGATCTTTTTCTTTTTCTTCACTTTCGCTATTCTTGTTGACACGAAGAATATAAAAAAAATATGTATGTATGTATATATATAGATGCAAGTATGTAAAGAATAAAAAAGAGGATCGATAGGAAAAATGCTAGGCACAAAGCTTACAATGGTATGCAAGGCAGCTCATACAGAATTCAAAAAATCGAAGCGAAAGGAAGGAAAAAATGACGAGAAAGGCGACAAATGCATAGAAAGAGACATGCAAAAAAAAATCAAGCTTGTTCTCTGTTTTTTTTCTTTCTTATTTCTTCCCTGTTGCGCTCTCTCTTTTACGCTTTCTCTTTTTATATTCGAAGAGTGAAAAAATTGGTAGTTTACCAACTATTCTCATAGGTTGTCATCGTTGTGTTACTTTCTTCTATTTCTTTTTTTCCTAAAAAGAAAGAAGAGAAACGAGACGTATTGGTAATATTGGTGTTGCTTTTCTAAGCGATTCATTTACTCATTTTGCAGATATTGAAAGACAAACGATCAATCCCCATGATTTGGTCGATCATACTTGCGGCTTTTAGCGGTAAGATTAATTTCACTATGTTTTTTCAAGGTTATATTCATATTTTCTTCATTCGTTATCGTTTCGTTGTCGACTATTTAGCCTTGACAAATACACAACTAGTGTCAACACAAACGAAATCTCCAAGGGCAAAACCTAATCTATTCGATCCTGTTCTCTCCGCTGATGGTTACACTGGTCATTTGAAAGAAAACGAACGGATCGTTCAGCTTCAGCCTCGTCTCGCGGCATCTGACGCTGACTCAAGTAAAACTGTGAATGGTGTGTTGACCAATTTTTTCTTCTTCTTCTTTTTCGATTTTTGTCAAGTGTTTATTTACTTTAACCTGCGTTTGCTATTTGCTCTAGGTAAAATCTGCGGTTATGAATTATCATTACACAAACATGATGATATTCTCGCCGAAGCAACGCCCAGCATTCCATTCACTGTTGAACTGATCGATAATCAGCCTGTTATAAAACTGAAATCCACTGCTGATCCACTCGATTGTGAAATAAAACGGACGCATCGTTTGTTTGTCCGTGCTTACGATTGCGCACCATCAGATAAACGTCGTTATTCAGAAAGGTAGATAGTCAAAAATACTTTGACTTTTCAATGAAGTACTCTCACCTCCGGGGAAATTGTTGGATCGTTTGATCGAACAAGAACAAAAGAATATTGAGACGAAAATAAACGCACAAAACAAAGAACTTCCTAATCTATCTTCTTTTCTTTTTTCTGCTAACCTTTAGATCAGCAGTAATAATAACTGTCGATGATGTGAATGAATATGCACCGGTATTTACGCATAGCAATTATTTATTCAAGTTGCATCAAGATGAAACGTGTGATGAATCGTCGTGTCGTGTAAGTTTCAAAAGAAAGCAAGATCTTATAATCGCCGAGGAGAAGTTTGCTAAATATAGATTCGAAAATTAGTGAGAGGCCTTTTTCATTGGAGCTCCACCTTGCAGGAAGAAGATTAAAGTGGATGTGAATAAGGCATGTTTTGAAGAGAAAAGCTAAGCGTATCAGACAAGGTTCTTTTTTATTTATAACTCCACATTCAATGTGAAGAATTTGTTTTTTTGTGATGCTCTAGGTCGAAGCCGTTGATGACGATTGCGCCAATCCTGATCATCGAGTTTGCGGTTATGAAATCGTTACACCGAATGTTCCATTCGCCATCGATTCGAATGGTTCAATATCAATTACAAAACATTTAGATAACAATCAATACGAATTCGATGTCATTGCTATTGATTGTTTTCCTGCGAGTGATAATACCAGAAAAGTCAGTCAACCAGCTCGAGTGACTTTCAAAATCATCAAAACATGCCAACCGAATATCAATGGTACGAAGCAAAATCGAGTAGGAAAAAAACGAACATCTTTGCATTTCTCTCTTTCTAGACAATGCACCATCGGAACTGATTGTTCAATCTGATCATATTCATCTCTTCGACAGTGTCAACGTAAACACATGTCCCGACTCATGCAATGTCGAAGATATTGTTGGTACCGTTGAATTGTACAGTAATGGATTAGATAGCGGTTGCAACCTTCAACAATGCTGTATGTATTTTCAAAAGAATTGAAGTTGTGACAAGCATGAAATATTCTTTTTTAGCATCGATCGATCGTGAATATATCTTATTAGAAAAAGATAGTCAGGCGACTGGAATCCCTCCGTCAAAAATAATGACCTTTAATGGTTATAATCAAGCATTAATTGTTAATCATTCACAATTTTCAGGCCATTTAAATAACGAATTTACAATTCAGATGTGGATGAAACATAATCATGATGGTAATAATAATAACAACAACAACAGCAACAATGAAAAGGAGCATATTTTCTGTAAAAGTGATGAAAAATGTGAGTTGAATTGACTTATGGCAATCCAATGATAATTGGAATTGAATTTATGCGTTATTTTAGTAAAAAATCGTCATCATGCAGCATTATTTATTCAAAATAACTATTTGAAATTATTGATTCGTAAAGAGCCATTATCAGGAAAAACATCCACCAAGTATCCATCGGAATGGATATGGAAAGTCCCCGAAATCAACGATAATCAATGGCATTCGTATAAATTATTTGTGCATTATCCAGAGAAGGTAATCAAATCCGTTTCTTTTCTTATCAGAAGGAATTTTATTTGGTATTTTTCTAATTCAAGGTCGATCTATACATTGACGATCGTCTAGTTGTCCCCACGAAAGATTCATTTCGCATTGTGGAGGATATTCCATTAAGTGAGATACCTGGCACACAAGACACAATCTTTGCATTGGGCGCCTGTTGGCATGGTAAGAATAAAAGTGAAGATTTCGATTGAAGTCTGAGTTGATCGCTCTCGCCACGATGTTTTGAGTAGCTTGTGCTAATGAAATATTATAAGGTCAAGTTCAATTGTTATTTGCAGATTTGCATGTATCATTAAGATTCAGACAAATAGAACAAAACCTTGCCCTTTTTCATAGGTTAGGCGCATACTGTGCCAAAATAGAAGTCGCCTTATCGAAATGATTTTAAGTATTATTGAGAATATATGTAAATGTTCGTGAATATATATTAAAAAATCATCTAGGTGAGAGTCGATTATAGCAATAAAAATGTTTATTTAATTATGCGGATATAAATCCTTACCTGTGGACTACAAGCCTAATGTTTGATTTCTTTTTCTTTTCTAGCACGAGCATCCCGATTGGTTCAACATTTCCATGGCCAACTATCGGGATTGACAATTGTACAAAAAGAAGAATTACAACGTTCTTCAAACTGTGTTCGAGATTGCCATCAATATCTCAACATTCCTGATGTTCAAAAAGAAGATGGTGTTGTAAGTCAAACTCATTGATTGTACATCTATATACATACATACATAACTTACTTAATTCCTTAGGAATTCATGAGCAATGTTAATCGTTCAATGTGGATATTGCGTACAGACAATACGGCATCGTATGAAAAATTATTGAAACATCTTGTCTATCGTAACACATTTCAACCACTTGGTCCTCATGGAAAACGAACAGTCACAGTGAACACACGAGTAAAATGTGCAGGTGAAGTTCATACATATGATCTTCCAACATTTACTCGACAAGTCTCAATTATCGAACCGAAAATACCGACTAAAATCGAAATCCGATCTGATACGAGTTATAACGTACCAGAAGAAGTGATAGATCGAGGCATTTATCTTTATCGAAATTTGTCAATTTATACCAATGCAATTAAACGAAATCAAGGTACGACGAATAAATGAAGAAAGCTTTTTGCATATCTATTTTTTTGTGCACCGTAGGCGACATTAGCGATTGCAGTCTACGAGCTACACCAACTTTATCAAACAGCGAACAATTAATTATACCAAATGATGAAAATCTTGACCATACAATTACAAAAGAAGGTGCCGTTATTACCGGTATGTATCTGATATAGTGGTAGAATGATTTCATTGAATTTCTTTTCAATTAGGTGTCGGATCTATTGATGCTTATCAATATTTACTTCGACAAATTGCTTACATTTCAAAAATGCCAGTTACATACGTTGATCGCTCATTTACCCTCGTATGCAATGGTGTTTATGATCGTGTCATAACAAATGAAATTCGTGTTCGAGTACGAATCTTCTCCCTATCTTTTTCTCTGTTGAAATTGCATAACTATTTTCTATTCAAATAGATTCATATTGAAAAACAAATGGCTCCACCAGCTCCAGTGGCTGCTGCCCGTTCAAATAAATTTGTGGTCAATAATGATGATATCGATGAAAATTTCATAGATGTCGATGACGATATCTATCCAACTAAACGAAGTGTATCAGGTAAAATGATACAGTAGATATAGAACGAGAGAGAAATTTGATTGATGAAAAGCTACAATCGAAAGATAGGTTATATCTTTTACATGTCTCACTCTCATAATATAGTTAACTAAGTAGGCGAAAAAACAACACATACACACACACAGATCATTGATAAAAAAACTCTTTTACATCAGTAGATATCTGTCTTCATCATTGCTTGATGATGTTGTTATTAGCTGGAAGCTGAAAAGGCTGACAAAATGGGAGAGAAAGAGTGATGATTGTATCGTCTAGTGCATAGCTCGTGGTATTCCATCAATTTCTAGTTATTAGAGGCTTAGCGATGATTTCTACTGTGTTTATATTTAGATTTCGGCATGTACGGTTGATGTCGAAGGACGCCTAACTTCAAGCAAAAGGAGAAAAAGCGATAGAAATCCTCTGTTGTTTGCTGGATAATAATGTTAATAGAATTTTTTTCGTTATTGTTGTTGTTGTCGTCATACATCGCTGTCACTGTTCAATTCAAATCGATGATTTTCTATTTACAAAGAGATGCAAGAATGATTGAATGCAAACAGATCTGACTGCTCACAGTATACTAGCAATAATCGAAACGGGCAAATCTAGGCTAGACATTGAATCAAGAGGGAGATTATTAGATGAATCATCGAGATTGTTCTTCTTTTCATTATCGTACAGAAGAAGAAGAAAAAACTAGCAACAGAAGGAAAAAAGTTTTTTCCCTGCTGTGTTTTTTTTCCTGTTCGTTTCTGCTTCTAATCATCGATCGAGTTAATGCGTCGAAGAAGGAAAAAAGGAGAAAAATGAGTGTAACTCTATTGTAAAATTATCTGCTGTCTGACTGGGCGTATATGCGTGTTCGCGCTCTCGCACATCTCATCGCTGCCCGGCATTTTTTCCTTTTCTTTTTCTTCTCGCTGTCGTCAAGACTCTCTCTCTCTCTCCACTTCTTCTGTGTCCTACAACGTCAAACAGGCTTTCAACCGCTGTCATTATCATTATCGAACGACAACGACTTATAAGCTGATAGCTAGTACAACAACTTTCGTCCAAACGACTCCTTTCTTTCTTTTTTTTTATCTTCGTTTATTGATATCAAAGTTTTATTACAATGTTTCTCCCACCAACACTAAGTAAGTTCATATGAGCTCTTTTTTTCTCACTCCTCAAGAAATCAATCGGTCAATAGCATCGTTGACCTTGAGTAAAAGTAAAAAGGACAGATGTTTCATACATCCCAGTAAACTATCCTTGACGGTCAATTTGTTGTATATTTGCTGTGATACATATCAAGACGAATATCGTCGAACTATTTTCCAGTTGTACATATACAATCAATTAGCATTCTTGTCGTTACTGTCGTCAGCAAGAAACTACGAAGAACATCACCAGGTGATGAACTTTTACTTCCTAGCGAGTTTACGATCTAATCTTCTTCTTCTACTCCATCGTATTATTCTCATTATTTACTATATGATTGCTCAATTTACATATAATCTTTATAATAAACAGCAACAGAAGTTACGCTAACTGAATAGTAAGAACAACAAGTGATAAGAAAAAAAGTATGCCAAACGATTACACAAGCAATCAAAAGAGAAAGTTATCATGAGAAGACAGATGAGCTTGAATTAATAGGAAAAGTTCATGATAAGATAAATAACATGATTAATTAATGAATTTCATTCAACTTTTAGACTGGCCGATTGCTGTTGTTGTTTGTGTATCAGTTGGTCTCGTTGGTGTACTTGTTCTTTATCTGGTTGTTCGCATGCGTTCAAACAATCGACAATATCATTCATCAACAAACAACGCTGATGATATGCATTCACAAATGGAGTGGGAAGATGATATTGGACTTAATATCACTGTTAATCCATTAGATGAAACAAAAGTTGGTTGATTTGCGATCTAATCTGATTGCTTGTAAGCCTTGTTGTCTTCATTTAGAAATCTACTCAACCAGTAAATATTCACAATGTTGAACAAACAAGAGATAATTATTCAGGTTCAAGTTCGGATGACGATGACGATGATTACGAAAATAATGCCCGTCGAAATGAATATTCATCGGAAGAAGAAAATGATTATCAAACTCGTGCAAAAGATCCAAGAAAAATCGAACATCAATTAGAATGGGACGATGCAGCTATTGAATATGGACCCAAGAAAGTTTGAACGAGAAAATAGCGAAACAAATATCCAGAAGTTAATTTTAATAATTAACATAATAAAAAAAACAATAAATATTAAAAAAATAAATGTTGTCTGCGTATTTTTGGTTCTTGTTTTATTCTTGTCATCGTTATCATTGTTGTGTATTCTGTTCTTCTGAACGGAATTGGTCTGTAGCTGTCAAAACGAATGTAATTCGCCAACGGAACTAAAAAAAAACGAAAGATTTTTGTAATTCTATTACTAACCACCGGTTGTTTTTCTTTTTCTCTCTCTCTGTGTCGTTTGTCATTGTCCGCTCTTTTTTGTCTCATTTTATTGAGCAGTATTTTTCCTAAATGTACAGAGTTTATATTAGATGTTGTTGTTCTTTCTTCTTCTTCTTCTTCTTTTACTTTTACTCTTTTCTTCTTTCTTGCGTCTTCATTCATGACACTATTTTTTTTTCGTTCGTATCATTATTCATGGTAATGGAAAAGTAGAACTATGGATTGAGTTGTTTGAGCAATAAAATAATAGAAAAAAAAGGCCCAATGTTTTCATTTTCAGTACAGAAATCCTTCAAGAAATCTCTGGTACGTATATATGCATGTTTTTTTTCTTCTAAGGATATTGACAGATATCAGACAAATACGCAAGCTATCTATTTCACGATCGGTTTGATAAGAGAAAAGTATCATTGCTGTTGTCTTTACGAGTCTATGTGAGAACAGAGCGGCGAGATGCGTATGACCTCGACGGTAAGATACATTTTTTGTTGATCGGTTTACTACGTCCTATCAGATTTCATACAACTTTATTATTGATTCGTTTGAAGGTGTAATATTTACTTAAGGATTAAATGATGACTGTGTAGAAACAACCTGTTATAATAATGTTATCTGTATGGCAAATATCCTCGTATGAAACTTGGTATAAGACAAAGACAATCTCGATTTAGAGATGAAGTTTGAGATTCAAATAATGTCATTGGAATGCATGTCTATGTGTCGAAAAGATACTTTTTTGATTGATGTATGAAGGTGTCTATCAAGAGAACTTTCATGTTCTATTGTTTGTTGACATCTCATGATTGTAACATTGAAGCAAAACGGAACCTGATTAACATTTGATTCGCATTACTTCGATTGCTGAAAGCGCAAATAAATAGCATAAACATTGATCATTTCCGTTTCACATAAAAACTTGAATATACGTATCGTTTTGAGAACGTTGATCTTTTCGATTGATGTTCAATGGCACGTATATGTCTTCTATCTGATGGAGACACTTTTCGAGTGCATACCATTATTCTCTAATGCGAACTTCAATGACAGTTGTTGCGTGGTAGACAAAAAAAAACACCGGGAATAACTGAAACCTTTTCAATAACAAGAAAGTGAATTATCAATCATAAACAAGTCCACTGAGTGATGATGATGAGAATCTAATGCCATCATACTAGAGACTAGAGAGAAATATTCACTTTGATTTATTGTTCACAGGTTTGATATCGTCGATCTCGATCATATAGGAACTTGATTGTTTTCAATAGAAAAAATAACGTGCCTCTACTGAATACTTATAGGTTCCATAAGGATTAGTTGAGACGCAAATCTAGACTACTGATTAATCTGTATATAGAACTTCTTATCCGTAGTAGAAGAATCGGATATGATAGGCATTAGCATATGCCTTTATTTCTCATACCACTTGATCTTGAAAATAAGATTTTCGTCAAGGTGAAGTGGTGTGTTTATGTTAATTTATTCTTTTACGTCGATCGTATATACACACAAATGTATACTAAATAATTCTAATTATGCTTCTATCTATCGGAAAGAGAGGAGATTGAAAAAGAAAACGACTTTGAAAAGTGCCTTATCAAAGAGACTGTATATATAGAGTCAAATATTTGCCTATAAGAAAACGAAACGAAATACTAAATAAAAAAGATGTGTCGTTTGCTATATTTAATCGCTCTCTTCTGTGTATTGGTATCCATTGGACGTGGTGCTTCATTATCCGGATGTGGACCTACGTGCATGATATATTGTCAGTTCGGGTATGAAACGGATGCAGCCGGTTGTAGATTATGCAAGTGCAAAAAAGAGCCAGAAATCGGAACAAACTCTTGCAGTGACGGACAAGCACCACTCAGTGGCTATGTTTGTAGTGCAACTACTAAAAATAGTACATGTCCACCAACATACTACTGTTCTATGACGTCGAATGATGATAGTGGCGTGTGTTGTCCTCGTCGCTGAAAGTCGAAGGAGTCCACAAGAAGCTGAAGTTCTTCCGGTACGCTTTTACATCATTCAACTACTATATTTTGGTTTGATTCTTTGATTCTATTCACTTCTTCAACTTCTTCAATTCATATTATCTCTATTGCTTCCTTCGTTTCTTTACCTCTTGCTACTCTTTTAATTGATTGTATCATCTTGTTTATTCTGTCTTGTGCTTATTGGAAAAGAAGCCTAAAGAAACCAGGAAACAAAGATTCATTCGTCTATATCATGTGCAGGGAGTGGCTGCTCACATCCTCTTACTTCTTTATCAGCTTTTGTGGTTTAGTTGAGTTTTCAGAAGTTATTTGATAAATCATTACATGAAATAGTAAAAAACATTTTCGTTAGGAAGAAGTATACAAATGTCTCGGCATATAAGTTTAATTACAATCATTGAGTACTGAAGAGATAAAGAAGTATGATTAGTTGAAAAAAATATCAAATGATAGGAAGGTTAAAATAGAGTTTGCGGATCTGTAATAGTAAGTCGAATCAATTGACAAGCAAAGAATCAAGTTGGAAAGCAAAATGAACAATCGATCTGTTGTTTTAGCTGACGAAGCACAAACAGTCGAACTTCAATGTATGATAAATTTGTCTTTATCATAATTTATCTCATCAGTGTTTAATGAGAAGATTTTCTTCACAAATCAAACGATCTCAGAAGAATCGATTATCTCTACATACGTTTTTCTATGCATACTGTTGACCATCTTAAACTTGGAGCATTGAGTCAAACAAATGGATTTGTTTTAAAATCATCAAGAGAATTTCGTGAAGGGATGCCGATTCGTTGAACTTAGGTTACACATTCAGTTTCAGTTGTCTATTCAGTATGAAGAAATATTCAAACTAAAATTGACGTTTCTCGAGTAAATACTTTTAATGAAATTTGTTTTTTAAGAAATCCCTGGATTACGTGATGGCCAATCGAAAACTCATCAATGAGTAATAGGAGTTGATCTCTAGTGGAACAACAATATCAAATTCAAATATTGATCAACTCCTTTTCCCCGAAGTCTATCAATCAGCATATCTTATCATAATTTACTTTACGACATTCATGATTCTTGACCTGATGTTCAGTTTTAATTTCAAGACAATCTTGATCAATACTTCACAGTTATTCGCACAACATTTTTTTATCTCAAGATATATTTTTCTTTACATCAGTCTTCAATGGAATTTCACGATTGTAATTTATTTACTCTCAGCGTTTTTTCCTATTGAAGTCCTTATCCACTAGTATTAACTGAAGTTGTGACAAGCGACTCTATGCGAATAGACGTGTAATACTACCAAACATTTCTAATTTATCGATCCACACTTTCACCACTTATTTCGTGGAACTTTTACACACAGATATCAGTTGCATTAGGACGCTTTTTGAAGAAAGAAAATAGAAAGTACAATAATATATGTGAAACCTTTGTAACTCTATCCCAAATAAACTCATGTATTATTGATGATTTCAATTTCGAAAGTGCCTTTTGACTCATCTATGAATTAGCTCGATTATATAACATGGATCACAATACTCTCACCTGATTGTTATGTTATTATGAATGTCTGTGTATGTAGCAACACAAAGAAAACATATTGAAATAGAAAGTGTTTTACATCATTTTGCGTCGTCGAAGGCAGGTATGAAAACAGAATGCGCATACACATATGCAGATAAACGATTGTATGCAGTAATTCCATCATTGAGAATTGAATATGCACAGTTCAACTGTTTCCATTCTCGATCTCTGCAGTGAAATATTGCTTAAGATCTTCAAATATCTTCCAGATGTGTAGGCATTGTATTCGTTGATAGAAGTCAATACAAAACTTGACAGATTAACTCGAGATATTACTTTTACACAGTCGATCGATTTATCAACAAAATTATTAAATCGTTCAGATAAAGCAATGCTTTACAGATTCTCTCATTTAATTTTACCTAGGATTGCCCACAATATTCAATATTTTATTCTTGATTTATCGTCAATTGATCCTGTTCTTAATGTTGTAAACTACCCTGAACTTCATCAACTGAATCCTGTTAATCTTCCTATTGGAACGGCAAGTCGTATGTTGAATGGTATACCGTCAGTTGCCTTATCAGTATCTGTGAAAAAAACTCCTTTATTTCAGATGAATCTTCATTGATATATCACTTCTGCCATCAAATCTTCCACCTTGTTGTTACGATTAACTTGAACGATACATCTCAAGACGTATTAGAAATGTTTCAAAATGCTTTTAAAATCATTCTTCCATTGTTCAGTAATTTAAGATATTTAGAATATACCTGGTATGGTCATTTTTCATATGCAACAAAAGTATTTTTAACATCTGAAACATACCATTCAACGAATGTTAGTTGTTTAAACATTAGACTTAATCATTTGAATGATTGTGTTTGTTTAATTAAACTGAAATCTTTACTATTTTCGTACATTGATTGTTGAAATTAATTCAATTCTCAAAACATTGATGACCGTTATCAATACGGTATGACTGAGACTGAATTAATCCTTAGAATGTATGTTGATGTGATTATTGTATTCTTTAGAAAATTGTGTCCCAGTTAAAATGCTTCTCATTGATTTCATCTGGTGATACGAGCGAATATGATAGCAAAGTCGTTCCATTGTTTCGCCATATGTCACAATAGAAAAGCTCATATTGTATTTGATTATTGTGTACTGAGCAAGAGTCAGTTTCATATTTACTCCCTCCCATTTAGTTTTAAATGTATGTATTTATTTACTGGTAAATTTTCTAATGGTTTATTTGAGAATATTCGGCGATTAGTCGCACGTTCAATTTTACAGCCATTTCGAACATAAATTCTTTGCTCGAGTGTCAAAAGCATCGCCATTGTTGAGAAAAAATTGACAATATCTAGTAGAGCTGTTCGAAAAAGGAAAATATTGTACCGAAAAGATGAACAACAAGGACCGTCATCAATTATTGAATTTCCCCAGCTCATGTAGTTTAATGAGGGTGTGGGTGTGCCCCCACACATTCACAATTTCCATCTGTCGACAAAGCAAATGTTCTGTTTCATGGAAAATAGCAACTTTTCTGTTCGGTCTTACGTATTATTACTTGTTTATTTAGTAAGTATTTTCATGTCGTTCATGTTTGTTGTAATCCGTTTATTTGCAATTTCTGTAACTTTTTTTTTTAAGTGCTTCTATATAGATGAGGATGGTAAGGAATTGTATTGACTAGGAGACGCACAGAAGAAATACATTCTTACGTTCTAAGAGTATGTCATAGCAGAATTTTTCCTTTTATGTAGAGATGAATGTCTCGTATTCTATGTTGATAAAGAGAATTATTTAGGTTGATCTTCATTGGACTAATCAGTTCTCGCTCGGTACAGATCTGTGCGTCCCACAAAGTTCATTAACGAATAGAGATGATTATAATTTTTATGGCAGATTTATTTCTAAGCGATAAAATATGATACTTTTGGAGCAAATGGTTCATATCTATACACAGGCTCTTGGTTCAGTTTTTCCTTCGAAAATATGGTTCGTTTTTCATATAAAGACATTTGTGCACATATTCAAAGGTCTTCTCGTACGGAAGAAACCTTCTGAGTAAAATTCATTTGCCGACTGCCAGACAACGGTGAGTTTGATATTGTACTATCAAGCAGACATCCATGCGATTTGTTTTATATCTAAACCAGATCGTTGAAAGGTGTCGACAAGGAATAGTCAGTTAAAGAAGGCAAGAATGATGTAGACTTGGGTTATTATTACAAATTGTCCGCTATGAAAATTGAAAAGTTCTGTTTGAAGAAGATACGAGTTTTCTCTTGATAAACCAATTATGACATTTATTCCAATGTTCAGTATTATACTTGACAAAAATAATAGCAGCTTTAAGCTCTATTTAGTTACTGTTCATTTCGATATTAATCGTAGTTTGAATAGAACAAAAAGAAATTACGAAGTCAATTACATAGAAATTTAGTAGCTGATACGAGAAATAATATCCTATGTTTCTACTGATTGTGATATTTTGGAATTATGTGTATATTTTCTCATTCATTGAGTTTGTAGAAAAAAGGTAATTATAAAATTCTAAGCAATGTTCCAAGTATTTACTTTGCTTTTCACTTAGGTACTCCTAACATATAAGTATAACAAGATTGAGTATGTTTCCTTGTTAGTTATTGCATTCATCAACAAAGCGTGACACTTCCATTCTTCATTTTATTAATTCGAGATGCCTTCAAAAGCCAGAAATTAGAATACAACTGAGAAACCAGGAAGCTTGGCAGCCGTGCTCATCGTTAATAGCTGATTCGGTAGATGAAACAGTGTCAAAGGTCTTACTTTTTTCCTATTCGATGAATAAGTTGTTTCAAGAGGAGAAATGAATTTGTAGATTGTAGAACGTGTCGTTTCCTGTCTCTAGTGAGATTTGGTTTTTGTCGTTAATTACTCCGAAGTATTTTATTAGACACCATATTATTAACCACATAGTCGAACAACCGTTATTTTCATTTCTCTTACTCACGGTACGAACGAACGAAGAACAGGTCACTTTACCATGACAGAAACATCTTGTATTGAACTTTATCAAGAGAAATTTATCAAAGATGTAAATTGCTGATCAATATATGTAAATGATGAACGAGCAAATAGTCACGAAGGAAGAAGTCAGATAGATTTGAATATTAACAAACTGAACGTCAACTTGTATTTGTAATCAAAGATGTGCAACAGAGCGTAGATATACACTTTTCTCAGTTGACAGGATACAAAACTCAATGAAAAGTGTTGTAGAGCACTTTGTATTATTAGTAAGCAGTCATTTGATCGCAGTTGAAATATTTGTGAGTAACTAAGGAAGAAAAGTCTATAACAGGAAATGCAACAGAAAATTTGGTTGATCATTACATATGCACAAAAAGCGATGTGATCTATACGCTCGTTGAACATTGTATTGTCAGGAAAATTGTCATAAAATGCAATCGATCTCTTCTTTATTTCTGGCTTAATTTTGACAGAAACATGGAATAAAGTATAATGATATTATTGCATTTCTTCACGCTCATGTTTTTTGTCATTTTGTCAAAAACAGATCATAACATGAACTATAAAATCAAATCTATCTTAAGAATTGTCTTGAACTCAGAATTTATGCCATGAAATGAAATCTTTCTGGATAGAAGTATTTTGAATACAAGCTCGAATTGCATCAAATTATATTCTAACATGGCCAAAAGATCCACAATCGAGTCGAAGAAAGTGTTGTTAATTAATCCTTAACATACTTTTTTTGGTTCATGATCCTACTTTCAAATACGATCAATAATCCAATCACATTCATGCCACAATGTCATTATTCTTCTCAAAATTCACTAATTTAATCGCGAATCAAGGTTCGAATAATAATGAAACTATTCACAGCCCGAAATCTGCCCTAGGATACTATTGCAAGCTCTGTTTAAGAAACACATACTCTGCTCACTAAATCGAATAAGTCTCGATTTCCAAATAGCGTGAAAACACAGGAAAATAATGCCATGTTGTATCGAGAGTCTTATCTCGAATGAATACCTCAAGAGAACTAAATACTCGGAAGACATATTTGTCCGAGCTTTTTTGTATAAGAGTGGATCTTGTAGAAGATTTTCATTATTACAAAAGGATAGACATTATATAAGGTCATGTTCTCTCTTGACTAGTTGGCAATGTTGATCGATTATAATACAGTCAACTAATGATCTGAGATTCTATATGATGAATGTGCTTTTTTACATTTGTTCTGACTTCTCTTCTCATTGAAGTTTTTTCTTTCTTTAACCAGATATTAAATCAGAGAAAGAAAATATTTCGAACTTTGAAGAGTATTTTTAGTATGACATAAACTTCATAATATTAATCATATGCATTTCCTACATGTCAAACAACACCGTTACTTTAAATAGAAATCGACGCCGAACAAATTCATTGATATATTAGCAAACGACCCTTTTAGTTAATGTTAGCAGATTAAAAACAAAATACTTTAGTAGTTTTTCTTGTCTGACTAAGTTAATATTTTTGCTGGAGGAATGCTCCTGGTAAATATATTTTGTATTAGCTCGGGTGATCTTAGTCGTTACTGTCTTCATTCTAATCTATCGAATAGTTAATGGGATGCACACTATCTATAGAAAGCATCATAATAGAATTTTTGCTTTTTCTATTTCTCAGTCCCTTTCGTTAGACTTTTTTCTAAAGCTTCTTTGTGTGAATACGCGTCACATATATCAATTGTCGCATAGTTATTATTATGTTCATAAATAAATCCATGTGCAGCAGTCGATGATCTTGTTTTTTTCTCTCTTTTTTTCTCATAATAGATGCAATGTATATATATAAAGAGAGGCAGAGAGATATTTCTATCTAGATTTTCGAATAATAATGAATCAAGGTGCAATTCCCTCGAGACAAGCGATCTAGGTAGAGTCCGATGCATGTTATGACTTAGTTCGTTTTAAAATCGCAAACGAAGAAAGAGAAGAAAGAGAAAAAAAAGAAGGCAAAGATCTCAAGTATATATATGTATGCAATTTGTCAGTTTGATACAAGTATAGTAAAATATAACGGAAATCCGTAATTGTTACGATTGTAATAGAACAGCAAGTAAATTGAAGAAGAACACAAGTTACGATTCTGCTTCTTGCTTCTTTTTCATTATTAGTAGTCACCGTATCTTTCTTCCTTGACGCTATCTGTTTCTTTATTAACGCTAAACGCGTATCTGTGTGAATAGTGACAAGCAACAACTCAACGAAACAGAATTATCCGCGTAAAATCAAGATCAAGAGAAAAAGGAAGAAGCAAGAAGAAGAAGAAGAAAGAGGAAAACTAGAGAAAAGTAAGTTTTTGATGATGATGAGGATGATGATGTCTTAGCCGATTCAATTCTTCAAAACACGCACACACATATGTATTTGTTTTTCACTAGTTTGACAATGATGCGAAAACATCAGCTGAGTCACAACACCAAATTGGATTCTTCGTGAAAACCGAACGTCAGTTTCTACCTTTGAGACAGCTCGATAGAATGATATTGTGCAGATGTGTCTTTGATGTACTGAATCAGTTGAAAAACACGTCTGGTCTGCTAGGTGAAATACTCTCTTTCAATTAAATACGAATCTGATTATGATTGGCGCTCGTCGTCGGCACGATCCAGCTAGTTCCAGTTTTTCTTCAACATGTACAACAGCTAGTAGTAATGCACGTTGGAGTGATGTATCAGCGACAATATCTCACAATCCGGCTTTACTATCACCGCACCGGTCTGTGCAGAAATCTAATCGACGTTTCATATTTCCTATTGTACCTGCGTCCTGCTTGCCTGATTCTCCCACTTCACCGCGTGCTGCTGTTCGCGATCTTTGTTTGCCACGTCAAGAGCCTCGTCCTCCATCGGATATACTTAATCGATCACATCTTGGCTCCTGTTCACCATCTCTCGCCAAATTTAGTCGAACGATCACAAGTCAACATGTTTCCACATCAACAAGTACAACGACATTACCCTCATCAACCATTCAACCAGGTACTTTCCTTCATCCAACAATGACTTATCTCACAGTAAATGGCCTTCGAACAAATCATCATCACCATAATTGTCGGCATACACGGTAAAAAAAAAGAATTTCTTTCTTTTTTTCGTTTCTATGTATATAAATATCCTAAAATTTTCTACGCTAGTAAGTCTTGTACACAGCAGCTAATATTTAGATGAAGCAAAGTTGATAACAGTCACGTCTGATTCTTTGCCTAGTCAAGTCATCCTTCTTTTTTCGGTGTTTTCATTTCAAGTCTTTGTAGAATTTGTCGCGAATGAATAGTTTATTATTTTGAATTAATGATAATTATGAAGATGATAATTACCATCCGTTTGATCTTATTCCTGGCTTCTATTCGCAAGTCTAAATTAAGCATGGAAATGCATCTCGGACAAATTCATAATCTCACGGAAATTTTTTCGGAAGTTAACAGCAGACAGAACAGCGATAGGACAGATAATCATTGCATCTTTTCTCCTCTCAGATTTCAACGAAGAAAATGTTTTCTTGCACATTTGTTTTTTTTTCAATTGAATCTTAATGTACGTTCGAATTAATCTGAGCATATCAATCATTGTTATCACCTCGAATATATCAATTAGAAGACAACCTCGATATTCCAAGCACACTTAGTGTGACATTTTTGCTAGCACGTATAGTATTTACTAATTCCACATCAATCTAATTCCATAGGAAGCTTTTCGCCTGCTGAAAGATATCTGGTATCCAAAAGTGCATTTTTTTTGTTGAACTAATGATAGCCTGCGTCAGGAATCAATTGACTGGCAGCAAAGCAAGCATTTGACATGGACCTACTTCGACTTACTCGATCGAATACATGAGAGAAGCGGTACAGTATTTTAATGAATTTTTCAGAACGAGTCGGTCAGCGATGGAGATTTTGTTTTTCTTCTTCATATTGTCAAGAGATGTTTTTGTTATTAATTAAATTTTCAACAAGATCTATCATTTGATTCTTAACTAAATGCTCGAGTAGTCGCTTGTTCTTTAATGTTTTGTAATTATTTTGTTCCTTGCTAACATTCGCTTCCTCTGGTCGTATCTAAGTGCGATGCTCTCTTTGTTTCTTTAATAATTACACTTCGTCTTTTTCATATTTGCCATGTTCTACCAGCAATATGTGTTGTTTAATGAAAGTAGAGGAAGAAAGTGAACGATGTTCTGATGATGAATATGTCAGCATGATGGAAATATTCTCCTTCTCTCTCTGTACTTTACTGACGATGTGAATTCGAAAGAAATCCTTTATGAATATAATGCTATTCCGACGTCAATTTTATCTAATTGACTGAATATGCTGTTTTGGAATTGATATAATGTTAAAAAAACAAAAGATAAATGCTTTTGAAGTTAACACACCATCTCTCCTGAGTAAACAGGCAATTTTCTGATAGAATAAGCTTAGCATGCTAAGGACGTCTTTTAATTGAAATGATATCAATAATAGGAGAAAAGAATTTTTCTTCCTTCGTATTCATCATCGATTTGTTAAACAAGAACATTGCTCAATCGATCGTATTTTGTACGCATGCTATCAGACATGAATAGAATACATCTTGTCTATTGTTTACTGTCTGAACAGATGATAAACTCAATGGGAAATCTCCACCCGAGAAGGAAATTGAGCGCTACAAATTTATTCAATTTTGTCTGCTGAATATCTTCTATTATCATGAGAAGATTCAATGTGATGATGCGGTCATTGTGTGTTCGAACCGTATGTAGGAAATCTATGAAGGGCAAACTGTTCGGTATTTGCTAATTTTTTATCTCATTATTTGCTCGTTTAGACTGTTTTTCTTTTCCTTTGTTAATTCAGACCTATGAATATTTTTTTGTGTGACTGAACGCATGACATTCGATGAGGCTCTACTGCATAATCCTTAAGAAAAGAATAGGTGCTTAGTCAAGAATAGACACACAAAGAGAGAGAGAGAAAGAGAAAAAGAAGAAGAAGAAGAAGCAGAAGAAAGATAGAATAAAGACGAGAAAGATTGGCGATGCTGGAACTGAGAGAAAGAGTAGTTATGTCAACAACACAACTATAAGTAGAGTTCTAGAGTTGTATATGAACGAGCCAACGATCTCAAGTAGAGATGTTCTTCATTATATCGTGTGAGACTTGTGCTCTCCTATCGAAGTACAGATAAGAGAAAAAGAAAGAAAACGAGACAACTACTGAAAAAGAAGAGAAGAAGACGAAGAGCTACATTATCATTGCTACCTTCGACTAGTGTGATCTTTCAACGGACGAACAACAACGGGAATCTCATATGTATGTCTACATGATGAACATTTAACCTATTCCAAGCAAATGAAAGACATCTGAATGGCTGCTGCAGCTAGTCGACGACGTCTTGCACAGGCAGGATTCCGAACCCGAAGGTAGATGATTTTCATTTTAGGTCACATAATTAGCATAGATTTTTCTCCGCATTCCAATCATCGTGCTTTTATCAACGTATTAGAAGAAAAAGAAGAAAGAAACACACATCTTTCTTTTAGTGTTTGCCTTATGATTCGAAGTGAACATAATACAATTTATCTGTCATGTAAAAATAAAGATAGACGGATGCACAGAAAATCTAATATATCTAATAGGTGTAATCACGAGAAAGAAAGGCATAGTTTCATATTATTAAATTAGATTTCACTGAAGTATAAACTTCGTATTTCACATAACTATGGAATTCTTCTTCAACAAACTGTAATACTCATTTTTCTTGTCCATAAGCATTTCAGTAGCTATTTTTATCATCGAGATAAAGACAAATCTCTTCTTTGCTAACTATTAATGTTCTTTTGAAAATCTTATTATGAAATTATGTTTATTGAATGTGCTTAAGGAGAACAAACTGCCAGAAATATGTTGAAGAAGATTTTGTAGCCAAAATTATACTTTGCTTTACCTAAAAGCTCGGAAACTACGATTGAAGTGATAGCCAGAAAATCTATTTTGTTTCCTTTCTCGTGTTCTATACTGGCACGTATTTATACTTCTGTCTACATCTCTGTTTTCTCTCTCCCCCCCCCCCCTCTCTCTCTTTGTTTTCCTTTCTACACATCTACTAATAACGTGTGAGTATAAAAAGGGAATTAGTTAATAGAGAAAAAAAAAGGCGCAAGGCAAACATTAATACTGCCTTCAGTTTGTTGTAGATAAAATAAAGAGCACGATATTAAAAAGGATTTATTCATTATTTTCCTTTGTATTGTTGTAGAAATAGAAAACGTTGAATAAATATGTAAGAAAATAACATGAACTAATTTGTTGAATCTTCTTGGCTTTTTTTTCCTTTGCAAGAACAATTGTCTATGAGATTTATTAGAATATTGACAACAGGCACACGTATAGAAGATAATGATCACATTTGTGCAACTACGCATATGGGAGAAGAATGAGAATCAAGAGTAGGTCAATGACGAAAGCAAATTGAGAAAAAGAAACAGATACTCACTGACAGAACTAGGATATATTGATGTACGAGCGAGCGAGATATTAGCAGACAAATCTGATTAACCAATATCCGTCCGAAAACAACCGATGCAAACGATTTATGTTCGATTATAATCGTATTATGACACTTACATTCACTCGATATCCTTCGAATCTCTATTCGTTCTATTTTTTTTTCTACTTTACGAATCTATGCACACCTTATTCGTCTGACATGGATACGTATTACTGAACAACGAGCTCTCGTACTGAGATAATTGACTCTTAGAATGATATTCGTCGACAGGTGTGATGAAATTTTCAATAACTCATCTTTCACTTGTTTGCTTTCTTCTCATGGCATGTCATTGTCAACAATATACATATATGCCACAGTATCATAGGAAACAAAGAACACCAGTAATAGGACCGTCCCTCGCCCATATAAATTAATAACATCCGTTTGCTCGGCGAACGCCGCCAGCAAGTTGTTCTTTCTCATTTTTCTCGCTGAATGTCTGTTTTCGCGCTTTGCTAACGAAACGGACTCTGCTTTTGTTCTCTCTTTTACTCTCGCATCCTAGTCTTTACAAGCAATCTAGACGACGATTCTATTTTATATTCACAAGACACAAAAAATGCAGCTGGTCTTGAAAAAGGCAACAGTATGTGTGTGATGTATATATGTTTGAAGCTGTACGTGTTTGATTATATATATATATACTTTCTTTCTTTCAACGTTTTTCGTGCTTCAATTCGTCTCTAGACAAAAGAAATAAAACGTAGAAGCAATCATCATGTCATTAGACGCTAAGATCGATCAAGAAATCCTTTCATCGACACCACCAACTAGACGTAACTTTCTTATTGTACCATCGTTTAATCCCGAACGCCGTCATTCATGGGGAAATGTTATCTTACATCCATGTCACAGAAGTAACGTTGCGACATCGTCTTTAACTATTACTAACAAGTCAAATTATCTTCGAAGGTGAGAAGTTTTTTCATTAATGATGTGCAGCAGCAGGTGTGTCGTCATGTGCTTGACGTTTAGCAAGAAAACTAAGGGTAAAAGAAAATACGGCAAAAAATAGAGAAAGAAAGAAAACAGAAAATGCCTATGAGAGAGAAAAGAGTAAGACAAAAATGATAAATATTAGCGTCGAAGAGAAAATAGACTGACTACCTTCTGCATGTGTGCTCTCATTCGTGTCTCATTGCAATTTTCATTCCATCACTGACTCTCGACATTCATAGACGACATATAAATACTAAAATTTGTAACGGTATTCAAGAGACAAAGCAAAACGTTCAATTTCTCGTCTTTTTCTCTCTTTCAATTGAATGTGTTGACCATGGATTTCTATCGACGATTTCTCGCGTTACCTCTATCTGAACGGCGCCATTCCATTGGACCCGCTTTAAATGGCAAACGTGTGAAGTGAGCAAAATCTTTATCATTTGATTGAAAAGGACCAATCTTAGGGACAGACGTTGTTTTTCTCACCTTCCTTGCTAAGCGATCGTATTGACTCTTAGAAAGGAATATTTCACATGACTGTCGATGATTCATTCGAGCAGTACCTTTTGCTCCTTTGTTAACACAACGATTCATCACTATTCTGTAAAGATAATGAAGTAAATGTGTAATTAAATACCTTCTTTATTTATTAATGATTAAGTGAACTCTATTAAATATAGAGAATGAAATGAAGTACGAGGGTTTTTAGCTTCTTGATACTAGGAAAATACGATATGTTCCAGAAGTTTTCATTTTATATTTACCTAAAATTTCGTTAGTAATTTCTTTAGTCATCATGTTTTTCGCGCTTTCCTTTGAAATTTGACGTGTCATTGTAAAACGTAAAAATGTGCACTGGTAATAAGCGAAAATCATCAGCGCAACGATGAGTAAAGACAATGATTTGTTTTTTCGAATTTGAATTGGAAAAAAACGAAACAGAATGTTTAATTAATATGTATGTATTTAAATTTGATTCGTTTTTTTTATGTTGTTTTGCTCCATTATGGAGAAATTTCAATGAAATAGTTTCCAACAGATGTTTGCAAACATCCTCTACTCATTAGTTTTCCTTTACGTACTGTTAAACAAAAAAACTTCCCCTATATAAACGTTGTTTGACTGTAAAACAGGTGTCAATTTTCTTTATTACATAAATGTGACGATCCAGGTTTGTTTTTTTTCTCAGTTTCTTTTCTGTTTAATTTGATCAAGTTAAAATACATGCATAAGTATATTTCATTAGAAATCGAGAGAGAGAGAGCTTGTGTGGGAAAAATTCATAGTAACTGTTATGTCGCTTCTCAACTATTGACTTAACAGTGTTGAACAACGAACAAATCCTTTTTCCTTATGCCTCTCTCACTCGAATGTCATTCTTTTTCTCCTACTTGAAAATGCTTGAAGTAAAGTTTTGTTTACAAAAGAACGTTTGCCTTTTAGTCAATTCGGTCACAAGCACCAGACGTACTTAGTTACATGAAAAATCATTTCTCGCATTAGATTAAGTATTATATCATGATAGGTAACGATGTACAAACAGAAACCGAGAAGTCATCATTCAAACTTATTTGTTTGGAAAAACAAACTAATCGCATACGACACGTTAATCAAATAATTGTCATTTTAAGTTACAGAGAAAGAAAAACTATCTGTTTCGAGAATACCAGGTTACGATGTCAATTTTGACTTCTTTCGAGTTTTTTATTTTCTTATCCTGGATATTCTCGTCTACTTCATTGTTTCCTACTGCTCACGGTGTTGATGGATGGAGAGCAGAGGAACGCGACTTGTTTTCGCTATAGACAAATACAACACATTGATTGACACTCTCGTCTGTGTGTGTGTTTGTATGTTGTATTATGAAAAGAACGATGGCCTTGAGGAAAGCGACGCAAGAAGATTCTTCTTGTCTAGTTCGCTCGTTCGTATGCTTTTCTGATTTGTTCCAGCCAAAAAGATGACGACGTCACTGATATATTGCTGTCTTTGCTTCGGCGTTGTTGGTTTGATAGTTATTGCTGTTGAAACAGCACTGATGAGAACTGTTGCAATAGTAAGATGCAAAAGCGAGAACGCAAAGAATGTCGTCAATGTTCGTTCGTTTGTCCTCACCGCTATATACACATGCATGCACATATCTTTCTTTGCTACCAACACCGACACTTCATTCATATGCTACAAAGCGAAAGCTGTAGAAAAAAAGAGGAGAAGAAAAAAAAAAATAGAGAAAAAAATAAAGAAGAAGAAAGTGGTCGTTCTTTCGTTCGTGTTGTCGTGTTCGCCCGTTCTGTTTCTTATTCCATATTGTATAGTGGCGTTGCGTTGGGTGCCACGGCCACCAGGAACATCGTCGTTGCTCTCCCTTCATCGCATCATCATCAGCATGCAGTAGCTTCAATAGCGACTGAGAGTAAGAGAGAGAGAAAGGCGCTCGCCCGCGTGTGTGTGGCTCGACAACAACAAGCAACGTTGTTCTCGTCGTTGCTCGCGTGTATGCCGATTCTCGGTTCTTCATCGTTGTCGTTGTCCTCGTCATCATTCACATAGAAGTCAATCACGAGTGTCACCAATAGTCCTCCACCGCCGGTCATTTCGATCACCCGGTCGTCATCATCGTCGGAACTTTTAGCTGCAACAATTCGACCATTCCTTGTTGAGCGAGAGAAGCAACTAGCATTAACACAAATTCCAGCAGCTCGCGCATCGGTTTCGTCAACAACACCGCGTTCTTTCCCATTTCGATGTTGCGGCGGAAGAAAACATCCATCACAGATTCCGCTAGTCGAGTCAATATCTACGACTGGTCATCAACGTCGAAAAAGTTCGACACCGAGTATTCCTTCACGTCCTCTTCCATCATCATTGATTCAAAATCATCAAACGACAAATCCAAAGCCGACATCAACATCATCTTCAGCAAAGCCGCGAGCTTCGACGAAGAAGCATCATCGACGACGTGGAATGGCCTCGGTTTGTGTCTCATGCGTTTCCTCAAATCATAATCGACGATCGAGTTTAACCAGAGACGATTCGATTGCAATCCCTGCTCATTCTTCTCCAAATTCTTCATCTCGTACTCCACCTCTATTACTCCGTCTCGGACAGATTATACTAAGACGACGAATAAATTCGAACACTAATCATAACAGGGAGACGACAAAAACCACGAATAACAAAATCAGGTAAATCTCACTAAACCAATCTCCCGCTAATACGAAGCACTGTGTATCCGAGATTTCTTTTTCTAACCCAAATACTTGAAAAGTCATATCATACGCTTCGATGAATATGCTCTCTTATTATTCATAGACTCAGTATTTCTATTGACACTGAGAAAAATTGAAGCGAGGTAGGCTAACGAACGAGTATTTCTTCGTTTTCTATTTTTTCATTACAAAAAAAAAACGCAAATACAACAGTTCTTTTTCTCTTTATTCTTTTCATCTATCGACTTTTCATAAGTAACAATAACATCAGAAAAAAAATGACAGCTCGCGTGTATACTTACTGAAAACGTTTATTGCGCTGGAAGAAATAAAATTCTCAAGCAACACAAAAAAAATGTCATTCTTATTATATATATTAAGATTTCTTTCTTTTTTGTCAATGAAAAAAAAACAAGGCAAGAAAAGCTAATTTTCTCTGTCTATCCACGTTGAATACGAACAAGTTCAGTTATTCTAGATCAGATGATACAGACAGATCTGTACAAACCTGTCTATATATTATTGCAACGAGGATATCTACGCACCTCGAAAAGAAAAAGAAATACCGAAGAATATATCACAATTAGTTGGGATCGTCAGACAACTACTAATTCTTTTTTCGTTCCGAGATAGAACAGACAACATAATATATACAAATACATTTACTAGTGTTAATGTTTTTCTTTATATGTACATGCTTCTCATATTTGATGTTTTTTTTTGACATTGGATGTTAATTGAAATTCTAGAATGACAAAACAAAGAGATATTTATCACTAATTTCGTTTTTCTTTTTCCCTATTACTCGAAGTGCTTCTTTTCAAAACAAATCATGTAAAGAGTTCTCGGAAACAATTGTTCTCTATTGTTAATCGACAACTAATGGTTGCAAAGAGTAAAAAAAAAGTTAGTTCGAAATATGATTATAGCCGAAAGAAACAGAAGAACAAGGAGAAAGGTTCTCAAATTCAGAAATCTATTCTCTTCTCTCGCGTCTTTTCGTGTTGATAAAAGATCGTCTCAACTTGTATAACTTTAAAACTAATCTTGTTTCTGAGTCATTTCTTTTCTCTCGAAGCAAGATTAGATTTCGATAAATGAAGAAAACAAGGATAGATAAGATTTTGCTAATCTTATCTTAGCTCTAAGTAATAATTTTATTGGCAAGGTAAAATGATTGTTATTTAATACTAGTCGTGTGAGATGCATCTATACATTGGTTTGAAATAAGTGAAGCATAGTGAGGAAGTTTGGTTGTGAGAAAATAATAAGAAAAACTTATCATTAGTCGAGTTTTTTTTTCTCGCATATTCACATTTCCTAAGCAAGGATACATGTATCTAAGTATATGTCTCAAGAGAAGCAATGAGGAAAAGAACATGTAAATCTTCAATTAGAGATGTTTAGACATGAGATTGACAATGAAGAAAAATCTGTCTTTTGTTTGACTCCAACTCGAACTGTGACTAAATTTGTCGAACTTGATCATCAATAGGAGAAGAGATCTCGTTGGGCTTGAGTTCGAGTAATTGCCTTTTGCTCGATCGTATAAAGAATTCATTAATTGGAAATTATGTGTGTGTTTGTATGTAACTACACGAGTGTGGTGACGCGAAACGAGAAAATCCATTAAAAAGATTGCTTTCGTTAATGTGAAGTTTTGCTTCTCTCCTTTCTCTTTTTCTTTCAACCTATTTAGAAGTGTTCGAAGTTCTAGTTTGTTGGCTGTTTGCGTGCAGGCGAATCGAACGGAAAGACCGTTATCGCCTCCATTTACTATTAGAATACCAGGACCGTTGTATGTATTATGTCTCTGTCTTTCTGCCTGAGAATGTGTGTGTTTGTTTCTCGCTCTCTCCCTCCCTCTCTCTCTCTCTCTCTGCCTCTCTCTCTTCTTCCCTCTCTCCGTCTAGTATTCTAACTATCTCAGGCTTTTTCTTTCTCACCCTTTGTCAGTCATTCGTTCGGGTGACTGAAGAGAAGAAAAACTAGAGAATCTCGATTTATTGTTATTCTTGCTCTCGTGCGTTCGTCAGTAGGAATCTATACTGATTTCCGGGCTTATTCTCGTCACTGCAGGATCAGAATTATCATTGTCATTATCCCTCCTTAATGACGACGCTCACCGTCTATTTTGCTTCGTTACCCGGATTGTCAACAGCAGTAGCTACACCAACAACATCAACACTCACCACAGCGATTCCAAGTATTCGGCCAATTCCAAAACTAACACAATCACTACCGAGAATACCATCACAACATATAACTTCGCCAAAAACGAACTTAATGAATCGTTCGCCGCCGCTCAATCGAAAGTCTTCGAAACGTAATAAAACATTTTTTGAGAGATTCAGTGAAACATCATCCTCCGCGCTCATATCAAATCCTCAATCTCCACCCCATCAACAACAAGCACAACAACAACAACAGCAACAGCAAATAACGGATGCATCTAATCCATCACTGGAGCCCGCACCACGACTACGTCGAAGATTTACATTTCGTCGTAGTCTACGCCATTCAGTTCACAACAAAGGAGGAGAAACTGATGATGGTATAAGGTCGGTTCTTGTCTGGTTCCGCTT